TAAAACTTCAATTTATTGCAATTTTTAGATTTAAACACCAAATAAAGTTCTTTCGGCAGAAAATTTCAACCAATCTCTCAATGAAAACTACGAAGTAGGAACTTATTTATCCGTATTCTTTAATAAAAGAAATAAAAATAAGTTAATACCTGGAGATAATATTGCAGATTATCGATAAGAAAAGCCATTTTCCTCCTCAAGCTCCATGTCTTGGCCGCCCCTATTACCCTGCTGTCATCCTTTGATCTCTTTCGCACCATTTGAAGTGCCCATAAAGTCTGTAGATCCAACTGGGTCCTTTTCACCCCGAAAAGGAACCGAAAAATAACATTGTACCTGGAAAAAACGACCAAATTTTCAAATGTTAGTTGAATCTGATATCAATATAATGAAAGACCTACATGGCCTGATTAAGATGGGACTATAGGTGTTAAAGCAATAGGTCCATCGATGAAATGGGCTCAGAAGAAAACAGGTTGGAATTTTTCTAAATAGGCCTTTTTGTGCCGCAGCATAGGCCCAATTTTAGCTTAAGCTGTCACTGAAAATCTAAGTCATAAAATTTAACACGATTGCACAGGAAATAATTATTGACTCGAGAAACAGATCGAACATGGAGACGGTCTTCAATGCAGCATTAAATGACTACTATCTCCTCCGCAGAGGCTATTGGGGAGGGAGATTAGGAGGTAAAAAGGATAGGATAAAAGGAACTTCGGAAGAAAGGAAAAAGTAGAGGAACTGTGAAGGAGAAGAATGAAGAAAATTCTCCGCAGCTTCACAATTTCTCCCTCCCTCAGCTTCACAATTTCTCCCTCCCCAATAGCCTCTGTGGAGGAGAGTAAATGACTACCTAAAATACAATGTGCCTTCAATTTAAGAAACATATTAACAGAACCAATTTAAGAAACATATTAATTTCATTTCCTAATTAACATTGGTTTACCAATGATATGGGAAGCATTAGAAATTGTTACTCATCCATCTTAGATCAAGCAGAATTTAACTTATGAGTGACTCCCTTCAAACTTCTGCTGACATGCAGATAAGGACATTTTTACAGAACAAAACTTCAGAAATTACAAGATCGCTGTTATCAACGTGTGTCCTGTTTTAGATCTTAATAAAATCGAAAAACGTCTATCAGATGTGAAAGAATGAAAAGAATGTAAACAATCTAACTTCAAAGCGAGATTAAAATTGATGTTATCAAAATCTTTGTTTTTACGTTTTTCGAAAAATTCAGTTTGTGTCATATGAAAGTATAGAAATAACTTTGGTACTAACACCAGAATACAGCAAGATTTTCGCTATTCTACCGCTCTAGGTTCCTGAACTCTTTAAAACTTCCTCAAAATACAATCCAGAATTGGAGGGGGTGTCTTGGTATGGTAAATGGGATTATTTTGGATTCGATGACCTCTACGCGACCATCTTCCGTGGGATTGCCAATTTGGATTGTGGCTATCATATTGATAAAAATCGTACGATGTTTTTACTTGAAGTTGAATCCCGTTAATAATCCGGGATACGGATTAGTAGGATTCAACTGTGCGTTCCTAAAACTATGCCAAGGAACGAATTTAGAAAAGCTTTAGGCCATTTTACCGAAATTCGTTTATTGTATATTTGAGTCATGTTACTTACCTCTTTATGATGTTCCGTGTAAACAACAAATGGAGCGGCCAAGGAGCAGAATATTCCACAAAAATGCTTTCCCAACCACTCGTTTCATCTCCTAGCACAATAAAAAAAAATCATATTCAAGAGTCTTAAAGCTGACAATCATAAACAAAGATCGATAACAAGTTATTAAGTGTGAATTTTTATACCAAAATTAATTTATATTACACAAAGATACGGTTTTGATTTTAGTACAGGGTGAATATAAGTTGCAACTTCAAGTTTCACGCTTAGTTTCATCAAGTTTCATCAAAAAACTGCTCCAAGCAGCTGAATAACAGAATGCCTCTACGTGTTGGGATGCGGTGCGATAGCAGACAGATCGAAATGGAACATCTATCTGTTTGTCAATTCAACTCACTATATTATGGACGGAATGGAAAAAGAACATGTAGAAATAGGCCCAAGAAATAGACCTTAAATCGAAATCTGGTACGAGATTATATCATGTCATTGCTCGTCTGCAATTCTTTAAGCGTTCATGTGCGGGCAGGCTAAACCACACTGTAAACGATCAAGCAGATTACTGTGGACGGAAATAATTTCTGTTCTACTACAAACGCAAAATGTCGTAACGTGAATGTGTGGACGAGGCCTAAGTTGCAATTCTAAGTTTCACGCTTAATGCGATCGACTTTTCAATGCAGCTAAATCATTAAAGCTGGATATAAGAATAAGACGAAAAACATGATACACTGATGTTTTTAAATAAGATAACAAACTGAATAAAAACGAAGTAAGTCACTGTCCTTGTATAGCACCCAGAGAGCAATGAATGAAAAGATGGGCCTAAAAGAACACTAACTACCGTTGAAGAAAAAAGAAGCTCAAAAACTATGAAACTTAAAGAAACTTGCGATTGGGTTCACAATACCTTGCTTGTTTTTATCTTTAGGATCAATTGTTTCCAACTTCATTTGGAAGGAACGGTAGTCTTCGCTTTCAAGTAAAATCTAAAAGAATTAAAAATTTGGTTATTCAAAGCACTTAAACTCTCTGAATGATAATATAAAACATTCCTTCAAGGCTCTCTCGGGCTATACTGAACTGTTAAATTCAATCACAATTACTTGCTGTACAACAGATTTATTAAATAATGACGTCACAACAATCTATTTTAGTATTTTGAATTTTGGTCGCATAACCTGAGTGTACATTGGTTAAATCTCTTCTAACATTTAATATATGTATATGTTTTTGCACAGCTAGGGTTTTTCATGCGGTATTTCATTTTCTGGGATCAAAAGTAAAAAAATTCTAAAAATAGATCTCTTTATCTGCTAGAATCCCCGAAATGGCATTTACGATAAGTGCACAGGTAGTCTCGGTACATACCTCGCGAAGACTTCTTTCAAAGGAGGAATTAAGATCTAGAAATTAAATGGAAGACAGTTTCGGTACTCATTTCCCATTATTACAATATCTACAGCCAATAAGACGAAAAAGAGAAGCTAACAGCAACAAACTGCAGAATGACCCCAATCAATTTAGCTTTAGCAGACCCCACTAAGCTAAAGGTAACAGATCTTTTCCATCTTCGAATAGTCTGTTTATCAGGCTAGTTTATTGTTGACTTAAGATTATATCCAGATGATATCGAGATCATTTCTTTGATGATTCTGACATTTAGAAAAATAGGCCAAAAAATTTCAAATCGCTTGGAAAAATTTTAATTCGTAAACCAGTGCCAAAAAAGGGGGATGGGGGTACTGAACAAATAACAAACAACAACAAACACACTTTTTCAAATAGATCTTTGCCATTGGGGGGGGGGGGGCGTCCGCCTCCTCTTGCCTCTCTCTCGCGATGTTACTGGTTAGAACAATATAGGTTTTCGTGAGGGGGAAACAAAGAATGACATTGAAATAGAAGGGCAAAAATAAAGAGAGAAAGGATGTGAATGGATAATAATAGATAATAATACATGTAAGTGAAAGAAAGAGAAAGGAGAGTATAAAAAGAGAATAAGGGGAGAGAATAAAGCAGCAACAAATCAAAGAATTGTCATTTGTAAGAAAATTTGTAAGCAATAAGTTCCGGATGCAATTCGTATGGCAAAGGTGTTTCTGCTGTTCTTTATCTGTTTAAAAACTTAAAAACGTTTTTTAATGCTAATTTTTAGATGATAATTATTGCTGAAATTTTTCTAGAAAATTTTCAAACGAATTCTATTTGATTTATCATGAAGGTACAAAATATTAGAAAAAAGTCGATATAAATGAATAAAACGTTCTGAACCCTGAATTTCGTTATAAACCAGACTCCTTTCAAAACCACAGTTTGACTTGGTACAGTTCATAACCTAAAAGCCATAGATAGCGTGATTCATTTTTTGGAAACGAATCTAGAAGAACCCCCTGGACTAATCAAGATATAGAAGTAAAGACATGACTAGATTAAGCTGACACTAACCGTATGACAGAACTGGCGACGGGGGTGCCTTCAGAATGCTTTGCGCTCGGTCAATAAAAGTCTGGAAAAGCTCTCCTCTACCAAGTAAGTAAATTTCTTTGATATACTACCAAAAAGAAATGCAATATGATAACAGAAGTGTTCGTCGAGAAAACAAGTACATTTAGCTGCGTTAACAAGTTCAGAAAATATGAAAGAAATACATTAGAAACAATTGTGTGGGCAGAGTTGTTTTCAACCATGGACTCCACCAGCAAAATTTTTTAAAAAGCCATTCGCACTGGTTGGGCAATCTTAACACTAATGTACACGCGTTTCTGATTGGCCTTTTTCGATCCACAACTGGGTATATATATTTTCTAGCATAGAGTTTTCGATCTATGTTCTGACGTTTTAAACTCTGAAGAGTGTCAGATGGAAAGCTTTGCTTTCTTATTACCAAAGATAAGTGTTCAAACAAAGACAAGAGGAGAGGGATATTTGAAGATCCTAGAGGCATGTTAATAAAAAGAAATTCCGTGTAACTTGAAATATCAAAAAAATTTAATAACAACTAAACATGCACTAAACGATAAACGATTTCCGATTGGACAAATCCAGGAACCAATCAAATGCAGCATCTTCTATCTTAGGATATTTTGAGCCGAAACTGGATTAAAACTTGGGGTTTTCCCTGTAGGTCATAGCTCGACGTCTTGTGCTTTTGTGCGAGACGAACTGAAGAGCATCTGGCAAGAAGTGTTTTAAGTATGTTGAAAAATGTTTTCTCTTTTCGCAACATTTTGAAATTGAGTTAAAAGATTTCGAAGGTGTTGTGTCATGAAATAAATACTGCCAGGTGTTTGAGTAATTAAACTTATCAGAGTTTAGGAAATTTCTGCTTAAAATTCAGGTAAGAAAATAATTAAATATGACTTCACATTACCCTCATCTGTTTCAGCAATTCACCATCTTCAACAACGAGCTTCCATAATTGCTTTAAAAAGGCACAAAACATCAAAAAAGCATCAAAATTTTTGCAAATTGTAAAGAAACGGAAGAATAGAAAGGAAATAGAAATAATAGTAAAGTAAAAATAGAAATGAAAGAAATGAGGACAGCTTAAGCAAATTGCTGGAAATATTTGGGATATACAATACCTGCCAAAAGTACTTGAAATACCCAGCAATTTGCGTTGCATTTTATATCTTTCATTCAATTTCCGAATTAATTACTACTCCCGCCCCCTTCCCCCTAGAACAATTATGATAATTTAGATAAATATCGTAAATGAAGCGCAAAGAATGTGCTTTCTAAAATCCTGACCCGTTTTATAGTAAACCAACATTGCTCTGTAGGGGAGAGGGGGATGATTGATTTTGACATTGCAAACTAACGTCAGTGTTCCAAGACTTTTGGCAGGGATTGTAAGTTGGATTAAGAAAGCTTCAAAATCCAAAAAACACTCACTTCAGCAACGCATGTTTTTATTTTGTCCACTTGAAATTCCAGTTTTGCGACTGAGAATAAAGGTTCTCTTTCAAGCTCTTGCAGTGACAGTAGAAACTCTCTTTCTCTGCCTTGTAATATGTCCACTGCAAGTGTAAACATTGGAGTTCAAACAAACTGGGAACAATGTTACATTCTCTTATTTTGTATTTAATAAAATAACACGATCAGATAATTGAAAGAAAAAATTCAATCCTAATTAAGGATAACTTTAAGCAAAATTAAAGTGGAAGCTAAAGATGGACGAAAAACTGGAATGAGCCATCGAGCCTGATGCCTCATTTAATTGCATGATAGGAGTAACGAATTGCAATGTTATCAGATACTAAAAAACCCAAAAAATTATTAATTGAAAACAAAATTTAATAGAAATAGTGTGAAGCGTTAAAAACAACCAATCGGCACATCTAAGTAATGTCCATTTAACTTAATACCTAACTAATTTAATGAAAGAATGATAACCTTGAATTTAATTACACATGTTTTAATTTCATGCATATACATATTAAGTCCCAAAGAGAAAAATGTAGGAGGCATCACATTCAAGATTCTGTTACAGATGGAAAAAATGTTAGATCACATAAAATGAGTTTTTGTCGTAGCCCTTGTGAATCCTTGTGGCAAATGCAAAATTACAAAAATATAAATAAGAATACAAAAACAAAAATATAAAATTACATTTAAGGAAATTCCTGAATGCATTGGTTCTTCTATTTAGCTACAAACCTTTTTCAAAAGCTGTGAATAATTTCTTTTCTTGGCCTGTATCCTTAAACATCTTTACTGATTGGCCGATGAATAAAATCTGTAGACATGAAAATTAGACATGAGGATGAAAATTAAAATAAACTTGTCTGTTCAATAAAAGTAAGTGCCAGGGGATTATCTTACACTGGCGGATCTAGAAGGGGGCTTTACAGGGAAGAGGGCAGGGACGCCGGAAAGGGGACGTGGCGGTCAACCGCCCTGTTGCCTTTTGATAGGAGGGGCAAGGGGGGACAAAGTCTTGTTCATGACAACATTTCTCAAGACTTGTGAAAAATATCTTATGAAAAAAGTTAGTCAATTTTTCAAGATACCTATAGAAGATCGAAACAAAATGACAGTTGCGAAAGGATTATTGGTAGCTGGGAAAAAGAGATTTCAGCCTGGCTATCAATGCTCTTTGATTGATTATTTTGCTTTGCAAATTCTCAACCGCGAGAGCTATTTCACATGTTCTCATGAAATGGGAAAAGTATGTTTGAAAATGGACTAGTTGTTCCAGAAACAGATTGTGGTACCAAAGAAATTGAAGATTGTTAATGCATGACATTTTAAAACTGATATTGTCACAATCTGCCCTTGCATTTGCCATCGCCATCTTTTTTTAACAAGGAGGGTTATAGTTCAAATTTCTACTGGAGCTCATCGGAGAGGGGACTTTATAGCGATGAGAGAGAGGGGGGCTGGGGTAAAATGCTCTTACGGTAATACAGAGCTATGGTACATGCTCTAGCATTCTAAGTTCTATTTTATGCTTCATTCCATTTAGAGTCTGTATCATAAAATCAGGGAAATAATTCTTTTCTTTGGGAAAAATGAATCTACACATCTGAGGATTACAGTCTTATGAAAACGTTTAATACAAATTAGTTATTACAATCTAAATTGGCAATTAACGAATAAATTATCAATCTTGACCAATCATGTTCTTAGTGTCTTGAGAGCTTTGCTGGCACTGTATATCAAAGGCAGGTACTTTAAGCTGATTATTTCTTAGCAATTCGGATTTTGTTAGATATTTAGTTGGTTTTAATTAGCCTTAATGTAGTTAGTAGTGTACGTTTATCATCTTCAAAGAAAGTAAAAAAAAACAATAGTTTATACATCAAAATGCAAAGAGGGTTTTTTCAAAAGTGGGAGTTTATCAAAAAGTGGGGGCTTAAAGTGCCTATGAAATGAAATTTCACACATACTGTAGATTTTTTGAAAGAAATTGAAACTTCTACATGTAGCTTCAATATCAAACGAAAATTAACTCAAAAATTTGCACGGGAAGGTTTGTTTTCGGGGTTTTAAAAACAATGACTCTGAATGACAAAGCATAAGATTCAGTGACGTCACGGATAACACGCGCTTTGTCACAGTCGAAAATAGAAAATAGGAAAAGTGAAAAGTGAATAGTGAAAATAGGATATTCAACCTAAATTTTTAGACAATTCCGCAAGAAAAAAATCACCTCAACATATATAATTGAAATCAGCAAATTTTGCTTATAAAAAGTGTTTTTTTCTCTAAACTTGTCAAATTTCATTTCATAGGCACTTTAACTGAAAGAGTGAGCTTATGTGAGGGGGAAAATTTGAAGATTTACCATAACTAAAACTGATGACAGTAATCAAAGAGTGTACCTTTTCAACTAGCCGTGATGTGATATATCTAGGCAGCATTTCTGGGGCAACATTAGCAACCACAGCTTCATCCTTTACAACCTCGTCAGCATTATCTTCTGCCTACAAACATCAAAATCATAGTGTTGTCAGGATTTAAGGTGTAAGGCTAGCTCAGATGTTAGGGTTCCTGACTACAAATCCAAAGTTCTGGGGTTTGAGCTAAACATTCATGTAGAATGAGAAGAGTCACAAGCTCTCTCTAATCCCAGGTGCAAGAATCACAAGGTGTGGTCACATCAAGAGGAAACACCAGGACATTGCTTGTTATGCACAGCTTCTCAGTGTTATAAAAACTACCTCAGAAACAAGGTAGCAACAAGCAGAAATATATTAAGCTACCATAAAAAATAAGATCAGGACAACTTAACTGCAATGGCTTCAGAAGAAGAATATAGAAAAATTGAGTCAATAAAAGGCTTTATGTGGCAAATAGTTTCTATAAGACAAGCTAAAACTCTGGTTATCATATTTTTACAAAAGTCACAGAAGCTGAATAGCCGACCTTCAATTTTTCTAGGTCTCTACCAGTGATGCCTCTAATGATGACCCCAGCTTGGGGCTGTAGAGCTGGCTCATCTTCTTTGGCTTTCTCTCCCTGCTTTTGAGGGCCAATCGCAATAAAGAATTCATTGTACTGATCCAGTAAGTTGCCATGTAACATCCAAGCACTGAGCTGCTTAAAAAGCACTGAATGGCAGACATGAAGAACCCTGAAACAAAAAATGTTAATCCTGGAAAATGTAAAAGGGCCTCAGATCAATAAAACAGTAAAGGCGTTACCATGAAGAATAAATCATCAGATTTGTAGACAGGCTTTACCATGAAGAACAAACCATCAGATTTGTAGACAGGCTTTACTATGGAGATTAAACCATCAGATTTGTAAACATTCCAGACAAAAACCAATTACTGATGGGTTAGGTTTGATAAAAAATACCTTTCTAAAGCATCTTTAACATCAGGCATTCCACATAATGAGTGCTCATGCAACAGATCTAGAATCTGGCATCCATGAACCTAGAAAATTTATCAAACAATAGTATACAGAGAACCATTTCAAGCAGATTCATAAAACCAAGCTGAAAGCCTTCAACCAATACACCAAAATACTAATGGGATTGTTTGTCGAAATATCATTAATAAATTTGCTATTTTTCTCTAGTACAATTTTACTTCTTCCTAATTATATTCGTAAGTGTAAAGACAACAGGATTTTAACGACAACTAATAGATAGTGCCGGTGTAGTATGCTAATCGGTCCCCCATGCAAAAGTGTCCCCTTTGAGGCGGTATGCGTTTCAGTAACCTTCGTGAAACGGGTAGCGTTTCAGTGACCAAGTGGTAATGCCGGAAGTGTATAGCGAAGCTTCGAGAGAAAGTTCAAGATGCTGATATATTCTTAAGTTCAAGATGACTGTTAAATTTACTGGAAATCTAAAAATATATTATTTATAATGCAAAAATTGCTTAGATTTCTTGCGGTAGATGCTAATAGTTAGCCAAAATAGAAAGTTGATACGGTGAGTTTAGGCCCATCAGCTTGATTCGTGAAATCGTGGCAAAAACTGATGGTTTATTCACAAGAGACGCTCCCTTGTGTTTAAAATCAATTTTTTTACTCGTGCATACTTGATTGTAAAGAAAAGCTATGTACAAATCTAACATTAATTGCATATGAAAGGCGTGAATGTTGACATATAATTTATTCGTCCCTGCTCTGTTTGGCCTAAGCCTTGCTACAATTTGAATATATAGTAAACTTTATCGTGAATATCGACATTGTCTTTAATCATGCCCATTTAATAGTATTTTTTCCAAGATGCTGCTACTGAAAAGATATGGGGCTAGTGCCCCCTTGAAGCATGCATGCATTGGGCGGGGAAGATATTCTACCCCATGTTGAAAGGGCCAGCCCCTCCATCAAAAACTTTCTGACACCTCTGAAAAATGATATCAAAGTCTCTAGAATCAAGGTGGAATTTTTGCATCCTTGCCCTTCAACTAAAAGACAAGGTAGGCAAAGTCTTTAGATGTGTATATAAACCGTATACTTTTCAAGTTTAGGCATCTTCTGTATCAATAAATGATCCAAATCCCCCTATTTATTTTTTTAAATTGAGGAAATTTTTGTCTGAAAATATTTCATCTTGAATATTCTGTACTGAAATTTACAAGAATAAACATAAAATATTGCTAATTCTGTTTTGTTTAAGAGGTAATATTGTTCAGAATATCTGCTTTTCAATGTGGATGTTCTTGACATTGACATTATTGTTCTTGGTTTTTCTCCTACTCACTAAACGTGAACAAAACAACAATGGATGAGATGTTTGTTGTATAGTGTAAATTTGATTTGATGATGCCATCATCATTAATAATATTTAAAAACTACAACTGTCTTAGGGTTCACATTACTTTGATAGATGGAAAGAATACATTATTTTTGTTTCTTAAATTTTTTATATGGTTTAAACAATTCACAATCATGAAACAATTTTCTTATTTGTTTTGTACAATTGTGGGATCATAATATTTACTGTATAATACCATGAGATTGTACTTTTTTGCTAGAATAAGCCTTACATTTTCTCTGACTTAGCCCTTATTTACTGTGGGATTTTTTGCACAGCTCTTACACAATATAAATTTTTCTTCAGATTTTTTTGCATAGAAATGAGAAATAATAATTGAGAAATAAATAATAAAATCAGAGCTGTTTTTCTCAAAATGTATGTATTTATTGTCAGATTTATCAGATATATAAAGATTTTATGTAATATAAACTTTCAAAGTTTTTCTGTATAATTATAATTCATTTTTTATTAATGCTTTCAAGTATTTGGCAGACCTTTTTTCAGACCTTCCTTCAGAGTTTTTGGGAGACGTTTGGTAAACCTTCTAACCAGTTCAGAGGCTACAATGTTAGTTTAATTTTGTGGTTCTTAACTTTCATTAGCAAGACATATTCAAGAAAAACATATCAATAATATTACTTATGGATATGATAAGAATAAATGCATATGGATATAAAATGCACAAAATCAACTGTGTTAGCCACATCAAGGGTAGGTAGTACCTAGGTATTTCCCTGTTTGGTAAACAAATAACAGATTTCAATGCAAAATGGGGGCATTACAAAGTTCAATATGGCCACTTAGCCTTTCAGTGTATCTTTCAGAAGAGTTAAAGGAAAAAGTGGTTGTTTTGAAAAAAATAAAGGGAGTGAAGAAGTTTACAACTGACATTTCATACAAAATCTCAATATAAAAAGATGTATGGGGGCTGCAAATTTTATATTTGGCACAAGGACCTTTGGGACCTGTTCTGACTTTCTGACGATGAGATGTTTCAGTAACAGAAGTCTATAAATTGCAATTTTCCCTCAAATTTCAAAAGAAGGGGGGGCTCTTTGGGTGAGAATGGATACCAGGATACCGCATAGAAAATTTCCTATTAACGCAATTCTGCAAGGAAATGTTCTTATTACTGCAATACCGAGCTTTCAAATTGAAAACTACAAAACATATCGTAGTCTGAATTAAGATTCAGTTAAGTCAATTTCGGTTAATACACCAATTCGACCTACGGCCTCATTTTGAAAAATTCTTCAAATTCTTTTGTACAAAATTGTTGACCTCAGATTCGGATTGACAGCAATGATTTTAGTCTACTTCTAAGTTTTCATTATGATATTGCTCACGATATTGATTTTATGACGACATAAAGATAAAAAGGGATTTGACCGTGATTGGCGACTAGGGGGGTAAAGTTTCCCCCGCAACGATTTTTGCGGTCAAATCCCTGACAAGTTTTCAAACTTCATTTCTCGGTTAAATCTAAAATACAAGCTCAAACAATATGAAAAATGGTATCCCGCCTAAAATTATGACGATAAAACCAAATCTGAGCTTAAAAAAGTCGCATAATTAAGTTTGAAGAAATTTCTAAAACGAGGCGAAGTCGAATTGGTGTATTCTCTACATCAAATTTTATGTAAAACTGTTTTATGCACGATACAAGCATACATTATATTGCCCGTAAATTGGAAAATTTGCAATATGTACACAACTCTTCTAATCACCATATATGAAGCTCAACACTTTTTTATCAAACTATTTAGCATTAGCATGTTTTAATGGCAAATCGTATCTTTCATTTGTCCTAACAGAGACTCCTTACTGAAAGGTTTTATGTAAAGTTGGGTATCAAAGGAGGGGACATAGAAACTTCTTTGACAAAGAAATACATTATTCTTCCTTCTGATACCAAAGAGTCTGAGTAAAATGGATTATTTGTCAACGTTAAAAGTTGAAAACATTATTTCGCTAATGCTTACAAAGAATCAACGAAGATAAAGCTGGACACCTTCGCGCCTATAAATAGGCAACTGATCATAATAAGAATTATCTTCCTTTCGAGAAATTCCATACAATGATGTATTTTGGTACAGGTCAATTCAAATACAAATTGAATGAGATTTGTTTTTTTCCAGAACAACAAGACTAATGTCCGTTGATTGTCTTTAAAAAAACCAAAGTAATCATTTAACATAGCCCTCGTCGAAATTTTCCGTTTTTTCTTCATTTCAGAATTGAAGAAAGATACTCCATTTTTTCCCTTTAGAAAGAATCGGAGTATTAGCAATAAATCGAAGTTTAACCAAAAACGGAATACAAAAATGGATACACATAAACATATTAATATTCAAGTCCAAAGTTTCCATTTCCAAATCTTTTAAAACCTTGAAATAGCTTTCCGCCCGCCCTTGAATATTTATTTGAAGAGAAAGGTTGTATAAGTCACAGAATGTCGCCTCATGTCGCAAGTAAATCGAGGAGGCATGATTAAGGAGACATATTTATCTATTAAAATTTAAGAAATAACTTATTTTTGTTCATATACATAATGATGGAATGTTTTTATTCGACTCATTAAATGCCTTTTTGTAACTATAGAGGCAAAAATTCAGCATTCAAGGATTATTCAAATTTCATTAGATTACATTTTCATATTAGTTCATAGAGAGGCCCATCTAAATATGCTAGTGCGGCCCTGTTATTAATCAGTGTAAGGAATTAATACAATAATGCTGATATATAATCATATGGTAATTTACTTTCTAGTTGTTCTTGTACCACCCAAGTTAAGAGTTTAAAAAAATATCCCAAATTTTCTCCTTTTTTACGAAAAAGGCCTTGGAGAATGATGAATGAAAAACTTAAATTAATTTGTTTAAAGTATATGACATCATTTCATTAGCATCCCCTTATATTCTTTCTCAACCGACTATAATGGAACTGGTGGTATGCCATTTATAGCAGATGAAACTTTCAGTGGCGCTGCAAGACACTAAGGTGTGGTGGGGACGGAATGAAAATTTCCACAACTTTTTTGCCGTCGAAAAACGCCTTTTAACCCCAGAGAGAAGCTATTTTACTAGTAGGATAGTAGGATACGCTCAAGACTAATTTTTTTGGTTACACAAAATCAAGTATAATAATTTCCTAAAATATTACCCCTTCCCAAAATTTTCTCATCAGAAAACGACGAAATACAAAATCAATTATACGGAGATGTCCCACCCACTCTTTCTCTGGCTCTGCCATTGGAACTTGCAGTGGAATGTATACCCAAGCTAATTTTTTTGTGCACCTTGAATCGCATTATAAGCCCATACGTCTGCTAACGGTAGCCCAAGACCTAAATAGTGGATAGCATGGTCTCACACGAATATGAGACAATAGATTGGTTTTACCCATTGATTTCGTTTGACATAACAAATACAGTGGATTCCCAATATAACGATTTCTGAAGGGAGCCAGAAAATAGTTTGTTTTATCGGGAATTCGTTATATACGGGGTTCATTGTATCGGGATTCCACTGTATGCTTTGTTCCTATGTCAATGGTCCTACCACAGAATAAAAATAGGGTCCAATAAGACATTTTGATGAATTATTTAACCAGAGCAATATTTCAATTATTGACCTCTTGCATTGATGTTTTTAGGCAAGTGTCCCCCTATTTTTCGCATAAAGTTTTGTTATGTAAAAATGTCCCCCTACTGTTTCAAAGAGGGGACACTTTTGCATAGTCTCGTTTTGCTATGCGTTTCGGTCCCCCCGGACACTTTCGCATACAGTTTTGTTATGCAAAAGTGTCCCCCTATTGTTTTATAAAGGGGACACTTTTGCATAGTGTCGTTTTGCTATGCGTTTCGGTCCCCCGGACACTTCCGCATACAGTTTTGTTATGCAAATGTGTCCCCCTATTGTTTTATAGAGGGGACACTTTTTCATAGTGTCGTTTTGCTATGCGTTTCGGTCCCTCCGGACACTTTCGCATACAGTTTTGTTATGCAAATGTGTCCCCCTATTGTTTTATAGAGGGGACACTTTTGCATAGTGTCGTTTTGCTATGCGATTCGGTCCCCCCGGACACTTTCGCATACAGTTTTGTTATGCAAAAGTGTGCCCCTATTGTTTTATAGAGGGGACACTTTTGCATAGTGTCGTTTTGCTATGCGTTTCGGTCCCCCCGGACACTTTCGCATGGGGGGACCGAAACGCATATTACACTGGAAAATTACCGACCTGAGCGAGGCTCGAACTCACAACCCCTGACTTTGCACATCAAGTGCTCTGCAACTGAGCTACCGGGTCGTGCTTTCAAGCCATCACCCCAGGCCATAATTATATTTGATTATATTGTACAGAATGCAAGTTAGTATATTATTCTGTAGCCTTTTTCTCTAGACAAATGAAATCAAGTGCCCCAAGGCTACAACATACCTTCTTTGATTCAATGATCTCAATGAGCTCAGCTAATATTGGGAAAAGAATATGATACTGCAAGAAAAAGATTTAAGAAAAAATTACCAAATTACAAGAACACAGTATAAGCTAGGATATTATACAATATTATAATTTCAAGAGTTCAATACACCATAAAACAGTTCTTCAATCTTCAATCGTTAACTCCTAAAGGCTATACAACCAATCTGGAGTAAAAAAAAAAAAAAATTGGAAAAGGAAAATTAACTTAGGAGTAGGATTAATACCATTTCCACCCAGCGCTCCAGTTTGTTAATTTCTACAAAATGTTGCATTCCAGAATATTGTGAAAAATCCAAAGTCTCAAAGGCTTTCACCAGCATTGATAGAAATCTGATTTTTCCTGATAATATCCTTAACTATATTGCATTTAACATTTTCATGATATGACACCAAAAGAGTTTCATGGCTCTCAGTGGCTAAAACTAATAGGGCAAAAAATGTGCTTAAAAAGAATTATAAACCTCATAATCTGAAACTAACTGCATAAAAATTTCTTACAATCATCAAATAAAGTATAGTGTTGCAAAAAAGGATCAATCTGATAAAATGAATATCAGCAAATTCTTACTGTTTCTAATGCACCAAAGATGTAAGAAAGTGGCATAGCTGAATCCTTGAGAACCTAGAAACAAATTATGTAATTTATATGATCAGCAAAGAAAATGGCCAATTAAGTGTCCTGGTCCTTCTTCTTTATGTGACCACACTTCAACATTCCTACACCTGGAATTACAGAGAGCTGGCGACTCTCCTCACTCTGGGTGAAAGTTTGGTCATGCCAGGGATTCTAACCAGGGATGAAAGTTTTAATAAACAACTTTGAGTCCATTTCTTTCCCATAAGAACTAATGCAAGAAAGAAATTAGAAGGATATTTATCAGGTATACGAAATAATGGATCAAAAATACAGTGATACAATTTGAGAAACAATGCTCTATATTGATATATTTTTCAGAAAAGCAAAGTTCCTGACTGATAACAATAGCTGGGTTTGAAAATTTTAAAAAATAAACAACTTTTTATTTGACCTTACAAAATCTAATTGCGTCAGCTTAAAATGGAATGGGATTTAAAATACATATTCATACTTCATTTTCCAGCCTAATAAGAATTTCTTGATATGGTTTTAGGATTTCTTTGAAGCCAGAAGCAAATGCTCTAATGTAGATGCCATTTCTTGAATCATTGTCACCAATATCTAGGAAGTAGGTAAAAAATTATCCAGATTTCAGTAATATCAGATTATCTTTTCAGTGAAAGAGAGATTCTAATGCTTTATTTCAGTTGATATGGAGCATAACTTAAAAGATCAAGGAGACATCCAAGATTTACAAACAAAATGTGTCCTTTAGTTCCATGACATGGACTATTTTTGTATAAATATATAGAAATTGGCTGCAAAGGTAAGAAAGTTTTTATTTACATTGAAAACTGATGCATTGAAAGTTATAACTGGAGTGCGTTGGTTTTCATTTCTACTCAAAGTATTTTATCTGAACAAACATTTTCAATTAGTTTATTCTTAAGAGTGTGACACATACTGCAAAAAAGGTTAATGCAAAAAGTGGCACAGACCAAGAGTCAAAAAACAGATTACATTTGCTTTCAGGTATGCTTTTGGGGGAGTGCAAAATTGTTTGTTAATCATCTCTTTGGTAAAAAGTAAGTCATATTTCTTGAGAAAAAAGGAAGACTCTAGTGGATGAAGGCATGATTTTCAGGAAGGGTGGCACCAATAAGTTCTATTCAAAGTACAGCTCTCATCTTTTTCAGGCATAAAATTACATTTGTGGCAACTAAATTACACAGTGTGTAGTAGACTATAATTCTTAAAGTTAACATAATAGAATCAATATAAATAAATACAAGACATATCAAAAAAGGTTTATACCTGCATTTGTAAAGATTTGCACAGATGTGAGGTTTACATCATATTTCTGTATGAAGCTGACAAAGAGTTGATAGTAAGACCCAAGCTTGCAAAGCAATTGCAGTTGCTCGATTTCACTTGGGTGAATAAACTCAATTTCTCTCACAACCTGATTGAAATGTAAAAAAGAAATGAAATGTTCAAGGCAATGTTATTCAAGATTGCAAAAAAGATACAGAACTTTGAAAAGTTAGATATTTTTTCCTACTACAAATCTATTTCCTCCTACTACTCTTCAAAGTATGAAACTAAAACAACTAAAACATGCCATTCTGCTATCAGGCAACATTTACTGGAAACCAAGATTAAGCAAAAAACGTGACAGCTTGCTTCTACAACCCCATTATCAATGCCAGAAAGGAGCCAATTTCTACTTTAAACTGTTTTTCTGAAACTTTTTGCACTCCTCCCAAAGATGCCTTTGAGGCTTTGTCATCTAGAGGTGTTAAATAGAGTGCTTGAGTTTCTTAGGGGCTTGTTTTTTGAAGTACATTCATTTTGCTTAGAGCAAGGCTTTACACAACAATACTTCTGTCCTTAAATTTCATGTGATATTTTACTGTCGGACAATTGAGCAATATTAGGCTTGAGCTACAAGGGTGAGTGATATTAGGCTGGAGCTACAAGGCTCATGAAAAGGCAAAGTAAATCTTCCTGGCAAAGTAAATATTAGTTGTAATTAAACATTTTTAACAAGTTTAATAGAAATTAAAGACTTTATGGGTTAGTTCAGTGAGCAACAACCACATTATTAGGGTCCATAAATATACTAGATTACGTGCGGTAAAATATGATGCTATAATAACGATCAATGTATTAAGTAAATTGAGCCAGGAAAGTTTTTATAAAATAATTAGGGTGTCAAGTAAGTCTTTTGTGGGGCTGCCTTTGTGTTTCCTTGCCAATATAGAAAATTTGCACAAACAAGCTAACAAAAATTGTTCCTAACAATGTGAATGTTACATGGGGGCCTATTACAGGTTTGCAGCTTCACGGCCTTGACCCTCTTTCTATATGCGGCCTATGGCTCTGGCAATGGGTTTTCTGCAGATTACGGCTTCAGCATAAGATGCGTCTTGCATCTTTTGGTGTAAATTGGCAACCATTTTTATCAAGTAAGAAAGTTTTCAAAAGATATGCACTCAATAGATATTGAATAAGGTTTAATCCAACGCCATGCAAAACAAGTTACTTCTATCAATGTTTCCTTAGTATTTAAAGCGAGTATTTCACTTTTTATGCCAGGGCACGTCTTTCAATCACAGTTGCCTTTTTGCAAATTATTTTAATGCTGTTTTTGACTGCTATTTGCAGCTTATAGACCTTTAATAATTGGCCCCTTACATCACAGTTTGCTGTTTGACTGATTTTTTTGGAAAAAATTCTAGTGGGGTGTTCAAATAAAAAAGCCAACTGAAATCATTTTAAAAAATGATGTTTTGTCATAGTTTTAGGCTTCCTTTATCTGTTCGGGTAAAAATAGTTCATCATGCTCGCTCTGGCTGCCAGAGTGCAAAGAATTTTTTTTGCGTGGGGAATTATTTTCTTTCGCTTACGCTTGCGCGGGAACAAATCATGTTGCAAAATCACAGGTAAAAACTGCGGGATTTCATTTTTAAGTAGCACTTTTAGGGCTCTAGATTAGGCTATGCACGGAGTTCACACAAAAGTCTATACCCAAACGCGTTCCCCGCGCATACCCAAACTTTGCAGTCTGGTCTGGTTGGTCTGATGGCCTGCCGGATGAGTCTTGTGTAGTGCGTTTACAACTTTGAAATAATTATTGAAACATTGAAATAAATATAAAAGACAATTAAATAATTATAAATAGCTGTAGAAGATTTTAGCCTCAACATGATATATTTATGCTTTGTTATGTTATGAAAACTTATTTTGAAAAAAAACAATGGGACATAGACTGATGGCTGAGAAGGTTTATTCGCCAAACCTCGATTTCTTTATTCTGAGGATTTTCCCTAAACAGAGATCCTGGGATTCCGGATAATGCAAGTAGCAATTCGTGAAGCATATTTAATTCTTAAACAACAACTTTCTTCTCTTCATATCTGCGTCTTTATCAGACAGAATCACTTCGTAGTTTTGCCGCCATTTTACTCACAGCCTCGATACAAATTAAAATACTGGAGCCTCGTGCTGAATTTCGATCCAGACTTTTTGCTGCGCGGTTGCCTCGATAGGCCTTTCTCTGAAGTGTAATGTCTCGAATGTGATTTGGAGAGGCATCAAATAGGCCACCAAAATGAAGGTAGTTTTCCACTTTCCTTGTCCCTTTCTATTACATAAAATTTAACTAACATGTCAACTGTCATTATTCCTACTCATGCTTTAAACAATATTTCCATATCTTTTGAGATTGCTTAGATATCATTCGATTCTGATACACACGATGAACTCTTGCATTTATAGAAAATTCATGTTCAGAAGTTTACAGTTGTTATCTAGTGGCATTGGACAGATAATTGAAGTGCCATTCAAATTATAAAATTCAGGATTGGAATTGTTTAGTTTGCATTTTCCTAAAAAATCGTTCAAGTGATATTTATGATAATATATTTCTCGGTGAAAAAGCCTAAAAACTTTGGGGGAAATGATATCTCCTATACACCTTGTCTCGTCCCAGAAGAGCTTATAGGATACAAACTTGCGTCGGTTTTCTGCATGACAATTGAATCGTACGTTCAAAACTTGTTTTAAAATGGGCCTAAAAGGTAACTCAACATGGTGGACTTCTTATTGCGAAAAAGGCTACTTCAAAGTTTGGTCTTGGTATGGCCGCTTGTGATTTTGCAGGATTTGCATCAAACATGTATCACAACATGGTTTGTTGCATCACAACAGCCTCACTGCAGCTCCTTGTGCATGTCTTGATAGAGCCATATTTTCTTCCCATTTTCATCCAGCTGCCTGTTCCAAAAGACTTGGTTCATTACCGCATAGGTTTTTCCTCTTGAAATTTCTTCCTGAATGTATCTGTTGCAAATGCCAGTATTCCAGAGTTCTGTTATGCCAGATTTTTTAATATATACTTGGAAGATAATATATACTTTTTTAATATACAGAAAGGTGAAAAGTTACAGTTATCAAGAACTCTTTTACATGTCTGTAATCTCCTGGATTTTTTAAGTCCTTTCCCCCAGCAACCAGAAGCTTGTATGGGGCTAATAATTTTGCCTTTTAAATCCTCCTAGTGCCCTTAAAAAGTTTTTTTATCAAAGGCATTTTATTTTTATTGAAGAACAAAGTTTTCAATTCTAGAACAGTCTTTTAAACAAAGATCTTAAATTTGATGTCTTTGTCGTAGTTAAACATTGCATACCCTGCTAATGGCTCACAGAAACTAATTGAGATTGATGATGAGCTCAAAGTCAGGAACTTTTATGAAAAACGCATGGCTCAGGAAGTCAGTGCTGATTGCCTTGGTGAGGAATGGAAAGGCTATGTTGTCCGCATCACTGGTGGAAATGATAAGCAAGGGTTCCCCATGAAGCAGGGTGTCATGACCAACCAGCGTGTGAAGCTGCTCTTGAAAAAGGGACACTCTTGTTACAGACCAAGAAGGAAGGGAGAGCGCAAGCGCAAATCTGTCCGTGGGTGCATTGTAGATGCCAACCTCAGTGTCCTCAACCTTTGCATTATCAAGAAGGGAGAACAAGACATCCCTGGATTGACTGACAGAGTTGTACCAAGAAGACTTGGACCAAAACGAGCAGGTACTTAGCATACAGATCTCCTTTGTCAGCAGAAATGAATTTTGATCAATAGATTTACTCTTTAGGGCACTGCCAGGCCTTCATTTTTTTATATTTGCTTCTTATTAAATCCTAAATATTTAGACATGTATGATCCTTTTCTATGATCAAGTTTTAATGAAAATTAACCAGGTAGAAAGTGATAAACTCCTGTGTTGAAAGCCATACCACAACCTTATAAAAGCCTTGCCAACTAATGGCAAACATTCCACAAGATATAATGTTTTAAGAGCTTGTTGCCTGGTTGCTGCTTAGTACCATAAATAGTCTGACACTCAGTTCATCATAATCATGTGCCCCTAATTGATATGGGCAGATAAGCCTTTACCTGCTGTTTAGAATTAAATGACGAAAGGACTGTCACATTTATTTTTTCTTGATATTTTTCTTAAATATTTAAAACAATCTATATTCTCAGTTCAGCCATTCCATAGTGACTCGCGTGACAGAGTCACACACATATTTAGTTGTCTAGTAAAGTCAGAATTATTTTCCAAAGCTTGTGATACAATAATAGAATCCCCTTGAGCCATTCTTTATCTTGGCAATGTTTTGTTCCAAAAAAACTTGCTCACCTCTGCAATTTTTTTGTTCATCTGGTGTGACTCGTGTGACCATCACATTTTGAAAGTCTTTACTTGCAGTTGCCTATCTTACTTTATCTGAGAAATTTTAAAACCTTTATGAAGAAGTTTTTAAAAAGATTGCCCCTACTCATTGAGTCACCATATAAGTAGAAAATTTCAATTGAGGTATTTTTGCTTTTTGAAATAAAAAGACCAATGCAATGTGACTCATGTGACCCACAAATGTGACTCGCGTGACAAGTGAGAGTTAACTAAAGGAAACCCAGCTTAAATCAGTGTCTGGAAGTGTAACATAAAAATCAGAACTTTTTCACAGAACTAAATGATCATAAAGGCCATCAAATCAATAGCTTGGCATATCTGGTATTTTAAAAATTATTTTTCAGTTTTCATGAAACATATCAAAGGCTTCCTTTATTTTTGCAAAGTCTTGCTCTGTCAACTTTACTTTTGAGCACCTCGATGATGAGACTGGCATAGGGGCATAAACTTTTACAATGATATCAGAAACAGAGACAGACTCAATAAAAATTTTTATCTTGAAATTGTTTGCATCAGCTGAAGTCTGATGTAGGAATTCCATTGTGACATCATCATTTGAGTCAATTCTCACTACATGCCCTAGGAACCAATAGTCTGCTGGCTCCCAGTAAACAGCATACCAATGACCTATATTGGGCTCAATCAATTTGGGAAATGATATGTCTCCACCTTAATAGCTTTCTAGTATTTTCTCAACTTCATTGGCACTGGGTACCAACATGGAAAAGAGATTTACAGCCTCATTTGCACGAGAAACTAGTATTCTCCCATATCATTGAGTATTATTCATGTCTATAACTGATATATGGTACCCAAATAAAGAAATTAATTCCTTGACATTGTCTAGACCTAAATCCAACCCATTAGTCTAATGTGACCGATGTATTGTGACTTGCGTGACAAAACTTGAGGGTGATTTTTTGTGAAAATTACTGGGCTGATCAATTTCAGTTTCTAGGTCAGCATTGACTTTCATTTGAAAGCCAAACTATGCTCCAATTAATGAAACAAGAATTAAAGGGAGAAAAATGAGAGTACTTTTATTATAAAAATTGTGACTCGTGTGACCATTCAGAGAGGGTCTTTTCAGTGTGGCATTACATAATTATTCATTACTTAAAAAAAAAATTTTGACTGCATAGACATTCTCTCATATAAAAGGAACTAACAAACATGAAAATAACCACAAAATCTCATTTATGTCAATAATGAGAGCTTTTTTCTTAAAATGGTACAAGTGTCTGTCAATGACCTTTAGCAATAGTAAGGTCAGGTATAGCCATAGCCACGCCCATTATCAGCAATTTTTGGGAAATAAAATCATAAATATGCTTAAGCAAGGTATTTTACCACTTAAAAAGCAACTTTTCACATTCAAATTCCAAAATATTTTTTTTCATCAATATGTGTCATTTCTATGGAATGGCTGAGTTACTTAACCTAAAAGGTTTGAAAGCCCATTGCCAACCTTGTTTTTTTATTTATACTCTGAATGAAATATATAATTTTTATTAAAATTCAACATTGTAATTTATCTGATTGGATTTACTATCTCTATAACTACAAACTTCTCTACTAACATAACAAGGACAATACCAAGAGAAGCCCAAGACCTTTCCTACCCCATGGCCAAAGCATAGAGAAATATTTAAGCAATGTTTACTTGTCAGGACATACAAGCAGAAAACAAGCATGAAAATAAAATATTAAAAGAGAAAAAGATTACTTGAAAAGGAATGTGAACTATTTGCAAGGAGTTACTGTTAGATATAATTTTCATCTCACTAGTTTGTGGGATACCTTTAAGACCATCAAAAAGTCTCTGCACATTCAATGCATAACAGAGCAGCAGAATGTCCCCTAAAAGCCACTGTGACACAGTATCAGCCATCATAGGATTTACATTATCAATAAAATTGCAGTGAAATTTTCAATAGGTTTTGCATGTTGAAGTACCCTCTAAGTAGTCAGTACATCCTAATGCTATTAGTCCCGTTACTGAAAATTTGTTCAAGATGACAATTGATGGTGTTTTCTTTATTTAGGTAAAATCCGAAAGCTTTTCAACCTGAGCAAAGTTGATGATGTCAGGCAATATGTCATCAGACGACCAATTGAGCCAAAAGAAGGGAAGCCTGAGCCAAAGAAACCAAAGTCTAAAGCCCCCAAAATTCAGCGATTGGTTACCCCACAAAGGGTGCAACGCAAGAGACACGAGTTGTCCCTCAAACGAGGCCGTGCAGCCAAGGCTAAGCACGAGGCTGCAGAATATGCTAAAGTATTGGCAAAGAGAGCGAAGGAGGCCAAGGAGAAGAGACATGAGTTGCACATGAAGAGGCGAAGATTGTCCAGTCTCCGAGAATCAAAAAGCCATTAATTTCCTATTGAAATAAATGATCGATTACACTTGAAAATGATTGCTGTTTTTCTGTTTGAAATCTGCTGTTCTTGAGATGCAGGAACCTCGGATCACATTCTGGTGTTGGGGTGGGGCTCAAACTTTATATTTGATGCCACACCCTAAGTATCTACTTCAGTTGAAAAGTAGGTGGGGCTATAGCCTTTTTTATAAGAATCCGTAAATTTTAGTTCAGGCTGACTGTTCTTATTTTTTTTCGAAAACCTGAGGCTGGATTGTTCTTGATTTGTTTTTATATTAACCGGGTGTTAGCAGTGTGATGGCTAGCTTTTTAGCTCTAAGGAGGTGTTCAGGCCTCATTTATCAACATAGCGAGTGAGACAACTTTCATTTGCCGACAAGTTTGAATATTCACGGAAAAAGCACCCATGCATGGCCAAAAATATTCGTTTTTAAGATAAATAAATGCAATAAAGAATCGCATTGAGCAAAATATAAAAGAGCAACCCTAAAGCTTGCTTTCCACAATGAATTAACGTGAGTTAATTTGTAATTTTGTGATCTGACATTGTTAAAAAGCTATCTCGTTGTGGAAAGGCTCATTACAAAATTTTTTGATCTCAAACTCAAGAGTTAAGTTCAGAAAGCCGATGCGTGGGAGGGGAATGTGCTACCATTTACACTGAGGTTCTTACGCAACGCACTTGCACTGAGCATTTCTTAGGAAGAAGTGACTGACTCGTCAGATAGCACTACCTTATTCGAACTTTGGCTACTGCAGTTCGCACAAACGTAATTTAAATGATCTAAATACTAATTATTTGATTGAAAAATTATGGAGAAAATGCTTTTGCTGACATCCAGCCTCGTATTAATACAAAGTTATGCCAACTTATCATTTAATGACGTCATAATAAGAATACTGATGTCGGCAAATCATTCTTAAATGAACATCAATTGAAAGCTTGCAATGAGACGATTCGTGTAACTTGCGTCAAAAAATAACACTCCAGTAAAGAGGTAGCGATTATTTTGTCTGACTTTTTACTGTTAAATGACGTCATCAGTCCCGTGACATCCAGGCATTTTAAAAAAGTCACCTGGCAGATTATGAAAGCCTGGACTCCCTACTACAAGAATCTGTTGAGAAAGAAACATTAGCTTGAATGTCAGATTGTCAGGCTATATGTCCTGTCTAACGGGCCAAGAGAATTTCTTGGAGCCATGGCCCCATGCCCTACCCCGTAGAAACGGTACTGCGGCCCTCTTTTCTCATTTCAGATAGATTTGGGAGGCTCAGCTTCCTTTCACTTAACAACCCTTCTGGTTTGACAAATTCTGTGTTGGCAACTCTTTATTATGCTCATGGGCTTCGACGTAGGTTTGAAAGTGGGGGGGGAGGTACCCTGGGTACAAGACTCACTTTATATATAAAATAGGAGAGTCTCTTTCATATCATATAGGATGAGTCTTGTACCCAGGGTGGGGGCAGAGGAAAATTTTACAATCATAACAGAGGATTTTGAGCAAATGCTTAACTGTTTTCCAAAAAAGTGGGGGGCCCTTCGTCGAAGGCCCTGATACAAAGAAGAACCTTTAAGGAGTCAGACGGTTCTTGGGTCTTCTTAGATTTTACTTTAAAAATTCTTTTTAAATACTTTTCAATACTTTTGAATGCATTTCAAATGTGGAAAAATTTTTAGGACAGGGGTGCTTAGGCTGGGGTTGACTGGCCCAAAGGCAACTTTTGCTGCAATCTTTTGACCCAAAAAGCCTGAGCAACCCTATCCTGTATGAGAACCCGCCGTCAGATTTTAATTTTAAGTAATGAAAATCTCCTTCTCGGCGGTAAGCCAGAAGCACACAGCATCTTGATTGCAGCTTGAAACGTAGAATGAAGGGATCAGTGACGTAGAAATCCCGCTGCATGTAGTCAGAACATTCCAATCATGCAAATACCACCCTTTTAGCTTAAAAATTACCCTTTGTAGCAATCTTTATTGCAACTTTTTACAAAAAACGTTTGCACGTTATATATTAAGTTATTCTAATAGAGAAGGTTATCTTTTTTAGAACAACTTAATTTCTTTGTGAGGAAGGGTGCTTTTCTAGAGAAAAGGCACTTTCTAGACAAAATAGGACACTTTTCTTGCAAAACAGGGTATTCCTTAGCTGCAAAAAGTTACTGTCAGTTGCTACTTTGAAAAAAGTTTGTTGCTGCTTGTCATCACCAACGAATTACTTTTGCAATGCTAGTTGAGTCATGAGCAATGTAAAGTTGCGTATTTCCAATTGCCCTCTTCCTGCATCAAAAAATTTTTTATGATTGGTCAGCACGTAAAATATCCGAAAAACTATAGCTTTTGACGCAAATTCGGCTTGACTCCCTAGCAACTTACAGGCTAAGGTTTCTACCCCCACATGTTTTAAAGGAAGGTCATTGAAAAAGATGAAAGGAATTTTAATCATGACCAAATGAGAAGATTCGCCATCGATCATTTGTTTTCCGCCCTCGTTTCTTACTTCCTCATTTGCCATATATCACGTGACTATCCCCAAGATATACTTAGTATACAACATGGCGAGTGGAGCAGGGAAGGGAAATTTCGGCAGTAAATTCAGAAATTTTATAGGCGTAAAGAAGAAACCCAAACAAAAAGACGGCAGTACAGGTTCAGTTGGCTCAGGTGAATCAGATGATGAAGGTTACATGGATCCAGAGGGTCTTTTTGCGACAGAACCACCGGGTCAACCGAAGCCACCTATCCCGGACTACCCTCCACCATTTTGCCCTGGGTCGAAGTATTCGCCGAAAGTATCGAGACCGTATTCATCTATCGAACCAAATACAACTTCAAGTTTAAACGCTGCAGAAATGAGGGACTATGCAAGAAGTCTTGATAATTCAAAAAAGAAGCCGAAACCGACAATTCCAGAAAAGGTATCCAATTGCTTTTTTACGATGTCATTTTTATTGTCATTTTTGAGTGCGAAGAGGTGTCCAGAAATCCTGAGATAACCCGGTCTATAAAAGCTAGGTATTGTAGTCTTTGTGGAAATTGAAAAGGAAATATTAGAATGACGGCAGTTTATGAGAAATATGGCCTGTAAATGAGATATCGGGCCTAATTTTATTTTGTGTGATGTTGTTTGTTGGTTAAGGGCTTTGGTAAACTGGGATTTCTGCCAGGTCGTTGAATAACTTCCTTCTACTTGTCAGTAAATAAGAGTTCAAGTTGTGTTCATCTCTCCCCCAAAACTATTAGTGCTAGATGTAAAAATGGTTTTCCTATGTCCAGGTTTGAATTCAACATTTCTGAAGTCAATTTTTTTTATGAAATAGTTGAATTATTTGTCAATCTGCCAAGTCAATTCAAATTCAAATTCGTTTTCATTTCAAACAACAAGAAATACAAGTTAAAGTTTAAATACAAATTTGTGAAGAGATTACAGTACAAATTCTAAATCTTAACTAATGACAATTGCTAATACAAAAAACAGTAATAAAATAACTTCATATATTATTTTTACTCATTGTTTAGGACCCTTAGAAAAAATTCTGATAAGACTATCAAGTTAAGGGCCCTGCTTTTTAAGCATTGTAATTAACTGAATTGAAGTTTAAGAACGGTAACAACAGCATACAGTATAATCCGGTTATAGCGTACTTTAAGGGACCAGTGAATTAAGTATGTTTTATCCGAAGTATGTTGTAATGAGGGTAAGGAAAAAAAGGACGAAAACCAAGCACACTTTTTGCCGGGACCAAGCACACCAGTAGGTTATACCTGAAAGTACGTAATAACCAAGTACGTTATAACAGGATTCTACTGTAATAAAGAAAGCATAAAAATGAATTGAACGTATAAATTGCAGGTACAATAATATGTATATAAAGAAAACAAACTATGGCTCTTAATTATCTCTCTTTTCCCTGATTTTATTTGTTATCAGCCTGATTTTATCAGCCTTGTATATATTTACTCATTGCTACTAAAAGCTAAAAATAATTCAAGACATAAAGGCTAATGAAAACTTGAATGCCGGAAAATGCCAGAATTCCTGCCACATTTTTAGTCTGATCCCTGCTCACAGAAAATTTCCAGTTCCTGATTCCCAAATCTCAAAAAAACATATTGGGTTCCCTCTATAAGATTTTTTTTATATCCATTAAAAAGTTACAATACATAAATACAAGCTACGCTACTTACAAATTCACTTTACAATACTACTCGGACAATACCCCAAGAAGCAAAAGACTATGACTACCCCGGGGCCATAGACACAGAGGTTAAAATAAACTACTATAGTCTGTCTCAAATTACATGCCACAAGAAATGTCTGTGATCAATTCGAACTCTATAAGAATCATTTTATCAACACTTTTATCAACACTCAGAAAAGTTGAAACATTTTTTTTGCTTTCCATGGCCTAGCCTAAAGCTATGTCAAGACCAGGGGGTGATGACTACAGTGACCCTTGGGATACCAGAACATCAAATGCAGCATCTCAGAGACCTGCTGCCAATCAGAGGGTGCCACAAGGGGATAATTATACAAATCCATATGATTCAAGAGGGTCCCATGCACCTCCACATACCCAGAAGCCACAGCCTACATCCCGTGAGAATTACATTGAACCATGGGATGCAAGATCTAAACCACGTGACATGAAAACGAAACACAAGGATGATTATACAGACCCATGGGACTCTAAGGCACCTGCAAGCCTTCCCAAAAGCAGTTTTGAAGAAGATGAAGACTACACTGTTCCATATGATGCAGGTTTGTTAATCATAGAAGGTCATATTTGTGTTCAAAGCTGTTTCCTCTGCTTAGACTTTTGTTCAGAATTCAGAGCTCAGAGCTCAGAGTATAATAATGTAAAAGAAACATAATGTGTTTTGTTTTAACAATCCAAAAAAAATTTGTCTTCAAATGCATGTTCTCTCTGTTAAATGGCTCAACAATCAAGAGAAATTTCAAAGAGTTAAAAAACAGTGGTGTGATGAATTTGTGATTCAGGACTGATTATTTAAAAAAATGACAATTTTAACATTTATCATTATTCAGCGTTTTTAGTTATTTTGAATTTTTCTACCTGTTCTTTGGATGTCAATACATTTCTGGTAAGAGATGTCAAGTTCATATTGTAAATTTTCTGTTATGAAATTGTAAAAAAAGCAATCTTGTGGCTCAGTTGATATTGAATTATGTTACCTCAGAATGAGAGTCTTTGAAGAAAAAGTAAATATCTTTTGTTGAACTTTTGTAATTCCATGCACAGTGGCATTTGGAATGCTAAAATTATTGCTTTTTTCTCTTTTGTACATGTTGAAAATCTTATGATATATTAAGCTGGATTCACAAACTTTTTATTGGGCTAGTGGATTATAACTTTGCTAGCAATTTTTCATGCAGTTATCTTTTTCAAAACAAGGTAAACCTACACCCACAATGCAAGGAAATGCTGGAATCCCACCTCTTGCAGAAATGGACGATCTTTATGATGTCCCTTACGAAGAACAAATGGCTGCTGCCAGAGCCAAAGTAAAGGTGGAGTCAGAACACCAATATGTTAATGGCACAATGCAAACACCCAAGAGGTAGGAAGTTTTTCAAAGTTTGCTATTTTATGAAGACTGGTTTTTTATAAAGTGCTTGAGGCCATGTAGACAGACTTGTATAGATCAGGTGTGCATATCAAGATGGTATTAAGTTGCAAGTCTTGATTTCACCTGGTTTTAAGGTAAGAGTTGAGTGGAGAATTGTTCTAATTGTAATGATTTATCAGAAGAAAGAACATTTTTTCCTAGGTATTACAAAACGCTATGCCTTTAAGTTGCAATGGTCACTAGCTAGCCATATTTTATCCTCAAGTGATAAGGCCATTATCCTAAACCTGAAAATTTACAGGCACCTCAGAACAACAATAAATTTGTTCCAAATTTGTTTATTGTGGTCAAAGCCTTGTTTATGTAGTCTTTCTGTAATGATATGGTACTTACAAGGAACAGTAACTAAGTTTTAATATTGAGGTTTCACTGTGACTTCAATCCATGGAATGTTTATCTGTCTAATTAAGTGTGATCCAGCTCAGCATTCACTTTCATTGAATGTTTAAGATATCACCCAACTCAATGGACAGCAAACATGAGGTTATTCAGAACTCTTCTCAAATTACCCGAGACAGTACTTTGCAAATATCAAATCTCCTATGTTTCCTAGAAGATTTTCCTTTATGGAACAAAATGTTTGTGCTTCTGTCTGTTAAAGATTTAGGTAAGCTTAGCTTTAGGCAAATGAAGGATAAAACTTTCAATACTTAGAATTTTCAAGGAACGCTTCCGTAATTTTGCTGAAGGAAGAACAGTGTCAAGGAAGTATGGAAAAATCAATAACTTTACCCTTTTGCACAGAAAATACAAGCTGTCAATGGAATAAGCTGTCAGTTCTCTGGGAAGTTATTTGAAGTGTGTTATTTCGGGGGGGGGGGGGGTGTTATGTCAAGGCTCTTGAACTTTGGAATGAACAATTTTTCCGTGACCTGTCCCAAAAAGGTATGCAATTTTTCCAATGGCAGTTCCATTGAAATTATCCAGCACGGTTGAAGTCAGGTCTTAAGTTCGATTTTGTCGGTTTTAGAATTAAGAAGAAATTAATCACTGTCTACCTACAATATCGTACAACTACAAATTCAAAATTACTAAGAGCTGTTGTTTATTTTCCTTCGAATCAGCAACCATTTTGTCTCTAATTTCGGATATTTTGTATACTATAAAACTAGTTTCTCAGAACCATTAAAATAAACTCTAAACGACAATGAGAATTGGAGTGATCGAGCTCAAAATGATCTGTCAAGTTAATATACATAAACATTAACAAAAATTTTAATGAAACGAAATGATAAAGAAAAACAGTAAAATAAACAACTGAATAGCAGTTTGAATTCTATCTTTATGCATTTCCTGGTAGCAGTTAGATTATTATTATTATGAATACTGAAATACACATATCCTTCAAACATTTATCAGCTCATTTGAAGAGCTCAGAAAGCCCGCATCAAAACACGACTCCCAGGAAGATCAGACGTCAAATTCGCAAATATTATTAAATTCACAAATATTATTAAATAATTTTTTAAAATTTTATCTTCCATTCTTAGTTTTTTTTTAGCTTATCATAACTTGTATTTAGGTTTCTGATGGGATATCGTGTTAAAATAAGAATATAATAATAGAAATAAAGTGAAAAAAACGTTTTAAATGTTTCTGCAACATTTCCTCGTAAAAGCAGAAACTCTTGTAGTATATTCAAACGTGCTTGAAAAGTCGTAACGTGTCCAAATTTTCAATGATACACAACTAGAGATACAGGTCAGCTCTTTATTGTCACAGTGTAGCTCGTTTTGCCTCTGTGTGTTCAATTGATGGCATCATATTCATATTTGTGTTAGGAATTACGTTCTATAGACACGTATTTTCAAGACCGAGCTTGACCTGGTCACATGAGATCCCATGTCTCATGTGATATATCAATATAAACATACAAGGAAGGCTCTTTCAAGCCGCCGGAGAGGGAGAGAGGCTTATTAATTCTAGATATCCTAAAAAGGCAAACTATTAGTGTTTTGAGCTTATTTCAAAAAAGTTGCAAAGAGACATAATTCCTATGCAATCTGGATTTATGTCGGAGGCCTTCAATACCGTACCGAATGTCGTACGATTCTTTTACAAATCGCTTTATCCTTTTTGCAACCTACCTAACCTACCGGGAAGGTTAGAATACTCGGATTCTCGAGCTGGACTAGACTTTTTTGCTTAAAAAACACTTGCTTTTTATTTTTAAACACGTGGCTCAAGCCTCAAGATATTGGTAACATTGCACATGAGAGCACCAAGACCGGTCCACCGATGTTCTTGTCTGAAAATAGGGTGCTTAAGGAAAAGGGGGGTTTCATATTTTTGCTTTGATCGGTGAGGGGGGCTTAATAGAGGGTGTTGCTAAATAGAGCCTATATCAAGCTAACCTTTACAAAGAGTTGTATATTTTGCGACAGGTGTAACTTAAAGGCTCCTGCATAACCAGCATGCTTTGCAAATATATTTTCAAAACCTGCCTAATGTCATACTGCATGAAAATACAAAATACAATCAATTTCTCCTCGCGTAAGAAGACAGCTAACGCAAAGCATGCCGGATGCGCAAGAGCCTTTCAGCTAAATAACTGTCATTCGATGCTATCTTCGTTACAAATAACCGATTTATTTTCGTACCCAGTCCACCTCCAGCCGATGACTACGATGAGCCATGGGAACAGAAATCAAAATTGCTACAAGCACTTCATAAGCCTCCTGTCCAATCCACGGAACAACCTCGTACGCAGCGTCCACAGCACCAATCACACGCACCTAGTCAGAAAACTGCGCCTCCTCAGCAGACTGTCAAGGATGACTATGACGCGCCATGGGAATGGAGCAACAAATCTCTCACAAAGGCATTCGCTAACTTGCCTCCACCAACTGCAGCACAGGCAGCGAGATCAATGGAAAAAGTTGGCGGCTCAGTAACGCAACATAATAGACCAATGAGTATGCCACCAGTACAAAATCAGTCATCAGTTGAACTGCCCCCGTCTAACAGTCCAAGAGTATTCGAAGTCGACCCCACGATGCCATTACAAAACCAAGGGTATGTTTCAGTTATATTTGTGTTCAGCTTATGCTTTCGTCTCACAAAGCATGGATAAGAGTAAAAAAATCAAAGTAACTGATGCAGGTTATTATAAACAACTGTCACGGTTATTTGGACAATTACTTCCAACATTGGACCCCCATTCACTCAAAGTGTCAGGGGGAGTAGAGAAATGGTTGATATAAACGGGGGAGGGGGGGGCTCGAGCATCAGCAGGCATACAGTAAAAATCGTGAAAAAGAGTTCCTAAAAGGACATATAAGAAATCAACCAGCCTCATTTTGAAATATTTTCTTGCATATATATAAGAAACGTAGCAGCTGATATGAAATTTCGAATTTCTTTAAAGCAGAGATTTACTGTATCCGTCAACATAATCACTCGGGAGAAAGGAGGGTTAGTTCGCAGAAGTGGGATTTCTGAATAAGAATATTTGTTCGCTGTTCAATGGTTTGTTTGAATCACATAACCTCTTATGCAGTAGTTGAGAAGATATCTTAAATCTGAATGTAATAAACCTGCTCAGCTCAGTGACCTCGATCTCATGAGGAGGCTCGTAGAATTCCCGCTAGAGTTCAACGAGGCTCCTGCAGTTTTTATTTTCACCGTATGACTTGCGTGATATTTGTATTGCTGCATGTATTGAAAAATTTAAGTGATTTGTTATTTCTGATGTATTATTTTTGGGTAATAGTTCCGTGAAAGTCCTTGACCTGAATAGCTACGCGAGACATCACATTTGATAGTATTAGCAAATAATACATTTTTAAAAATCCAATTTTAGATGGTATCATGGAAAGATAACCCGATTTGATGCGGAGGAGCTGTTGAGAAACGTCCCCGATTGCAGTTACCTAATCAGGGACAGTGAAAGTTCCAAAACTGACTTTTCATTGTCACTCAAGTAAGTCTTTCTTTATACTCTTTTCTGAAGCAGCTATGTTTAAAATAATTTGATTTGTCTCCATATAAGTTCTAAAGAACTGCGTCAAAAATGTCAATGAAGCCAGAGGAATTGCCAGTTTATAAATTTATGACGTCCATTTGATAAAAATTCATTTCATTGCGGTCCATGTCGAATGTTTTCTGCGCGCTGTTTGACTCACGTGATTCGACGCAGTCCTTAGTTTTGCCACCATTTGCTATATTTTGTTCCACTGCCTCGGTTCTTAGTATCATTGGCGGCGCCAGCAATTAGGTAGATGTGAGACAAAGGAGGAAAGTTTAGGCCACGCCCTTTTTACTGTCAGCAAACGCCCCTCAACCAAAAGGGCATATTCTCAACGTCAATTTTACGTCCATGACTTCCTTTTGGTTTCGTAAAAACAGTTTCAATATTATAGAATTGCATCACAAAGAATGCTTTGCCAAAACATTACCCATCTACGAACTTTTTCTCATCGAATTTAGACAAAATGCAAAATCGAACATGCTGAGAACTTAGGGGGTGGGGGCCATGTCACTTCAACAGTCCCCCCATTTGTGCCGTCATTGTGTAGTATTGTGATTTGATTGGCATATCCCACAACAAAATTAGAATTTAGAATCTTTTAAAATAGATCGTGCAGTTTATTACAAATGGTATCAATATTAATGGTGTTTTCTCTATACCGTGATATTTGTTTGTTCCTTAACTGACTTTGTTTCATTTGTTGACAGGAATAACGATGAGCCAATGCACCTCAAAATAGCTTGTCGTGAAGGAAGGTTTATCTTAGGGCAGCATAGCAAGCCATATGATAGTATACCTGAAATGGTCCATCACTATTCAATGAACAAGTTAAATATTCGTGGAGCTGAACATGTCAAGCTCATCTACCCAGTCATTCAAGAAGCTATGTATTTTACTGTGGAGCCTGGTACCTAATGACGCAATCTCTCTTCGAATACGCAACAAAAGCTCGAGCTCCTGTGAAGCAACACAAGCCATTGGCATAATAGCTCCATTACTAGCATGCAGCTTGTTTCTGTTCACAAAAGGCCAAATCTTTGGTACCTTTACGCAGAATGATAGTTTTCCTAGTACCCCTGCGCCTTTGTGTAAAGCGTCTTCAGTCCATCACCCCTATCTTTATCTCCGTAACAAGCTACTAGTGCTTTTTACAATTAAACACCAATCTGTGAAAGTTTCTTAATAATGAAACTTGCTTGTATACTCTGTATTCAAACAATGCTAGCTAGCAACGTGCTTTGTCGATAACTCAAAATTTGCTGGTTGTTTGAAAGCTGGAGTCTTCGTTTGAACTGAAGACTTCCCTCACCAGGAACTTCCCTCATTTTATGAACTCAAGCAAAATATGATTTCTTAACTGTGCCAATATTGACGCGTTCCTCTCTCATTAGCGAGGGGAGGTCTGCCCAATTTTCACAACGATGCTTTGGTACCCTAAAGACATTGCCTCGTAGTGTTTCTACCAGAAATACTATCAATCTCACAGCCCGGGCCAAGGTTAACAGGAAGCTGCATGTAATTGTCTTTCTAGTTTAGATAGCGCCGAATTATGGATATCATTTGAATCAATTATCAGACTTTGTTAAGATAATGCTGTAAGAATCTTGTTTTATAACTTGAGACTGAAATTTCATAATTGTACTCCCATTTGAAAGTCCTTAAATGATATTTGTTTTCCAAGTAAAATGCCTCAAAGTGCTTGAAAAACTGTTAGCTCGTGTATTTCACAGGATGGTGTGTAGCAGCGATTCGCGTTATTCGAGAAATTCAAGTTCACGAAGAATTGTTTAGAAATTCTGGCTTAAAATTTGAATTTGATGAATCAGCTAAGATTTCCATCTTATTTGTAAATTGATTCGATTTTTGAAAAGTAGGTAGAAATATTGTTTTATTGTAAAGCAGATTAACCATTTTGTTCAACTTTAGTGTATGTAGAGATTTCATGTTGGAGCATTCATCTGAAAATTGCTTATCGGCGACTCAAGAACTTGGGGACCAAAATATCGTGCTAGAGGATGCCTTTTCTATTTGTCACTTCAAGCTACGTCGCTATTTAGTTACAGAATTTAAGAATCGTTTGGATAACCTAGTATTTATAGAGAGCTAGGGGTGTAGAGCTCGGATTAGCCCCCTTATTAATGCCTTAGAGTAACCCAATTTCTACTTTTGTCCTTTTATGGGGAAGTTTTCACCTTGGCCCCAATGTTCTTTGCAAAGCTCAACACCCCTTTTCTTTTAAAGATGATGTCTTCATGAATGGAAGTAATAAATTTTGCTTGATATATTTAGTATTGTTGATTGGGAACCTCAATTAAATTTGTAAATGTCTTACGACGAGAAATATATATCAAAATATTCCAAAAGATTGATTCATTTTTTGAAGATGTTTTCTTTGAATTGGCTTCTACGATTTTCTTCCATTTAAATGCAATTTATTATATAAAATTATGCCTGCCCCCTCTAGAGCTAGCAATATTAGCAAAAAGCAATTTTAGCAAATAGCAATTTTCTTAATTTTTACTATTTTTGTACAAAATTTTGAAGTGTTTTGTTTTTTTGTACAAAAATTTCTAAATTTACCCACCTTTACAGGCATACATTTTTTAAAAGAGTTTCTAGAAAAAGGTCGAAATGGATTTTTAAATTTTTCTATGGTTTCTAGAAACAGCGACGGCTGTCTTTCAGTTTTGAGATGCTAAGATCTTTGCATCCTAAAATATGGAAGTTATAGGTTTGTTTGTCATCGCAAAACCAATCTAGCTTAATTACTAATTATAAGGTACTCTAACCAAAATGGAGGTGAAAATCTCTATTTATCGCTTGTATTACAAGTGAAAAAAGTTCAAGGGCAAGTCAAAGCAGTTCAGGAAGCAGTGCTAGAAAATTGTATCGATTTTACAGGCTATTTGTGTCTGTCTGCATTGTAAGTGAAAGTAGAACCAACCTTTGGACCTATTTTTCATGCTCTTTGGAACAAAAATATGTCGCTGCAAAGGAGAAGCTGAGCAGACTAGGAGATTACGAATGCGCTTCTATGCGAAACCGAGGCTGATCTATGATGTCTGGTCAGTACTCGTGAACCACCAACTTCATAGAAAACTGTAGAAAATGACACACAAAAAGGAGTAAAAGGGTAGTTAAATTTTGAGGGAGAAGCTGGTAAATTTTTAGGTCGAGTATTACAAGTTGTGAGAAAATTTTTCTCAAGCAAGTTGTGATTGTTTTCCTTATTCTTTGAGTAGTAACTGAGGATGAACAAGCCCGTGATACCATGGAATCCTTTTGGAATTAGGCCGCTACCAAGAAGATTTCCTGTCCCTCGGCCACATGCCAAGAAAAGGAAGAAAGTAATCCCATGGAAAAGTGAAGAGTGGCATGTTCTTAAAGGAGATAAAGTGAGGATCTCCTTTTTCTGTTTTTGATTTTCAACAATTTTTTGAGCAAGGTCTTCTCAATTACCAATTTCTGTCACTGTCAGATAAACGTTTCATATAATGTGTTATTTGCATTTGTTCGAATATATATTGAATATTTGGAACGCCAAGCATCTAAGTTCAGGGAATCATTCTGTCAAATCTTTCATAAATTAATCAGGTAAGGAAATTATACCATTCTTCCATTGTGTATTAGTAAGTCACCAGGATAGAAAACGCCTATGCTTTTGCTGACACTACGACCAAAGGCACATTATCAGCTGCAGCCTGCGAGCTGGAGGAGCTGTGAGAAACGGTGCCTGTTTTATACCAACTATAGTATAATATACATGACTTTATTAATGTTTGGGAAACAAGAGCTCCAAGGTGCGAGCACCAGTAGCCCACCGTAGTTGCTAGCATATGCATGTTTTCCAGCCTGGGCTAGCCAAATCTCAAGCTGGCATACTGACATTGGATTGAGTCTGTTTTGATTTCTTCATACAACATTGCCTGAGTATACATAGTATACCCTATTGCAGTAGGATTCAAATCAGAGCCATGCACTTTCACAGGGCAGTTGAAACACCACAACACTACCTGGCCAGACTTTAAGGTTTGGTCTCTGTGGGGAACTTGTCAATAATTACACATCCCTGCGCAATAATTTTTAATCTTTATTCCACCTAAGAATCTGCTGTAATTTCTGCACACAATATTTGTTTATCTGGTCATGTTCTCCCCAAATATTTCATCATTTAAATTTCTGACTTCTGAAAACAAGAAAAGACAAAGAATACAAGGTCTCTTTGAAAGCCTTTGCTGCAAATTCTGCACAGGATTTTGCCAGGAAATGTTTGTTATCCGCAATATTAGAATTATTGTTCTGGCCTTCCCCACACAAGAAAAATCCTTTACAGTCTGGCTACCCAGTAGACACTTCAAGGCTGACTGAGCTATATGTTCCTAAGCAGGGGTGAAGAAGTGATTGTCAATTTCCATTTCATTGGTTGCAACAAACAATTGCATAAGTCCACTGTAAACAATTGCATAGGTTCACGGTGAACAATTGCATAGGTCAACTCTGATTCCTATTGGTTGCCTATACCTCTGCAGTGGCAAACTTGACTCCTGATCTGATAAGTTAAGTCCCACAAATGCTTGTGTCTAAGACAGAGGTGGAAAAAGTATCGGAACCTGGGAACATAGTTCCCAGAAATTTTTCTAGATAAAAATGTAGCAGAAAGTTTCACAGAAAATTTTTGAAGTGTTAGAGTAAATGTAAAAATCTGGTGACAAATGTTAAGTCAAATTAACAGAAAGTATTATTTTCAACTCGCCTGTGAGCAGCTAAATTTGAGCTGCCAAAGGACTGTGGGAATTAGTCTCTTTTCATTGGAAAGAAATTCTTGGTGCATATTATTTACATTCGCCATCTCACAGAAATCTTAGCCACTCACGATCAGAATTTTTTTAGCAGCTGAGCTTTCAAGACAAACCATGATTAAAACTGAGAATAATATAGAGACTGGAATCTACTTTTACAGAAAACATTTCTGACACCATGGTGTGAGCAGCATTGATCATAAGTTAATATGCTTAGGTAAATTAATTTGTTGCATGCTAGGACTCCATTTCAACCACATGTTGCTTCTCACTTGTCAAAAGATTAGGCAAAGCCTTCTCCATAAATTGCACCATACAATTCAAATGATTTTGCCCTAACTCTTCTGAAACTATGTTTGGAGATTTTTGCATGGATTTTCCTTTTGATTTTCCATCATGATGATTGATTGAATGAATCAATTTCTAGTTAAAGTTGATTTCTTTCTTATGTGGATTTATGCTTTAAATAAAGGCATATCTAATATGTTGAGAATGACAGTTTTGGAACAATAGTCAAGATCTCCGATGTTAAATGACACTGATTATGTTAAGAAGTTGATTGCCTGATAATTTTATGCATTCGATTTAACCTTCTATAGAAATACTTCGAGAGAAAAAAAACAAATTAAGCATCAAAATAAAAACAGATTGAACATTCAAATGAGAAGTATCATACTTCTTAAAACTAAGTTTGCCCTCTTTTATACATCAACCAAGTATAGAGATATAGGCACAAACAGAAAGTTTATTTGTCTACCCCCTAAATCTTGCAGAAAGTTTTGAGCCAGATTCTTAGGTTCCCAGAAAGAAGAAAATTTTTTCCACCTCTGGTCTAAGATTGCAGAGGTAAAGTACACTCTGATTGACCTTCAGATGTTTGTGCAGGTCAAGCAAGTGATGATTGGCTCTTGAGAGACAAGCAAGCTATTCGATTCAGAAAATGTGGACCAGATAAATGCCTAGAATCACCATCTGACAGTTCTGTTCAGAGGGTGAAGGATAATCAGCAAAATGCATGCTCTGTCTTATGTATGCTGTTGGTATCAATGAGGGAAGATTTAGGATTGATATTGCTAAAATAATTTGCCAAGAAACCATTGATTAAATATTTTCAAAGTTTCCGTTTTTGCTTTGTTTGTAAAAATCTGACTTATGCTTCTGTATAGGTTGCTGTTGTCTAGATTTGCCTGCTGTGCATTGTATCAGTCCTGTTCCTTCCTCTCAATTTGACTACCCCTCATGATTTGTAAACCTGGAATTACAGATCATGAGGTGTGGTCACTAGGGGCTAGAGTCTCTCCTCTCTCTAAGTGAAAATTTGGTCTTGGCGAGGACTTTTTGTGAAACAAGAATTGAGCATTGTTGTGTGCAATTCGTTCACTAATAAAACCATCCATCGACTATCGTGTTATTTCCAAACCCAGCGAGTCTTATTTTACGTGCAGAGAATACGGAGCCAGAGAGAGAGTGTGTAACTGAACTCTAAACTATGAACTTGGTTGTGCGAAATCCGCTGTTTGAAATTGTGAAGACTAAAAATTTCATTGTTCTCTAGGTGGAGATAATGGCTGGCAAAGACAAAGGCAAACAAGGAACTATCAGAGAAGTTGCTCGTTCCAAAAACTGGGTATTTGTTCAAAACCTAAACTTAGTAAGTAATGCTTCTGTTAATTTTCAGCATCATGAATCTTTGAAAATCTTTTCCTTATTTAGTGTTCCACATTTTCCAAACACAGTCCACATTGTCCTCTCTTGCTGCTTTTATCCATCATGGTTGATTACTTGAGTTTTTTTTGAAAATATCTACATTGTATTTAGCCTAGTTTCTTTTAAAAGTCACTCTATAATTGAATTCATATTTTAAAGCCCCCACTCTTGATTGAGCCCCTCTCTCAATTAAATCCCCTCTTTAGCATCAGGTTTAGAATAAGTCCACTGGTACTTATTGGCATTTTGACAGGTTGTGTTTTGATGATGTAAATAAGCTGCCAGATAATGGGTCAATAATATTATAATATTCTGTAGCCCTTTTGCAAGATTTTTATAAGTATGATATTAGTTTGTGCCCTGTCCATTCTTTCTGTAGCAAAAATTCATATACAATGTTTCAAATGCAAATGAAATTCGTTCTCATTTAATCAGATTTATTGTAGAAATGATACCTGTGCTCATACACATGAAAAAGCAACCATTTGAGGGTACCAAAAAATGCAGTACCAAAAGTTTTGATTGATTAATTTTTAGCATAAAAAGTTTTGCCAAGATTTTCAAAATTTTGATGTAAATTTTGACAAGAACTTGAATAGTTTAGGTGGAAAGAAAAATTTTAGTGAACAAATAATGGAACACTTTTGTCTAAAATTATATCTTATAAAAAATCTTAGTCATTAAGTCTTGTAGTTGAACTAAATATGAATATTTACAATGCCAGTGCAATTAATGGTACAGACGAATAGGTCTTCAAACATTATTAAAAGTTACAGTCATTGATAGTTTCAAATATACAATCTTGCAATAATTGTTGGAATGCCTACACAAAATCATCACAGATTTTAAAGTTGTTTCCCCTTTCCATTACAATGTTGACTGATAACAATATTGCACGATGTTCAATTGTTCATTGACAAACTAACTAGAACCGGATGGATTGATGTTTCTAATGAAGAAATCAGCATTGTACAAGGGGAGGGGGAGAATATAGCAAAAGTGTTGGTGACCTGGAGAGGTAGTTGAATCCTGGGGTTATCAACGTTTGTGTATTTACATTGTGGTGACCCAATTATTTCGGCATTTATTGTAAGTTGAAACGAAAACCATACCCGAAACAGTTAGCTGATGTAATCGGATCGTGATGCTATTTTTTAACTTTATTTAAGCATTAATTTCCAGTGATTGCAAACTATCTGGTAGTCCTAAATTGTGTTAAGCTAACAGTAGTATTATACTGAGCTTATATTCCCTTTTTCCATAACACAGAAACACAAATACATGCAGCCTTACAGAGACTTTCAAGGTGGATTCTTTCCTATTGAGCTCCCATTGCATGCAGCAGATGTTAAGCTTGTCGACCCAAACACAGGGTAACTGCATTTTTAATGAGTCATTACTTTTCTTGTTGTGTTTTAGAATTGTTATAATGATAATAATTTCATGTGGTAGGAATGCTACTCAACGTAAAATTGCCTGCCTTACTGCAAACTCACGGTATGATAAATAAAGATCCATTTCTTGTATAGTATTCTGTCATAAAAGTTGTTTTTTCGTGGTATTCGGACAATTATTTGGCGGTACAAAATTTGAAAATGCCTTTGAAATAAACAAACATTGTACAACATACTTAAATCTTTTCTTCTGACACTTCTCGGAGTATAATATATACCCAGTATATGAAAAATATATACCCAGTTGTGGATCGAAATAGGCCAATCAGAAAAACGCAAGCACAAGCACCAGTATGTCCAATCAGTGTCGTGTGCCTAAAGAAAAATTATTACTGTAGTCCAAGCGCCTGAATCTAAAAAAATATGAGAGTGTCAAATATTGGATGACAGCGTCAGTGACAGTTTTGTTCAGAATATGGGTTCGTTTTTTTTTAATTAGCCAACAGAAAGAAGGCTTTTTCTATAATATGCCTGTTGTGTGTTTTTGTTCGTCGCAGATGTATGCATTCATCATTGCACAATCCCTTTATGTAGTACCTTCGTATTTATCAAGTGTCTCTGTATCTTTAGGAGTACAACCGATATCGTATGGCGATTCACTGAAAGCGGGAAACGGGTCAGAGTATCCCTAGAATCTGGGAAAGTCATCCCAAAGCCAATATTTGAAAGGCAGGATTTCAAGTCCAGGGATGCAGTTCCAGGTGAGATGTCGTAAACGAATCAAAACTTTTTTCATTTGCTTGAGCAAGTCAGAAAGGCAATTTTGGAATAAAAGAATATATAAAACATAAAAAGGGACCAACGCTACTAAAATTGAAACTAAACATGACCGATTTAAAAGCTAATTACAATGGAAAGTATGATAATATAAGTTGCAGGAGGTGTGGATCACATGAAGAAAACTTAGAACATTTATGGCAATGCGAAAAAATCAAAAGACACTTTCCAGGAATGGAACAAATTCTAAAAAGCAAAGCAGAAGGCCTGATAGAAATAGAGAGATTGGTTGAACTTTTTCAAACTTAAGTGAAAATTAGCCTGTAGTATATACTGCACATGACGTCTTTTCTGGCAATTCTGTGTTTGTGATATAGTAACTGCTCTGAAACGGAGATTCGCGAGACATATTATTATATACTTTTGAGTATCATTAATCGAATGTTTATGTCCTTCATATTTTCCTTTTATCAATACTTATACCCGAACACCTTTTATCTTGAAAATTTAACAAATTAACAGTTTGTGTTTTAGGGGGGAATAGGAAAAATTGCTGCTTATCTAGGGGTCATGTTTGAGTCCTGTATATTTAAAAGTTCAAGCAATTCTATCTAAATCCTGTCTTAAAATGAGTGATTGGTTCTTTTTCTTAAATGCTATCAGAAATATCGTTCCAGTTTCCTCCACGACTCGATTTTCAATTTTTTATGATTTTGGTTTTATACCTCCAAGCAAACTCCCAGACCTTGCCTAACTTGTCAGGTTTTTCTACATTTCTTTTACGATCTTAAACCTTGAAAGTTACCAAAAAAGCTTTTGCGCATAGCATGCTTCCTTCAAATTTGCTAGCTTCTAATATTGCGGAAGCTTGCATAATTTTAATCTTATTCCTCATCCGGCTGATTTCAAGAAATTAGAACCAAAAACTTTCTATAAACTTCCTTGAGAAGTCCTCATATCTGGAGCAATTTACGTTTATTACAAGACCAGTGGCAACGTCAAGGGTTGGTATGAGGGAGGGGGTAACTCACCATTTTTTCAATACATTGTTCACATAATTCTTCTAAAAATTGAAAAAGTCAATATAGTAATATGAGTCAATATTGTAATGCCTAAAGAAAAATAGTATACCTGCCTAAAGAATTAAGTATACCTGTTATAAATTATTGAAACGGGACAAAGGAGCGTGGTCTCATTGGTAACCCCCATTACCCTCCCACCCTGCAGTAGCTGGCACCGCCACTATACAAGACTGGTTATTTTTTAGTTTATGAGCAAGATACTAAACCAGAGGACGCATCGAAAGACACATACATACCATCATTGTTGTTGTTCCATGAGGAGATCATGAAGACCCACAATGTGCAGCCAACGATACCAAAGACTGAAGCAGAACCACGTGACTTGATTATGGAAAATATACGAAAGGATGCAGAGAAAGACTTGAGTGTTATCGAGGCAGGTGTTCAGGAACCTCCGTTTTATATGACCTTGTTTATGTTTATGCGTAACTTAGCTGGAAATCTTAAGTTCTGGAAGTAAGAGTCTTAAGATTTGTAGTGCCCTTTGTTGATATAACTTTTGGCAAGGCTTGAAAAAGTCTCGCAAAACATTTCCCAATAAATTGCAGAAAGAAGATATTTTCTTTGTTGCCATTGACAAACGGGGGCTCTACCCCATGAAGCCTCTGTCTACTACCCCTTATTCCAGTGCTGTTCAATTCCAGAGCTTCAGTCTTTGTCACGATTAAGATCCAAGCTGTAAGCCCCGTTTGTCTAGTAATTAGTGTTTTTTTTAGATGTTTTAGTTATATATAAATTTTTGAGTGAAGATATTGTGTTCGTTTGCGAGTATACTCTATTCTTGAATTGATACTTAAATTAGAATCATTAAGTAATTCTTTGTAATACGGGAGATTTCAGCAAATTTTCCATTCTCTCTTCCTTGCTCCAATAGCTTTGTTCGAGATTCCACACGATGTCCCAGGGAGAGCACAGAACATTGAAGCGCTTTCCCATTCTCTCGGGAATTCGCTTTTAAGCTCTGGAATCCTTTGGGGAGCAACTTTCTGTACCCTAATTCTTTTCAACTTTCCCCAAAACTTGCAGCGTTCATCTCAAATTTTTTTGGTCTTTTTTGAACAAGAAAGGATTGTAAAAACAACAAGACTGTTCCGTGCATCTTTTAGGGCCCGTTCACACTACTCTGTTTCAAACTAATCCGTTTTTGCCTTGCGCTCACACTACTCTGCTGTGAAAACGGAGCCGTTTCAAAAAACCCTAATGAAAACGGATGCTTTCGAACTGGACTGGTATCTGTTACAACAAAGTTTTTCATGTTTTTCACTTGTATTTAATTTCATTTATAATGACGCCAATTTGTTGAGGATTCGTGAACGCCTCTTTTCAAAATGAGGCCACCAATAGCGTTTTTGTTTGAGCAGTGTGAATACTCACCGTAAATGGATAAGTGTGAACGGACAGCGTTTTCATCAACGAAAACGGAGCGAAACGGATACGAAGCAGTGTGAACGTAGCCTTAGTTTCCCTATTTAAGTGGTCCCTATACACAGAAAAGGGAAATTCGCTATTGCAGTTTCGCACCTCTCAGTAACTATACATCATATACATTAATACTATATACCAAACGATAGCTCTTGATAAGACCATTAATATGGTATATAGTTTGTTATAATTTACCTTTACGGGGGGCTATATTCAATTAAAAATCTTCTCATGTTTCTCAGTTCAGCGGTTCCCCCTCACCGAAACAACAACAGCACCATCCTCAGCACACATCAATGAGTGGTGTCGTCGTTTTTTCTTCCGAACGCGGCATTCCAGGGGGTAACTTCCACGTCGTTGCATCGGAAATCTGATTGGTTCCAGATGCGCTGTAGGTGTTTCAACCAAGAAAGGCTTGCAAAACATGAATAACATTGTTGATGAGATGCAGCAAGTTCTTGAGTATGAAATGAGTACCCCCGTTTTGGGGCCATTGCACATGCGTATTATATATTCTGAATCAAAGAGGCATAGAACCCCCCGAGAAAGGAACAAACAGAACTTTGCGATCGAATTTCAAAACTAAGTGAGCGGTCGGAGCTTATCATTCACATTGACATGGGAGTTTGACCATAGAAGAAATTTCTTTCATACTGAAAAACCTGCCTGGATTTTCTGTTGTTTTATGTTTTTTGTTTGTATTAAGGCTCACTTTACTTCCAAATAGGGCCGTAAATCCCGTGGGGGGACGGGGGGGGACTGGATCCCCCCCCCCCCAAAAAAATCTGGAGTAAAACGATTTTTTTGGAGAAATTACCATCATTTTTCTTGGAAGAAAGAAATCCCTGGTAGCCGGGTTAAAACCAAACTACGTTTTCTGTGTTATTGCAACAAACCTCAGCCACTAAGGTTATTTTTGTAAGCAGAGTGGTTTTTATAATTTTTACAACATAAAAACTTACCGTTTTCTACTGTTTTTTACCGTTTTCTACTGTTTTCTACCGTTTTATTTTTGAAAACAGTATGAAATAAAAAGAGAGCAATCTGTCATTTTATTTGACCTATTTACTAACTTTTTTACGTACATTTCTATTATTTGTCTATTATTTACTTTTATTTAGTAAATCACTTTTTGTATCATTAAAATGTATTCATTTTTGATGTGTACACATGGCCTACTGAAATCAGGCAAAATAAGGAAGACGCACATTTCTGTTCAGAAAGTAAATTTCTACCAATCAATACAACAGTGTCCCATATTTTCCCAAAGTCTGTCTCTAAGGTTTAAGCATGACTCTTCCCCTCCAAAATTTCACCCAATAAACAATAATCTGTGTTCTTCTGAGAAACGCCAAACTTTCTATCCTGAGCGATTCTAGTATTTTATTAAATTTAGTCTGGGGGATGCTTTTTTAGCCTTTCTAGAAGGTAAAATTTCAAAAATTTTCTTCCGCGTCGGACCCAACCATGGTGGGTCCTCCTACGAGAGTAAACTTGATTCTTAGCTCCCAAGGTTCAATTTCTTGGGGCCATCTCTGAAAAATGTTATCCATCCAATCATAGACACAAATCAATGTACTAAGGAATATCTGTAAATACCTTCTATAGAGCAGAAAGTCTTGAGAAATCCAAAAATATTGACTTTTGTTTTTAAAGTAATTTGCCCCTCAACTGTTTCCATAACACATACCATAAATCCCTTGTGGTGCCATGACCCACTGCATACTTTATATTCATTCGCTCTGCTGACCCCCCCAATTCACATGACAGATTTACGGCCCTGCTTCCAAAGGTAAGCAAAAACATCGAAAATTTTATGACGCGGCCTAAGTGTTTACAGCGAGTAGACATTCGATGTAAACAACACAACCTGATTTTAACTGACCTCCGACACTAGAGCCAGGCCAAGGCAACTAAAACAACAGACAACGTACCTTTAATTCAATTATTCAAATTTTTAAGGCGGAAAGCTTCGAATTTTGATCTTCCCCTTTTGACTACATCTACAAAAAGTTCCGAGGAAACCCCTAAATGAAAAATAAACAAAAATACGTCCTTAAATTATATGCGTAAAACTCCTCAGAAATTACTAAAATTACTGTTCTCGACATGTTTGCGAGATCTCGTTGTGTTCCCGGGATTTTGTAGGAATAATTCGTTAGAATACGCATGCGTCCCTGCCCCTCGACGTTGATTGGCTCGAACAAATCATTAAGCCTTTTGTCTCAAACAATAGGAGTGAGATCTCATCTCCCCAACAAAACATTTTCAAAAGATCAAAGCGAGATTGCATTACCTTACACGCATGTTGTTCTTATATTTTGTGCGAATTTTAGCCTGATTGGTATTTTTCTGAGGCTTTGCGTCCCTTCTTTACTATCACCTTTACTCTTTACAACTAACAGCATTCATGAAAAGAATTCTTATCGCTAGATATTAGATGTATAAGCATTGTTAGATATATCACCAATGGCATTTCTACGGGAGGGATGGGGGGACATGGCCCTTTTTTGCTCCCTCTCAGTTTTTTAAAAAAAATTTTCTATTAAAACTTCAAGATTTCTTCCATAGCAGTTCAATCGTTTTTTGACTTTGTTAAGGATCTTTCTTTATTTTGCTCAATGCGATCTTATTGCATTTTTTTAACAAGCTAGAGACTCTGATATGCGTTTTGTTTTGTAACCGAGGTGAACATTAATGAAATTTTGGCTTTTTGATGTAGTTACCAAGAAAAATTCATTCTTGACAATCATTTAAATTCTATATTTGTTATATATTATCACGAAGAAACACCTTCTTGGGGTGGGGTGCGCAGGGTAAGCCCAAGATTCTCCGCATCCTATTTAAAACATTTTTTTGCTCTGGAACACAGCGCAAGGAAATACCAATACCATACAATTATAACTTAATCAGGGCCTGCGACGAAGGGGGCAGGTGGAGCCATGGCCCTCTCACTATTTTGCAAAACAAAAGAGCTTTTTCCAAAATCTTTTGCTATGGGCGTTAAATTTTCCCCTGGCCCCCTACTTTCAAACCTGTGTCGGAGCCCATGTCAATTTCTAGGAAAGTAGACTACTTAAATGCTAACCATTTAGGTTGGAAAGTATACATCAAAACAGCGGAAACGCTCAGCACAGGGGTTGTGCCAGAAAAATTTCTTAGGGCAAGCGCAGTCACGTAGCTGTGGAAATCGGCTGGGCTGGGCAAACAGCTAGAATCATACGTCGAGGGGGCATGCTTTTCATAATTTTCTAGCAAAAACTCGCACACGTTTCCGATTGATTGCTCTTACATCAGCTGAGAATACATGCTTGAAAACTTTGCTGTCTCTTTCCAAATTACCCTTGTCAATCGGGTAATTTTCTGAGGTTTGATTGTACATATCCCTTGGTGTCTCCAAGATGGCCCTTCCAAAAAATGTTGCAAAAAACAATAGTAGAGATTGGCTACTTTTTGGCATTAACAAAGGCGGGGCTAGAGCTACAACCCTGTTCCTAGCATATTTCTTTTCAAGTTACGGCTAACAGGAAGCTAGGCCACTTTTCCCACTTCATCTGTAATCGTCACAATTTTAATATTAAATATTTAGAAACATTTTGCAAGTAGCCAAGTGTATAAACAGAAGAAGCTGATATTAAGGTTTCTTGCTTTTCAAAAGTCCCTTGCAAGAGCAATTATCTCACAAATTTAGAATTATGTCAAAAAATCATTTGAAGTAACTACTGTAGCCAGAGGGGGCAAGTTGTCGTCGAAATTTTGATTATTGCAGCTACATGGCAGGTGTCAAGGGTCAGGTTGCCGGGTACGCGATAATTAAATTAATTACACAAAATGAAGGCGTACTCTGATAGCTAAAATGTAAGGGATCTTTTATTTTTTAACTTTAAAATATACAATTCTTTAAATTTAAAAAATCTTGCTTTGTGAAAAATGCTCAAATACTAAATTTGTTTAAAATTGACATTTTTTTATATTCCACTAAAAATTTACAAGACAAGCAAAACTGAAATGCTGCATCAAATAGATTTGCACTATTTAAATAATTTGACAAAGTTTACTGAATGCAACCTTTCAATTTCAATAGAAAATCTAATCGATTTGATCTTTGAAAAACCTCATGGCAACGAATAGTTAAAGGACAAGTGACACACTTTTCACCCTATCGTTTCTTTTCATTAACTTATAGATCATCTTTTAGAAGTAAGTTCTTCCTGGTTTGGAACAAAAAATTCTAATCAGGGGGCGCAGGGGGCGCGATTTTGCTTTGTATCACGTGACCCTATGACGTACATTGTGATAACTCAGAATTTTCCTGTAATTGATAGAGAGTTTACGAAACACGACGCGAAAGGTCCAGACGAACTGTATTCGTTTACAAGCGTGTTGTAAACGTTAATATTGCACTCTATACCAGTAGCAGCAATAACAAATTATCACAATCTACGTCACGGTGTCACGTGATTCATTTCCCGCCATAATTTAAAATGGGTTTTTAAGTGGGAAAATGAAATCAGAAAGGAAAAATATTTCAACAACACTCTCATACAGCATTATACTTTAAGTTAAAAGAAAAAAAAAATTTGGCGCCAAAAGCGTGTCACTTGTCCTTTAAGAAAGATATACAGGAACAAAGCAATACGACGACGAGAATCCAATGTCACGAGATTGTCCCACTTTACATAACCACTTTAAATAAGCATTATGAAATACCTCATAATGTAATAATCAGTTGAATGTGCCACAAATTGGCAAGCAGCAGTTTCGTCCTTGCTAGAAATTCGTTTTTATTTGGTGCACACGTCCCGAAAAAAACCGATTGCATGAAGAACAAACTTTTTACAGTGCACTGTTCGGTAACAAACAGTCATCTGAAAATCATTGTTATCATAATCAACTTCCTAAAACTCAGCATTTTCATTTAAAATACCATGTATTTAAGAGCTTGCTTTTAACAATGAAATGCCACATTTTAAAAAATCTAAAATCTACTGAAAAATCCCAAAATCTTCTGCCTCAGCATGAGATTATTTCAAAATCTATAAATCTCGTACACCTTTTTTGGGAGTGATTCACCCCTCGGATAATAAGATCGTGTGCATTAAATGCGGCCCATGTAAAGACTTACTTGTACGCCTAAGAAGTCAGTCGAAATTTGTTATGATGATTAAATGAAATTTCTTCAGAGTTAATTTCACAGGGGCTTTCGAGCTTTAACTAATTCGCTTGAAATTGTTGTTTTTTCTTATTCGTTATGGTATCTTGTGCCACGCTTCCTCTTGTTTTTCGGGTATCAATGCTTGTGACAACAGTATTGATAGTATCATTGAAACATTAGAGAGTGATGCCCTTAAAATTGCATAATTAAATTGCAGTTGCACTTGTATATATACAAAAATAAAAGTAATGATATTTCTTTAAATATCGGAAGTGTCAGGATAAAAGAGGGCACGAAAGAAAAGCTGCTTGAAGTGATTCTGGACAAAACATTATGCTTTAAAAAGTACTGTCCTCTTGTTTGGATGTTCTGCGATAGAACACTTAATAGTAACTGTTTGCCTGCCCGTAGTGTGCCTGGCCCGTAGTGTGCCTGGCCCGTAGTGTGCCTGGCCCGTAGTGTGCCTGACCCGTAGTGTGCCTGGCCCGTAGTGTGCCTGGCCCGTAGTGTGCCTGGCCCGTAGTGTGCCTGGCCCGTAGTGTGCCTGGCCCGTAGTGCGCCTGGCCCGAAGTGCGCCTGGCCCGTAGTGTGCCTGGCCCAAGTGACGGCGGTTCACTGTCAAAACAAGGCCGAGCAGGCAACCTGTTACTGCGGAGGAGAGAACAAGGGCAGCAAATGAGCAGAAAATGGATGGTTGAACACATTGTTAGTGAAAAATTAAATTTGTGTAGGGTTCAGTGACTGTATTCAATCAATGCTAGATAAGATCAGCAAGTGAGAATGTTACTAAATTAGTCATGCTATAGTAGGATATCATATTATAGTCATGTCGGTTTTTGTTGGAGATGCAAGGCCGAAGAGTCATTTCGAAATGGAAGCATACTTTGATCATGACATTGACCATCTCGATGATTTAGACATCGATGATGACGAAGAACACAACGCAAGGTCGCCAAGTGCCGCAGCTCCACCACCCGAATTGTGAGTAATTATTTTTTATTATCGATCTATTGGACTCTGAAAAATGCTTGTTCACGCTATCAGTTCTAATACAGGGCCTAAATTTCTGGGGTGTGATTTCCGTGTCAGCTCTCGTTTCTTATTTCATCACATTAAATGCGAATCTAGAATCCGTTATCATATTTTACTGCGGTTTTTATTTAGTGTAAATGCTAATTATATAAGAATCCCTTAACTCGTGTAGGTAAATAATTATTTAGCTTTGCATGGAAGTTCAAATGATGTTATTATTGTGTCGCTCTGTAGTTTAATTCAAAGAGCAGTCACTTTAGTGTCCGAATAGTTTAGTAAATCATAACATGACGAAGAACTTATTATTGTTTGTGTGAAAAGAAAGTAGAAAAAATGCAGTCCCAATATTAATTTTTATATGGATCACCAAGAATGACTACCCAAAAAAGTATATATATTGTGATATGGACACGAATGCAAGATTAATGAAGTCTTAATTTGAATCTCGAATCTGTTCATTTTACAATTAAGTATACACAATTCATATAGGCCTTTTTGTAGCTCTGCCCCCACCCACCCCCCCCCAATCAGTACTATGCTCAGCTATCCCTGCTAATAAAAAATATTCTGCTTGAAAAAGGATTTCTCAGATTTTTTTTGAAATTTTTCATTGCAACACATTTGCTTAGCTGCATGTATGGAAAACCCTACAAAGGCGATCCATTAAGATCACTTTATATTTTAAATGATTTCCTGAAACAGGCCTTGATGGCTCACAGAAGGAAAGTAAATTGCTCATCATTTTTTTCAAAATTTTCAAAATTTCAAATACTCATTTTTATAATTTATTCCAAAATTTTGTTACAAAAATTGCAATCTTAATGTTCAAATTTATGCAGGATTTTATTTGATTAACATATTTGATTGTTTTCTTATATTCTAATTGTGAAGAGTGTAAAACTGTGTTTAAAAGAGAGGAAAAGGAGAGTGAAGTTATCGTAAGTCTAATTAGAAACAGTGTTTAGATGGAAATGTAATGTATTTCAAATTCAGGCCCACTATAATATAACTCAAACAACCTTGAGCAAGCTCTCGTACCCTTATACTTGCTTTTGAGGACATCTTTATTACAGCTGCCAACTAAAGCTCAGTCTCCAACTTTAATTTTTCCTTTATTTGTGTTTTTTAATTTTGCATTGCAATAACAGGATGTTTTGGATAATAAGATTAGATGACTTCCATTTTCAGTGATAAAGTGAATTTTGTATATATTTCTAATAAGGACCACTTTATGAAATCAGTAGAGAAAAGTTTTTTACAAAAGCTACTGGTTAATGATAAGCCCTATTCTCATGTCATAAATAAAATTCATACTTGAAAATTAGGTTTAAGAATATAAAAAGGAAAAATTTAAATAGAAGGCAAGAATTAAAGTCAAGCATCATTTTATGGTTGTCTTTGATTCTCATCTTCCCGTATATTATTGGTTTTCATGCAAAAACAGTCTCCGAATTCCATAAAAAAACAAAAACATAAATCATGTTACTTTTCATCTGAATAAAATAATTCATCTGAATATGAGTATTTCAGTTGCATCCAGCTTTTTATGTCAGAAATTGAGGAAGAAGGAAATAATCTCCTGCTTGTGAAAAGATATCAAATTGGGGATTTTTTAGAATGAGAGATTATAGAAATTTCACAATAAAGTCTGATCCATAAACAAATTTCAAGGATCTATGACTACTAACATATTTTGATGTGAAACATAAGCTGTTGAACACAATTTTGTAAATTTTGTGCTTCTAGCCTATTTTCCTGAGTTTTTATGGTTCACTTTCTACTTTATCAACAGTAACAAACGCAGCTTATTTTTAAATTTCTGTAGAAGAACAAAAGGCAAGTGTTGTGTTTTTGCTTCCAGGAAATAACCCGGAAAAAAGTTACAGACCACAGACCTGTTGCCCTCTCCATTTTGAGCTAGTAACTGAACTGATCAATATAGCACAAAGAAAGCTTGTTCAAGCTACCTGTTCTAGCACACTTTAAACTCACACCAAGTTCACCGCAACAATGTTTTGACAATATAATTAATATGTCGGCTTCTTTAAGAAGTTGTGCTTTATGATCATAAATTATGGCATATCTTGCATTTTGTACTGTGACTAAAATGTGTATTTTGTTCAAACAACATTAGTTAGAAGAATGTTTTTGCTGGGGCTACAGAGGGAAATGGCATGAAAGTTTTACTCTGTGTGAAAATTATATTTATTTCTTTCTAGCCATTTGCTGAACTTATGACAAAGGAATTGGTTTTGCTGATTGCATATTCATATGGTTCATTATACCAAGATTTTCTTTTATTTCAATTGCTTATTTTAGACATCAATGTATTTTTGGTATTTTCTTTTTAGGTGGTATCATGGAAAACTTGATCGTCTTGAGGCTGAAAATAGAATCAATGAAGCAAAGAAACCAGGATCTTATCTAGTGAGAGAAAGTGAACGGAAACCAGGAAACTACTCCTTAGACTTTTTTGGGGTCACTGGACTTAGTCACTTCCGCATTACTGCAATTTGCGGTGATTATTATATTGGAGGAAGAAAATTCTCATCGCTTCAAGCACTCATTGGATATTACACAACACTTGGGAGTTTGATGAAAAATGAAAAACTGGAACATCCTGTGCCACCCCCAGAGCCAGTTCACATTGCGTATAGGGTGAGGGCAAAGCTTCCTTATGATGGTACTCCTGATTCAGATGAGCTCAGGTATTCTTTGAATTGAGTTTTGATACTATTCATAGAAAAACAAAGCAACCTTTTATTTTTACATACTGCACAGTTTATCAGCAGATGTTTTAATACTTCTGCAAGTAGTCTAAACCTTACCATTCGATACTTTTAAATGTTAGCCAGGTGCTTATTTTTCATCTGTGACACATAACCCTTTCCAAAGCAGAGGCCATGCGTGTCAGCTCTCTAAAACACCTCAACAGCCTACACCCAGCCATTCAGTTCTACTTGTTGAAAATATTGGAAACCGCATCAACTGGTCAATGAACAAACACAAATTCCTATATCCAAAACAATGAAAAGTTAATCCCATCAAATTATCAGTACACAAGCTCAGGCCTAGGTTTTGGCTGCCAGAAAGTTTGGCCTACAGAGTACCTAACTTATTTTAAACTATGTTTCCTTGTGATTTGAAAGTAGGATTAAGAAAGGCCATATTGTTTGCAGTCATGTTGTTTGCAGCACAAGGAGAGCTGGTCTATCCATTCAAAAGCATTGCATTCCTGCCCTCCAAAAGTGTTTAATAATTTCTATGATTTCATACCAGTTATATTTTGGCTGCAAACACATTTAAGCCAAAAACTGCAGATAGAATAAAACTGCTTTCCCTTCACAAAAAAAGGAAAGAGACTCTCCCTCCAAGCAAACAGAATGCTCAGCATCAACAACAACATAAGTGCATAATTCTGTCAACAGAATTTATTTACTAGGAACCAGATTGTGACAAAAACTTTGTTGACGACATGTTTTAGATAAATGGCGGAGCCGATGTACACAAAACTAAACTTATTAATACTTTAATAAACATCAAGTATTATTTGTTATATAATAATATATTTTGTTATCCTATACACTTTGCTTTTCTTGTTTTCCATTTAATGTCAAACTGCAATTCATCCCTTGCAAGTGAAAGCATCAAACATAGAATTTTATGCCAAGCTGTTTCAGTTTCAATTTTAAGTCTCGCGATTATTTTTTTTAATTGCAGTTTTCAAAAGGGAGAAGTTTTTGTTGTGGAGAATCTTATCGACAGTGATTGGCTATGGGCAACATCACTAAAAAGTGAAACAAGTGGACTTGTTCCAAAAGCACTGACTGAAGTTTTGGTAAGTGACTTTTTGATCTTTTAAATGGAATTAACTGACATATATCCCAGTAACAAATAAATAGGGAGAATCTTTCCTCGATTCGTTCATCTTTTGAGAGTTTCTCCCTTCATCACAATATTGTTAATTGCAGTGTCCAAAGCATGTACTTTATTAATTTGATGATACTGTCGTTATTTTTGTTAAAACGTATTATGGAGAATTGTAAAAAAAATGAAAAGAAATGAAAATGAGAAAGTGAGCCAGACATTTGTGTGTAATGTCTGGCAACAAAATGGAATTCTTTCATGATTGGTTGCCTATTAATAGATGTGTAGGTTAGCTACTTGTATATCCGTTCATTCTCTTTTAAAAATTCCAGAAGTATCAACTATATCTTTGACAGAAACCTACTTTGATGATTGCAGCCTTGAAGGTTTCAATTCCAGTCCAAAATTCCTATGCACATCTCCAGTCTGCCCAGTGGCAACTTTTAGTAGGCTAATGGCATTGGGAACTGGCCAACCTAACTTTTCATTATGTTGGGCTACCGCAAGCACTTCCCCTAACCCTAAAACATATTCCAACCCTAAATAAAATTATGCACAATATTTGGGTTAGGGCTAGGGCTGTGTTAGGGTCACCTTTAATGTGTGTGGATGTTTCTTTTCAGGATCCCAGTACAGATCAGTATGAAGGGCGTCCGTAAGTAAGCTTGAATTGGTTCATTTATTCTATGCTACATCTGGACTGCTTTTCTATCAGTATTTTTGGTGTTGTGCCCAACACAGACTATTTCTAAACTATGACTATTTTGTTCTTTTTCAGCTGGTTTCAAAATGTCAGCAAGCAAGAGGCACAATATTTGCTGGAAACATGTAATAACCAATTTTGTTTTGCCAAATTTTCAGTTTTTGTGTGACATGCAGGAATCTCAAGAATTCTGAAAACCACCTTAAATGTTCTTTATGACATCCTCCAATCTAAAAATCTCTATGATTTGAAAAAATGAAATCCTGTTTTGCATGGAATTGCATTTCTAATTTTTTTTCTGAATCATCCAAGAAGTAACTTTTCTAGGCTATTCGGATTATGAACAGGATGGTTCTAAAATGCTACTCTGAGTTTAATTCTTTATACAATCATATGGCAACTGTTCTGATCTCGTAGTATTGATTAAACAAGAAACTCAGGGTGGCAAATTAGAACCCTCCTGTTCTAAACACCAAAAGGTGTGTACGGCTCAGCTTATCCAACATTGAGCACTTTATGACAGGCCGGTACACAGTAATTTTCATCACTGTTCTAGGCTAAATGTTTTCTTGCAATTGTAGGTTCAATTTATTGTGTTCATCATCTGAAAGAGTTTAAGATTATAGCTATTGTCATCATCAAGTGATTATTTCATTAGGCTGTATCGTTAGGGGTTCTGTAAGCTAACTCTTTTCTTCTAGACGGCAAGGTTGGTTCTTTTGTGATTCGGCCAAGTGTTGGTGGAGCTGGAGACTATTCACTGTCGTTAAGGTAAGAATGGCGTATCTTCTATACACATTTTTTACAGGCGAGTTGACTTAAGGCACAAATCTCAAAGCTGCTTAACGCTTCTAAGATCTCGGGCCTTAAACGGTCATGCAGTAAAAGATCGCACTGACACCCTTTGTCTTCCCTTGTAAAAACATTTGTTATACCTTAGTAGGAGTGGGATAATATCAAAGCGAGGATAGTTTAATACAGAGACTATACTAAGTTTAGCACGATCAATTTTACACATTATATTGCCAATACCATTATATTGCGAAGGATTTATCGATTCAAAGTGTCCTTCATGACCAAAGAACTGCGAAAAGCAATAATGCACCGGTCTAAGCTAAAGAATGTATACAACAGGAATAATACCAACGAAAACTGGAACGCATACAAGCATCAGAGGAATAAATGTGTTGCAATATTAAGAAAATCTAAATTAATTTATTACAGTAATTTAGACACCAAAAATTTATCATACAATAGAAAATTCTGGAAAACAGCCAAACCGGTTCTCATGGATGAGGTACAAGTATCACCAATGATTAATCTTCTGGAAAATGGAGAACTTGTAAATAACGACCAAAAAATTGCACAAATGCTCAACGAATACTTTACAAATATTACGGATGAGCTAGAAATTAAAGAAAATGAAGCCAACCTCTCCCTCGCAATAAAAATCGGAGACTCTATAGATAAATCAGTATATAAATACAAAAAACTACCCTAGTATTAAATTTACCAAAAGGCAATGGGTACCCCAAGAACTATTTGAGTTTAATGAAGTTGATGCCATCGATGTTTTTGATCAGCTCAAGAGACTGAACCCAAAAACAAATTCACCGATTGGTAGCAAGCCCTCAAAAATTCTTCAAGAAAATTCTGAAATTTTCACCCCTTTTCTTCATAGTAGTTTTAACATATGCGTAAAAAACAGCAGCTTCCCTGTATGCCCCAAAGAAGCTGATATATCACCTATATTTAAGAAAGACGATGCTCTTGTTAAGAAAAATTATAGACCTATTTCAGTCTAGCCATCAATGTCTAAGGTTTTTGAGGGACCAATGGAAAAGCAGATAAAGCCATGTGCTAATACCTTTCTAAATCCTCTAATCTGTGGTTTTAGGGAAGGGCATGGGACACAGCATGCCCTATTACGTTTTTTTGAAAACTGCAAAAAGGCATTAGACAACAGAATGAGCACAGGGGCTATTTTCGTAGATCTCTCCAAAGCATTCGATTGCTTAAACCACGATCTATTAATTGCTAAACTAGAGGCATATGGTTTCACGTAAGAAAAGCTTTAAATTTCATATGTAACTTTCTGAGTTCTAGAAAGCAACGTGTTAAAGTTAATGGATCTTACAGTGAATGGAAGAATATAAACAATGGAGTGCCTCAGGGTTCTGTCCTCGGACCTTTTCTTTTCAACATCTACATTAACGATTTATTTATGTTTGTGTCTGACAGTATGGTTTGTAACTATGCGGATGACACAACTATATATGTCAGTGATCATATGCACCATGAAATAATTAGAAAGTTAGAAAATGATATTACCATTTTATCTAAATGGTTCTGGGACAATTACATGAAATTAAATGGAGATAAATGTCACCTGATGTTTTTCAGCAGTATAAAGAACACCAATCTATCGATAAGAATTGACAACTACTTGTGAAGTAATTGCTGACGTTTCAGAGGAAAAATTACTGGGTATTATATTAGATAAGACTTTATCCTTCAAATCACAAGTAACATCCTTATACAAAAGAGCTAAATAAAAGTTACATACTCTATCCCGTATCGCCAAGTATATGGATACAGCCTAATGAATGGAAGCCAAATGCATCTTCCAACTACTACCTTTGGAATAGAAACCATTTCATATCTAGAGGGGGGGGGAGGTAATTATGACATAAGTTGTCCACAGAAATAAAAGAGTCGTCAAATCTTGCCCAATTTAAAACTCGGATTAAAAAATGGAAAGGAAAAGAATGTTGTTGCAAATTATGTAGGTGCTACGTAGCTCAGGTTGGATTCCTTGACTTCAAAATTAAGAAAATAGTCGTCTTGGTGTGAAAATATTAAAAAATATTTTAAACTGTAATCGCATTGTAAAATGTTAAAAAAGTTTTTTTCAATCTTCAATTTTACTTCTTTCACTAATAAACTAATTGTTTTATACATGTAATTATTAATTATTCATTCTTGATTGCTTTTTATTCTAAACTTTTGTAAAGTAGGCCTAAATTAGCTTGTACATAAATTGTACATAGATAGCTATATTATACCCGCCTACTGTAAATAAATTTATAATCATTATTGCTAAAATCCTAATAAAACTATTAAGTTACTCAGCCCTAGTTGCCAGTTAGCCTTAAACTTTTTTAATCCTTCGAAGGTATTCAAGCCGTACCGTGAATTTCATTGCATCCCTCATTTTAACTTGAGTCAAGGCAATGTCTGCCAGTTGGAGGTGTCTCTAAACATGTTATTTTTAGGCACAAGCCGACATGTCACAAGTTACATACCTTGCCAATTAAGTTCAATTATTAGTGTAAAATTGCCAATGTCGATTTTTTTTAGCTTTTTGCATGGCAAAATCTGCTCGCAATTTGAATCTTTTTCCAACCACATTTTTTGTGGTACAGAAATTAAAGATTGCTCTGAAAAAGCAAACATTTTGAAACTTGTTATTAAAACTATTCGTCTTTCGTACTCTGCAGACTGGCTGGAGTTAAACATTTTCTGTACTCTAGTTCGAAGCTTTCATGTCTCTTGGTTATTATAATATAAAATTTTACCACATTGGGACACAATTGTGTAATTTTTTAATAAAATCAAGTTTTACGTTAAGGACCTTGGCATTAAGTCGTCTTTGTTGGGACATCCGGTTGCTTGTGAACTGGGCTTTAATTTTTATTGTTCGGTAGTCGGTATTTTAAGCGGAAGACCCGCACTTTAAGCTTCTAAGTCTGGAAGCCCAAGGAGTTATGCAAACTTTGAGGGACCAGGTTTTTTATTGAACGCAAGCGTGTTTTGTTTTTGATGGCTCCAGATTGATCAATCCACTTTGCAGCAAACACAGTTGTTATGTCTCTCCACTTCACTTTGAATAGTGTCGTACAAATGTTTGTTCGTGTGTGTTAAAATCTTGTCCGCTATCCGAATGGTCGCAGGGTACAGAAGGTGATGACTCTTTTTTCTGAATAAAAGATACTATGGGCCGATGGTGCTATGTTTATTTATGACCGGCTGGATTCTGGACCGTTTTTCGCAGATCTTTGTTTGCAGGACCTACAACTCATGGATTCTTTCATAATGATCCAAGTTTTTCTGTTTACCAATCTTTATTGGGCAATGGACGGCGCACAGACAAGAGAGACGGCCAATAGTGGTTCTCTTTAATGGAGATTCTGCAGCTAGCAGTCAAGAGGCAAGAGTTTTGGTTTAGGACTAAAATGCAAGTTGATGAATTTTTAACTTGATGGCGGAGCAAATTTGATTTCCAGTCTTACTCTAAACCAACGCAACGAATCTGTAATTTGATTATCATGAGTAAGAAGGTAGTGCAGCGAGAGTTTGTGAGGGACAAAACTTCTTTATGGTAATAGCAGCAGATTTTTTTTGCTTTTACAGAGATCCAGAAGGGGTTGCAAGATTCCTTATCAAACGACAAGGAAAACTGTATCATTTTGGAGGAAGGAGTTTCCCAAGGTTTGTTTTTTTATTTTGTTGAAAAGTTTTGCTTCACGAAGAGTTTACTGTTAGTATGTTAGATAGGTATGAAACTTCCAATGGTGTTCACATCATTGAAGGTAAAATGAAACATATTTTTCCAAAATGCTTTGAGTGCCATTTAGTATCGATCAGAATATGAAAAGATACTTCATTATTTCATATAGTTCTTTTACCCGTCATGCTCGGTTTTAACCAGCTTCCCCCCTTTAAATTGTCAAGAAATTATCCAATCACTCCTATAAGCTCCCCCTGATTATTCGTTGCTGAAGAGTAAGTTTTCGTTAGACCACACCCTGCTTATTTTATCTTCTTACGTATGGGGCTTAAAATTACTTTGCATCAGGCCGGGGGTATCTTCAGATCGTTGATATACCGCCAATAGTAAAGTAATGGTCATTAAGAAATGCACTTCATTAATTTTTTATTTACTCAAGCGATTTTCTTTCTCTCTAGGGTATTAAATGTAAGAAATCCTCTGAGGATTGTACTGTTTGTTAATCAAAAGAAAATATAAACACAAAATCCGAATTTTATCCTCAAAGGAAAACAGAGAAGTTGCGTATTAATTGGGAGGCATCTTTACGGCATTGGTTTGTGTCGCCACCGTAAAATAGTACTGAAGTATTTGCGCAACAATCTTCCCTTTAAAGATAATTACTTGCAGTCCTATTTAAATATGGTATCCATGCTTGTAAAATCTTTGTAACTTGGGGAAAATGGTGTAGATAGGGTGATAAGGCGTTGCCAAGAGAACACTGTTTGGTAATTTCCAGTGAAAACCTCTAATAACTGATGCTATTGTGAGATTCACTGCTTTTTAACATATGTGTCCTAGAGATGTCTTATAAGTAGATAGTAGTCAGGGTCTTTTTCTGGCGGAAAACTAAGATGAGACTGGGGGACACATCCTTAGTTTCAAGGAACACGGACTACTGACCAAAGAGCCTGTGGTTCAAGTCCTATCCATGAACGAACTTTAATTTAGAGAGAGTCGCTAGCTTTCTGTAATTCCAGGCATAGGAGTAACGAGGTTTGGTCACATCGAGTGTAAAGACGAGGGAACTTCTGGATAAGCTTAGCGTTTCGGTGTCCTAAAAACTACTTTTGGAAGCTAGGTAGAACAAAAATAAATACACATGCAAGTACAAATTACAAATTTTCATTGAGAAAGCAAACATGATTGCCATACCAAAGTTCCAACAATTTCAGGATGACTCCTATTTCTGTTGTGGTAGTTGCCGTTTTTACTTTTTCTCTCAGTGACGTAAATTTCAATTCTCCCTCTGAAACAGCAGACTTTAGGAGTTTACAGTTTTTTAAATTCATATTTCAGCATGGATGCAGTCATTGAGAGGTACAAGAAAGAGTGCTTAGTTGAAGGACTTTCTTTAGGGGAGCCTCTAGATTTGGTAAGTTTTGTCATAATTATGTTCTTTATAACAAAGAGAGACCTTTACTAAATTGACTGCCCCAATTATTAGAAACAAGCTCCTGGAGTGTACACTTACGTGACAAAAGTATTAGGACGGTCGCCTCAAAGCAAATGTGGTTTACCCTTTGCTCAAAGAACAACATAAAAAATCAGTGGAACATAACGAGATTGTTGGTTGAGATTTTCAATTGCAATTTTACCCAATTGTGAAAATAAAGATATATCTAATAAATTGCAAAAAATAGACTTTTTCAGACAAGTACAATTTGCTTTATCTTATATTTTGTCGGATGACCTCCAGGAATCTGGCAGCCGCCATTTGCACGGGAACTCACTAAATTAATTTTGCAACGAAATATCTTCGGATACAGTAGGAAATCTCAAGAAAATTTTAAAAGAGCTTATTTTTGGTCTTAGAAGATTCCATTTCTTGGATTTTTTTACAAAAACTAGTTTTTCTCAATTGCATCATGGCTTTGACTTTGACGGGGTTATTAAAAGACCATGATGTTTTTATTTTTGAACTTTTTGTCACAATTGCAACATAGCTAGGTTTATTATCTTGCTTGAAAATAAATGGTATTTCCAAAGAATCATTAGTTGTTTCTATACTTGCCTGGGGACTTAAAACAAATAATTGGACAAAATATTCAGCATTGATTGACTTCGCACACAACGCCAGCTTGCAGATGCCATTAGGCCCAACCAACAGTCGGTCTGCCCTGGCTTGCCATTAGTTTAATTTTAGTAGGCCTTGTTAACTTGTTGTTCTTGTAAATAACATGTGTTGTAGACTTGCTGCAACCAAACTTTCTTGTAGTTTTAGCAAACAAATGACTCGCTAGTCCCAAATACACTAGGGTATCAAAAGTATTGCACCACCCTGCTCAAAATGGCGGAACTTTTTGTCGACTTTTTTACAATGCAAAACATTTGAATGTATGAATTGGGTGGAATAGGCATATTTTATATCTAATTTCGGCGGGAAAAGTTTGCAAATTTTGCTGACGCCATAGAAAACCTAGTTAGAAATGTAAATTTTACGGAAAAACATGTAGACCATGCCTGAGGAAACAAAATCGTCAAATGAGAGGCGAGTCGCTATAAAACATTTACGGGGAAGTGGTCTTTAATTTTAAAAAAAATGTTGACCAAGTTAAATGCAGCTACACAGCAGCTGCGGTAAATCAAAAAAGATTTCTCGAGAATGTTACAGTAGTAAAGAAACCGAAAAGTTGTCGACCAAAATAAATTTGATGTTAAAGGGGAAAGAATTTGTCGGTTTTATTTCACTGCGTGCAGCACCAAGGGGCAGTAAAAGGCATGAAACTCAACACTGCGCAAGGTTTTGCAGCTCAAAATCCGTCCACAGAAAATATAATGAGTGTTTTGCACAAATACAAGAGAAAAAGTTACCTGAGTGAACGGAAACCATTTTTAAAAATATTTATTTCCATACAAAAGAAATTAAAGTTTTTGCATAGCCAGAATCAAGTCCAATCTTTAACATCGCTAAAAAAGTTTGACTTCAAATGAAAAATGTTACAAACTGTGATCCAAATGGTCGTACAAAAGCCAGAGAATCATTAATTGTAAGAATTTTCCAGGCCTATTGCGAAATTCCACAAGAATACGTTGACCAAAAATGTGGATCCATTTCAAGGAGGCTTTTTGCGGTTTCAAAAGTTTGCGGCTTCCCGTCAAAATATTGAAATTTGAAACCGTTAAAGGACGTTTGCTTCTGTTATTTTTCAAATAAATGCTCTAAATAGATTGAAGTTTTGATTGGTGGTTGTTTGGCTTTCGACCAATTGCCATTGGCCCTCTAAAAACAGAGTTAATTTGCATAACAATAGCTTTCGATCATTCATGTGCCATTTCTGCTCCTTCGAGGTGGTGCAATACTTTTGATACCCTAGTGTATTTTATTGCTTCTCATTCTCTTTCTGGTCGTTTTTGTGTTTCGGCGTTGAAACTAAAACGTTGATATTTTCTATTTCTCCATGACATTTTGTTACTTTTCTATCATAGAAAGGTAGAAATAAATTGAATTTGTTAGGAATTGCGTTATTGATGACGCCATTTCTAGAATCCCGCCAAAACAGCAAGATTTCTTCAATCAATGTTAGAATGCTAGTTTTGGAGCCGCCATTTTGTTATTCATCGTCCTAATATTTTTGTCACGTAAGTGTACATTCCCCGTCTTACAGTAAATGATTATGCGCATAGATCGATGCGCATACTTTAACACATTTATAATTTCAAAATCCCTTGTAAGTTTTAAGTATTGCAACACTATATACCAAAGAGCTTTTCGTCACATATTTCACAGAGAGTAAACGTCGAATATATGTTTCTGCTTTTCCCTGCTATTTTTAAACTTTCAAATTCAATCTGCGGTCCGGTTTGACCCTCCAAATCGAGCCAGTTTTGGCAAACAGTTTGGCCAACGATTGACAACCCTGAATCAAATCTAGGCAGATATTTCCCTTACTGCACCGGCTCGATAGTTCCCTTACTGCACAGATTCTCGGTTCGATATCGCAGCCTTGTATTGCAATTCTCTTTCTCAGTCAAAGCAATGCTTTCTAAGATTAACCTTGGAAATTATGCTTGCTGGCTTAGTTATTCAGTTGATTAGAGTAACCAGCTCCCGTAATTATAGCGTATCGCAAGATGTTATCGCATCGAGAGGACGAACCAGATCATACTTGGGGAGCTGCTGCGTGGTGACACAAATCAAATGGCTTGTAAAAAAAGAAAGTTCCATTTGTTCCTATATGGGCACTATTTACGTAAGCGAATTGTGGTGCTTTTATGGTGCTAGTTGCCTGTTTCCATAGCTCTTTCCGCAGATTTTTCATTAGCTTTTCATGCTTGTAATCATTGGACTGTTACATCACGACCATTGAGGGTATGTTGAGCTCCTTTCGAAAAGCCAGTTGAGTAAAACGGCGCCAGACCATTGAGGGATTTGTAGGCCACAAGCTAGGCTTCGAGTCTAATGACATCATCTGTGTTCATCCAGCCAGGTTTGTCGATGAATTGTCTGCAGGAGCAATGTAAACCTTTCTGATAGCTGAATCGAATTTGAAAGCTACAGCGTAGTGCCGGTTCTGTCGGAACTGAATTTATATCAAAAGGGGGCGGGGCTGAGAGCAGAGCCCTATTGTCGCTTCCCATTCATTTCTTTATCATTAAAAAACTAAAGCATGGTTTATAAGGCGTGCTGCAATGCCTCTAACCCATAGCTTCCAACGCGCATATAAACAGAGTATTTTTGTGATGACGATTTTTATTGAATTGGTAGGCCTTTGCCAGTGATAGAGTTGTTGACGAGTGTGGGTTGAACTGGTAGCGAGTGGTAAACTTTTGTCCCGTTGTTTTATAAAATGATGACTTTAGGTCAGAGGTGTTGTGAAAGGGGGGCTCGAGGGCACAGACGAGCACATGTTTGATGGAACGCATTCTATGTTGGCAATCCTTTATTATGCTTTAGATTTCCCGTGAATAAGCCATCTTATCGGTCTTTTTGAGTCGATGAATATTTTGAGTGATTTCGTATAAACAGCGCAGAATCTTGAACACAAATGCAAGTACATTGGGTGTCACCAGGGGCGGACATTTGATCAAATATTAGGGGGGCAAGCCTATTGTTTTAATAAGATGGCGTCACATTTTCCATTGTTTTAGAACAAAAAACCACTGTCCTCTAAAGTATTGGGGGGCGGTCGCCCCCCTCGCCCCCCAAGTGTCCGCCACTGGGTGTGGTCTTATTTGTTGCTTTTAGAAGTTGCCTGCAGTAGGGCCCACTCTTTCAGGACGATTCCCCCACTCTATATGTCTCCATCTTCCAATGGCCTGCTAGCCAAGAATTTACCTTGCGTCATCCCTTTTCTGTTGTGAATAGTCTTGCTCGGCAAAGGTTCCGTTCTTCGTGGCAAATGCGAAGTCAGTTTGTTTCAATAGAACTCGTGGAACAGAGCGCAAGACATTTGTGCTTGACAAGAAGCCTGGTGAAAATCTTATTAACCCTACCGTCCCTCGTGTCTTTTTGTGAATAGATTTTGCGGAGCGACTTTCCACTCCCGGGTCATTGATTAAATGGCGTTTTGATTAGATTTATCATCAGTTTGGTTAGATTTGCGAGCAAATTGGATGGAGTATTTAATACCAGCGAGGAATCTCACGAAATATTGACACAATCTTTTTATGCACCTTTGGTACCTTCCTTAAGATTAGTCCCTCTTTTGTTCCATGCATTATATCCCCAAGCGGCTTAAATGAACATATAACAATGTACACTCTTAGCTCCACTGCTGCTGTTAAACGCAAAAGGTCGCTGTTGTGTTCGTATTAGACACGGAGGGCTCTCCGACTAAATGGTATGCTATTGGCCATCCTGCAGCCTTGCATAGTTTCAGATCGTTTATGTGCAGGATTTTACCGTTCTGGATTTACCGTTTTTACTGAGGATAGATGGTAAGGAAACATTTAGTTTTAAACTGCTCGTCACATGAGGTATTTTGCTAAACGGGGCACTGCTCTTGTTAGGCAATAGTTGGCAGCCGTGTTTACTGCCTGCAATTCTGATGCGTGCCAGCATCAAATTCTGGTATACAACAGCAACTATTCCACGCTGTGCTTAAGCGAATTTCTACAGGGATGGGCGGAGTATTTGATTCAAGGACAAGCTATTTGATTGTAAATACCAAGAACGCAAAACTGAATATAGTTAGAGCCGATTTTCGTTGTTAATCGCAACCCGCCAAAATATGCGAGCTTTTCATCAAACGAGCAATAATGCCAAGAATGCCATGTGCGCAAGATAAGGAGTCGGAATTTGGAAGTTTCAGTGGCGAATTCTAGAGTTTCAATGGCAAATGCTAGACAGACTTCTTTCTCTTCCTTGTTATATTTGCTACAGCTTACCGTTTACATGATTGTATTACAACTGGTCGCAATGTTTTATGTGCCTTGCATCAACTAATTTGTTTATTTTCCGTTTTATGTTAGCGTATTCAGTGCCTCTGCTAGATATTTCTTATCAAGGATTTCTGAATTTGCTTTTTATTGCGATTGCTTTGACTGATTTAGTTACTCTCTGGGAAGCACCCCTTTTAAGGGATTCGGGTGAGCCATAACATCACCTTAGAAATAGCACAGAGAATCGGAATCAGAGATTCAGTGGCGTCACGCAGTTTAGGGCTCCTTAGTTCGATAAATAAGGGCCCCCGCCCAAAAGGGGCTCCTACCCAAAATGGTTTCCCGCCCAAAAGGGGCCCCCTTTCTTTTTATATCCATGTTTTTAAAACATCGCTCAAGTTCACCTCATTTCTAAAAGCTTTTAATTTCTTCAACTGAAGCTTCATAACTTATCTCCCCTTGGTTAACGAGAAAATTTCTCATTTTTACATGTTGCTTTTGTGTTTGGCATGCTCTAATGCTTCAGATCGGACTTTCTTGCAGCCCCTTTTTTTCTCCTGCGGACCCCAGATGCCTCCGTTACATCACTTCACACATTGCTAAAATACTTTATGTATAACACTTTCGGGATTATTCTATTTTTCTACGTTCCCTTGCTATTTTGAAGTCTTTCCAAAATTCTTTCAACCAAACTTCGGAAATATCTTCCGCTTTGGAAATGATCTTTCAATGTGTGTTTGATCTAGTCATCTCTGTTTCTTCCATAATTCGTTCCACCTTGTCCACCCTGGGATATAAAGAGCATGCAGTTCTGAATAAGTCCAGAAAAGTATGCATATGTTCTTTGGAATGATATCAATTTCCCCTCTGTTTTCCCCCTTCAAATCTTTCTTATCTGTATGATAATAAAAACATAGATAGAAATGAAGCCTGCATTTTAAGCAATTCAACTGTCGCTCTTTTTGCGAAGGATTTTTCTAACTAATCTTATTTAGAGAAAACCCTCTACAATACGCTGTGGTCGGTTATCGTGAGGGTGAATTCATTTTTCTCCGCTTTGCAAAATATTTTGCATTGCTCGGTCACCAGTATCGTTAATAGATCTATCTTTTGTTTTTTCAGTTCCAATTCTTCAAACATTTTCCTCCCCCTACAGCCAACATATTATTTTTTACAGCCAATATATTCCATTGTTCCATATTTTCGTTAACTGCAGTAGCAGCCCACAGTATATCGATCTAAAACACTTTAAAGCCCTAATCATATAAAATTGATTTCCAGAACATTGTAACATAAGACCCCGTTTTCACCGAGCCTTACGGATCCGTTCCAAAACGAGCACAGGTATGCTTCACGTTTACTCTGGAGCAGGGGGATTCGTTCCAGTATGAATCTGGTTTCTGTATCAGTTTAGGAACGCTTTCAAGGTTAACCCGTTTGGGTTCGTTCTAGTTGAGATCCAGTGTAAACGGCCGGTTTGGATCCAAAAAGATCCGGCCCGGATTCGAAGCGGTGAGGGTCCGGGGGTTAGCTACATTCCTCAATAACCTCTAGAACCCATGGAAATGCAAATCATGTTAATAAATATTGGAACAAGGAATTTTTGTGTGTGACCATCAACTGATTTAGGTCTGTACTGTTGGTGTTTTGAATAGCGTGGATCCTTACTAGATCTGCACGGGTTCTGCTCTGTACCGGCCTAAAAGGGGGTCTAAGTCTGAGAACTTTAACTGTAAGGAGATTTTCAGACATCTCCATTAATCGTAATCAAATTGTGGATTGTGATTCACTAGCGTCAAATACCGTAGACCAGTCTGCATTTGGTTTTCTGAAATATTGCTGAAAAGGCCTTGAGTTTCTTTTCATTCTATATCATAAAATTAAACTGTGGCTGTCCAAAATCTTATCTTCAAAATCTTATGAAAGATTTCTGGTGATGAAGCAATTCAAGTAATATAGAGAGTTAATATTGCACCGTTCTTCTAGTTTTATTAGAGGCTTGTAAGTATTTCATGTTAATTTACCAATTTGCACAAAAGCAGAACATGAGAACATTCTGAAAATACGTATTCTCATAACGTACCCGCTGGAAGATGATGCTTAAACCCTAATTATCATGAGCCCCCATTTTAAATTGACACAAGATTGAGACGTTTAGAAATTCGTTATTGTTGATTTCTTGTTTTTTTTGCAGAGTGAAGTTGACTCAAAGTACGTTAGCATAAAAGCGAATGGAAAGTTTGAAGATCATGTCGATGGCCCGCATCTTCTGAGGTTGAACTCTAGAGGCTCGGAAATCATTCACAAAGATAGGATCAAAAGTGGTTATATGGTAAAGAAAGGTACAATCCCCTTCGAATAAGGTTGATTTCCCCATCCTTTTTGCCAAAATGTTGTCCACTTTTGTCTTCTTAATGCAGGTGAAGTCAGTGGGATATTGGGGTAGGTCTTAGCAGTTTAGTAACTTCTTACAAGCTTTAGCACTAAGATGTCGCAAAAAGGCGTGCTCTATAAGATTTCTCCCACTCCTTTTTTGAGCAACCGCACCCTTTTCCACATAACATTTTCTTACAACGTGACCTTATTTTTCAAAATACATCCCCTGGGGAAAAGGAGGGGAGGGGTAGTGGTGTGAGGAGGAGGATTTGAGGTGGCCCTGTAACTGTTAAACGCCACCGAAAGACGTGGTAAAAAAATTGGACCAAAAAGACTGTCCCGATAGATAATATTCAAACAGAGCGTTTAAGTTCCCCCCGTTTTACAATTAATCTGTCTGAGTTGAAGTTCAATCGTTCACTTCTTTGATTGCGTCTACAATGATCAATCGTTGATTATTGATTATCGCAAATTTTCATATAGAAAATCATCGATAGCCCTACACCAATCGTGTTACAGTATTTACAGTGTAATGCTTATTGCAGGGTGGTATTTTGTAATCTGGTTGCTAAAATAAATGCGAATAAGGCCACCAGTACAGGGGCGGATCCAGAGCAAACTTGAAGGAGGGGCAGTTGGTAGTGGGGGCGCTGAAAAATTTTCAAAAATTGATGACGAGAGAACGCTGTATACAACAATTTCAGATCCATTTTCGGAATAAACAACATAACTTTGAAGTAATCCTTGAAGGAAATTAACAATTGGTCTCAGAAACTTTTTCAACTGATTCTCATTCTTCTAAAGGGGCGCACAATTTCCAAAAAAGGGGCGCCATTCTTGCTTCAACTCGTCGAGGGAGGGGCAACTGCCCCTAGTTGCCCCCCCCCCTTAAATCCGCCACTGCACCAGTATACTACACACCCATAAAGGCTCCTTGCATCTTAGGCCCTGCGATAAGTTCTTGTTGCTATTCTCGTATTGCTTCTCTTGAGTTTTTCATCTCTTCCCTCCAGGAGCTAAAAAGTGGAAAAGATTTTACTTTGCATTGAATGGCAGTGAGCAGCATCTGTGTTACTTTGAGCACGTAAAGGTATGGCCTCGCATTTCATTTGTCAAAATTTTCGTGGTTTGTATTGTATATTTTGCAGTTGGAGGTGTACATTAGACGAATTAGTCCAACCTGGAAACATTTCATCTCTCAGTCAGCTATTGGCCAATCAATAAACTATTGAGCACGATTATGCTTTTTGATTGGCCAATTATTGATTGCCAAATGACTGAAGTCACTCAAACCTCTGTACCGCCAGTCCACTATTTAATATTCCTACTCTTTCAAACGCCCCCGCTTATTTACACACCCTGTGTTCTCTAGCAAAGCTAAATGAAATAAAGGCCTCATCTTTTTAACGCCCTTTGAAAGACAATCAAGTGTCTTAAATTATTGGACATCGTAATTGCATATTTCTTTAAATAGAGAAAAACAAACAAAGTCAAGAAATATTATCAATTTTAACCTATTTCGTTATATTTCCGTGAAACACAGAGAACTTACGATATCATCTTTCTGACAAGCAAGTGTAAACACCAAAATATTACCTTCCCCTCTTAAGGCCTCCCTCTAGTCCAATGATTTTATTAGCGCCGTGGGCGTTGAAAAAAGAGTTTATCATATAGGAAAGACAAGAGCCTACATTTTCTGGTAGCGAATTTTGAATTGAACACGGTTATCTGTGCAAAACTTTAATTCCTCACAAGTGGTCAAGCTCCCAAGCAACATCGGAGTGTTTCTTAAGGCCGGGCTACACGATCACTTTTTACCATCACTTTTTTCGATATTGGACCAACATGCTGAAAAGTGATCGTGTAACATACTAAAATTGTCCATTTTCGCTGCAGAATTTAATGCGCTTATCTGCTGTTAATCCTCTTTCATTGGAAATTTTACTCTGAACGAAAGCAGAGTAAAATCGAGTTCATCACTTTTTTTCAAAGGCGCCGACAAATTCTTACGTCACATGATGTTTTGATGAGAAGGGAACGGCCTAGAGTTTCGAGAAAGAAGAAAAAGACGTGAATTGTGCTCAGAAACATAATTATTAGCAGAAAACGAAAATGAATAATGATTTGGAGTGAATCGAAGAGCAGCCAATTACAGAAAAATTAATAAAAGGGGGCTAAAATGACTAATATATGCAGTTTTCGTACGTTATTTTGTCAAATTTGCTCCGACAATAACCTAAAATTTCCTCCGATAGGGGGCTAGATGCATCCGACGGAGGGGCTGTAGCCCCCCTAGCCCTCCCCTGGCGCCACCACTGGAGTTAATGATAGTTTAAGGCCCTTCATCAAAGTGAGAGGCACATAGCATCACCTCTGCAAAGAGATGAAAAGGAATCGTGGGTATTATACAAAGAATATCGTAAGTGTTGGCAACTGCAGACAAGCAGAACTGATATTATGAAAGTCAGTTTGCACAGTCTAATGAATACATGACAACGGCTTGCTAAACTTCGCTTTTACGCCCTGAAGTTGATTTGATTTCCTTCCAAACCCAGGCTTTCTAGAAACTGTGAAGAATCTCTAACACGATATACCATTCCCGCGTCAATAAAAGAATTGCGTCATTCTCAGTTTTCGGGAAGTGTTCCCATCATAAAATCTATCGAGTGACGTGAGAAAGGTGCCAGGGTAAATCGAAAGCAGATGCAACGATTCAAGAGAAAACCTATTTTTTAGTCTTATGTAATAATAAATCCTCATTTTTGTTGAAGAAGCGTCATCATGTGATTGAATTGACGCTAAGTGAACGAGAGTGAACGAGATCAGTTAATTATAACAACGCACCTCGCCAGACATTAAATTGCACTCTGTGACTATTTAAATCCACTTGGAATGATCTGGAATCTCTTTCTTTTTGTCTACAGAGAACAAAGCCAAAGGGACTCATCGATTTGTCGTATTCTGCAATTTACCTAGTGCACCAAAGCTTATTTGGCAGGTAAGATGAGTACACTTCTTCAACCGAACACTGCCTTCATTGTTAGCATAATCCTGCTCCGTCGAGTGAGATTGGGGGAGGGGCAGGGGCGGCCTTCCAAGTTATCAGTTTTATTTGTCAAATGAAAGGATTTTTTAAAAGCTTTACGCGATTTGGCCCTCAATGCTTGTTTGATTTGATTTTATTGAAAACTGTATTTTGACAAATCTAGGGGGCTATTCCCCTTCGAACCCATAGGCTTAAAAAATGATGTCATTGGCCCTTTTTACCCATACTTCTGACATATTTAAAGCAACTAAAATCAGACTTTTGATATGAGCATTGTTGGGAGATTGAGGTGTCTAAGTAGATTTTAAGTGAAGGTTATTATAAGATTGAGGGGCCTAGATCGAAGTGTATTGCAAGGCAATATGTCCATAGATTGTGGTGCCCAAGTATTTTGAGGTGAGCCTTATTCATATATCAAGGTGCCTAAGTATCGTAAGTGATATGTGTGGTGTTACCAACTTATATAGAATTCAGAGTGGTTTTTATTGTTATTCGTTTCATTAATCGTTTGTATATTTGGGGTGTACCTTTCCCAATCAAAGCTGAAAATTGTGTGGAAAATTTGATTTGTGTTTATTTATATGCCATAAGGAAGTAGTGCTAGATGAGGGCGTCTACCATTTTCTCTGCATCTGATGATAAAATGTTTGATGATAAACAATAGACAGGAACAACGCAATCCGGAAGTTTACACCCTGTGAAACCAATTTGTCAAAACAATCTATAAAGCTTTTGTTATAGTTAAATTTTATGCAAATGTCTTTGAAAAAAGCATGAATTTCAGAACATACTACTAAAAGCTTTTTTGCTTGAAAAACGCAAGCACATGACCGGCCAATTTCTCCAATCGGTGCTGCGTGCCTATAGAAAAAATTACCATTGGAGTCCAAAAGAGCAAGCAAACTCCTTCTGTCTACACAATACCGGCTTTTTTGTTTGTATGTAGATCGATGGCAGAGTCACTAGTTTTTATAGCTAAAACGACTTAGCTATAAGTAGAATGTAATAAATCAATAGGTTTTTTGGGGGGGGGAGGCTTAACGATTGTTACAAACAGTTTTATTTAGAGGGAATTGACCAAACTATTGGTCCACATTTATTTGTGTACTGTCTGCAACAACTCTTATTTTAAAACTTGAAAAAACCTCTAGTAGATACCTGTTTAAGTCCAACCGAGACACCATTTCAAAGCTTTGATCCTCTAAACCAAAAAAAAATTTTTTGGTTTTTTGCTAACTTTTCAATGGAAAGTCAAATCTGTTTTTGTACTCCACAAACTCGTGAGAAAAATTTATGTTTTTGGCAAAGTATCTTAAAGAAAGTTTTTATTGACGTTTGTAGATCATGGCTCAGGATCCACTTTTAACATCGTTGTAGCTTAATCATAATCGGTCTTTTGTTTATCCAACAATATTTATTTTTTCCTCGGCAATTTCTCTTTACGAATCGCACCAACATACATCATTTCTCCCGTCCGCATTGACCTCTTCTGTGTTGGACCAGTGTCAGTATTTAGCACTAGGGAGTGTACCAGTGGATGTGTATCATTCAGGTAGGGCGTATAGCATGAAAATGCGTATTGTTCGAGTGTGGTGTTTATGAATAACTGTATGATGCCTGCTTCTTCTAGGCGTTTTCACCGCGTGTTGTTTAAAGTTGTTGCTTGTTATTAAGACTCGGGGAAGTGACTTAGCTTCGGAGTAGATGAAGGGATTAACAAAATCTGCATCACTCTTTAGACTGTGAAATGTTTCTTACAAAAATATGCTCTTTTCCTTCGAGTTGTGCTTTAAGATGAGAAAATATGAACACACCAATCTGCCAACTGAGAAATGCTTACTTTAAATTCGGATTATAGATAATTTGTTTGATGTATTAATTTGAATCGTGTTTTACCCCTAACATATTCTACTGTACCCATCTCGCATCTATACCAAGAACTACCCCACAAGTTTTTCGTAGCTGTAGAAGTATTTCAGTGTATTGGCGTGAGGATGAAAGTGTAAAAGCTTTCTTTCAGTTGTGTAAATTAAGAAAAGGCCGTAATAGCAGGCTGCCCGATGGACTCCGATCGATGTCGCTCTCCCCTTGCCCATGATCGAATCATCGTGTTGGCCATCTTATAATTTTTATCGTTTGTTTCACGCCGTTCTCACTGCAGCTTTTTGCCTCTTCTCATCGCAAACTCATTATCATAAGTCATTTCTGCTGCAATTACCCGAGTCTTCAGTTTCACGTTTGTACACGGAAGGCAGGTGCAGAAAAGCATTTTGATCCTGTTGCCATAACAACAGGTCTTCCTTGGTAGCGAGGCTGTGTTTTTCTCTCTTTTTCGCTGGCTGAAACCATCTGCTCGGCGTATTTCTTCTTCAAGCTTGACCTGTCTAAAGGCTCATTCATTCGCCTTCTCATTCAGTCCAGGCCATTTCTAGACGATATCGCTCGCATGCGTTGCCTTTCTTGTTGCCTCAAGCTCACTCAGCTGCACACATTGCTTTGAAGCATATGCCGAGGTATGGATTCAAAACAAAGTATATTTGTTATTTTCTTTGTGCTTTTCTACTTTGCTTGAACTCGTGTTAGGCAATTTTTTGTTTGCAGTCTTCAGATTTTTCGTGCAATTGGTATGCACCCCCGGCCTTACCAGCTTAAAACTATATAGAATCCAAACTTGTTCTGGTTGTACCCCGGGGTGCTAACCCACAAACCTTGCGAAACTGAATGTAAGGCACTTTTCGACATAAAATGTTTAACTGTTTTGTATGAAAATTTCTTTAGCTAGGCCAGTTTTCTAAACTGATGCTTGAAAGAAACGTCAGCTTTTTAAACACAATCTTGTTTCCTTATTCTTTCCTTTATTGTATCTTGTTCTTATTTGTTCTTTTGTTCTAACTTTTATCGTATTTTTCATTCTCCCATTCTTGAAACAATTGAAAACATGTCCGAATCTAATCAAATCCTGGAACAAGTTTTGAAATGAAAACCAGTAGTTTGAATTGTGAATATTCTGAAATTTCCCTCATGTGGAATAATTTCAAATTTTTTGCAATCTTGTTTATTTTACGACAAAGTTATGATGTTTATTTTTCTTTTCTTTGCTCAGACGGAATGTCTCGGGACTATGTTTAAAACTGACATTTCTGTATAAAGCGAGGGTCTATCTCTGCAGATCCTACCAAATAAGATACGATTCAAAGACTTGCCTTGCTCTTTGTGTTTATGAAACTATTATCCTTTGTGGTTATGAAATAGTACTTTTCGTGTAATTTGCAGGTAGCAGACTCTTTCCTAAGGCAAAGCTTGTTTTTATTTTAATCTATCAAAGCATGGTCAAAGTTGTTACGCGACACGAAACTGAAAACGTAACAACACGACATCCAAACATTCAGGCCTCTTCTTTTTCCTTTGCTCTCTTGAAGTTCTCTCATTACTTTTTTTCTCGAATGTCTTATTCTAAGGACAAATTTTTAAGGCGGATAAGCAACACTTTCCTAGGATATTGCTACCGCAAACAAAAGGGCCTATGCTGTATGATTAATAAGCTATGGAATAGACCGAAAGGCCTATATTTTCGTGAATGGCCCCTTAGCTCAAGTGGAGAGCCCTTGACAGTCCGAACCTGCCTCTGTCCCGTATAACAACCTTTCTAGCCCTTGCTTCCTTCTATTTTACAACTCGCAGTGTTTTAGCTTGCCAAATTCTCATACCTGTACTGCCTCCCTTTTGCTCCTTTTCTTAGGGAATTTCTACCAAAGCTGTCATCCTTCTATTTGTACTTTGCAACAACATAAACAGGTTCAAAACAGTAGGATGAGGATTATGTTCCCTTTATGCCTGGTCTAGATTTTATTACAAAGTAAGATGTGTCTTCCACTCTCAGGAATATGCTTCTTTCCCAGTCTGTTTTTGTTCCCTGTCTTCATTGCAAATAATCAATATTGAAAACTCTCATTCTGTTTCACTGTGAAATCGTTTGGTTTGATAAACACACTGTGAAAAAAACTTTCATGCTGTCCTTCGAACACGCTGTCAATAGGACCTCCATTCTGTTTCCTCAAACACATCCTTTATGAAACCTACATCCTGTTTCACAAACACACTTTTAATAAAACTTCCATTCTGTTTGCCAAGTTCTTAATGAACAAAATTCGCATTCGGTTTCACAGACTTGCTCTTAATGAGACTTTCGTGCTGGGTCAGAAGCACTTTGCGAGCCAAGCCTCATTTCTGTTTCACAAACAGGCTCTAAATGAACTTCCATTCTATTTCACAAAAGCGTTGTGAAAGAAAAACACATTTTGTTTCAAAAACACACACTTAATGAAACTTCCATTCTGTTTCGTAAACACTTTGTGAACAAAAGTCACTTTCTGTTTCACAAACACAATCCTAAGAACTTCCATTCCGTTTCCCAAAAACTTTGTGAATAAAACCTACTACTTGTTTATCAGTATTATATGTATTATATCCAGTTTCAAGACATTGAAAATGCTTTTGAATTCCTGGTCCACCGGGTCCCGGATATCTCAGCAGGTACACGAATTCACTTATGCAATCGTATTGCTTTCGGTGATTTTCTTAAGCCCGCCACGGCATGATACTTCATTTAAGACTCAGCTTGTGATGGGTGCCATGTGGCTCACTGCAATTGATTTCGTATCTCTATTTGTCTTTTATTGTGCATCCATCTGTCTTAGAGCAGAGGGAATCATTCTCGTGTACCAATCGTCAACACAAACTGCTACCTTCCTTTGGATTAGCAGTCTTTATGCAACAATTATCGTTTCTGTAATCCTCTAAAATTAGGTCCTGAAATAATTCGATTATCATTACTCATAATTTGTGACTACATATAATTAGTATAGTCACTCACAATTAGCTATAATTGGATTAAGGTCATTCCATGTGCTCTGTCCCAGGCAATCATAGTACTCCATGTATGACCGATAATCTCCCTATGTTTTAATAAGCTTTTTCAAATGGCTACAATTTTCGGAGGCTGTTTTCGAAAAACTCAATTCTCAATAACATTTTGTTTTCAGATAACCCAATTTTATATCAGTTGTGGTTCAGAATAGGCCAGCACGTTCTCTGCCCCTAGTAGATCATACAATTCTATGCAGTACCGTAGGAAGGATAGAATTATGGAAATTGACATTGTTTGAAAACAATAGAAAGAAAAGGGATTGTTCATTGGAAACAAATGATTTTTATAATTTTCATCTTCAGTGACATTACGTTTTCAGAATGGACAAGTTTCAGTGACACGTGAACTGGCCTGAGCTGGTAATTTGAAGAATCACGTAATAGTCTGTAAAACTTTATTTAATAAATAAAATCAGAAATGTATAACAGGGGTATAATGAAAAACCATCAAAGAATCACGTGTAATAATTGATTTATCACAGCAAAGCACAAAAACTCAGTGAATCATAAAATATTTCAAACAATCAGTCAATTATCACAAAACAAAATTACTAGACAAACCTAAAAGTAATGAAAAAGTGTTTGTTTGAGGTAATCAAAATCTTGATATTCACGAATACTTGTTTATAGATTTCAATGGAGTGAATCGGTCCTTAATACTGGGAATTGTCTAGTTTCCATACTGCTCGACCTGATAGTCATAAATAAGCATGATTAATAGTCATAAATTAGCATGATTAATTATTTAAAGTAAAGGGTAAGGGTTAGGGTAAGGGTTAGATTTAGGGTTAGGTTTAGGTTTAGGTTAGGGTTAGGTTTAGGGTAAACTAATTACGTCATCAGGTCGAGCAGTATGGAAACTAGACAGCTTCTTGATACTACAGTGAACTGGACAAAACAAAATTATAGAACAATAGCATAGAACACCCTTTGTTTTCAACTTGCGTAGTTATTCTTTAGCTTTATTGTTTTCAACTAGCATTTTTCTTTTCCTTTTGTAATGAAATCAATAACTCTCTTTTAACAATTTTTGAGTTCGCACAAAGCTAGTTTCAGTCCAGTGTTGCCACACGTAGAGATTTCTACCGACTTTGGGGATTTTCAGAAGTTGGTGGGTTGTAGGGAAAACCTACGGCATAAATCGAGAAAAGTAGGTAGTTTTCTAGATATTGTAGGGATTTATATTTGTTTGCAGCCAAACAATTAAATTGCGTGATTTTCATTATTTTGAACATCAATTTCCACTGACTTTTCATGCAAATGCAAGAAGTAGTTATGAAAAAAGATATTAAACGGAAGAACGTGAAACTGTAACATATTTTACGTCAGCTTAATATCTTACAAAAGCGTTACTTTTTATAGTTGAATAATTTTTTTGGTCCTCGATCTTCACGGAGTTTTTAAAATGAACTTTTCCTTGAATATTGTTCTTAGAAGCATGCGTGGATGTGGATAGAAACGATTTTGAAAAATGTAGGGATTTGTGGGGAGAATCTACGCTGACGTGCGTATATGGAAGTAGGTAGAAATTGCCTGTGCAGTAGGGAGAAACGATAAGTCAAGCGTGGCAACACTTTTTCAGTCAGTTGCTTAAAAAGTTTCGCAGAAACACACTTGGGTAGTTTTCCTTCGGTTATCTTGGTTTCCTTTAGATAAAAAAGTCGGTTGAGCTCGTTGAATTCATTTTAATTTAGTAAATAAAACTGAGCAGCGATATTTACTAAATTACTATAGCAATCTAATTCATAGACTGGCGCTTCTGAAGCAAACATGAAGCTTGCATTGAGATGGCTGTTTTGAAATTTCAGCCCTTTTGTTGTAACCTCAGTTCTAAGGAGCAGGGTTTACAATGTGTAGCCTCAGTTATAGTTCAACGGTAGAGAAGTGTCTGTACACTTATTATCAAACTTTTTAAAATTCTTTGCAGAAATTTTTTGTAGACTTAATCATGGTTTTTCTGTTCTAGGCCTAACTGTTTTCAAATTGTCGTGCGCGCGTTGAATGAAACGACGACATGCTATCTGTGCACTGACACGAATGACGAAGCTCGGGTAGGTATCATCAGGATCCCCCGTCGTTTTTTTTCAGTAGCTTGTACCACATTTTAGCAAGTATCCTTTTGAATGCAAGAACGGGGGTAACTTATTCTAGTTTTTCTCTTATTAGGCTTACGTCTACACATATACTTTGGCTTTAACAGAGTTCAGAATTATTAAGAGCTAGAGTAGCTATGTTTAAAAACGATAATGTTGTTTAAAGCAAGCTTCAATCTGCGAACAACAGAATGATTTCTGCCTAAGTCATATTGTAGTTGATGGCATTTAGTATATATATGGGATTAAACTTTCGGATGTTTTGGCTCAAAGGCCTCAGGGGCACAAAGGTCAAAGTTTAAGAATTTTTGGACTCTTTATGGACTCTCATTTCTTGTTCAAAAATTAGGAATGGATGGAGGCGATATCGAGATTTTGCGGTAAAGCAAAGAAAAAGCAGTTGAGCACCAACACAAGTCCATCGAAAACAGTAAAAGAGCTACGAAGTCTGGAGCTGACGATATGTGATGCACACAAACTGTCCACTGGAAAAACTTTGAATCAGTATTGTATAGTATCACTCAATGATGCCATGACCTGTCGAACCAAACCCCAAGAGGGGCAAGCCCCTGTTTGGGCGGAGGAATTCAAATTCAAGTATGTATTTCTGCCTTTAATAACTAATAGGGACCTTTTGTATTTCTTATTTCCTAGCTTCTGAAGGTGGGGTTTCGGACACAATGTCATGTGTCCGATGTCCTCAAGCAATGTCCTCATAAAGGCATCATGAGTTGTATTTTGTATTCATTCCGTAGCAATTTTTATGTATTTTGTTTAAATAGTTAGCCTTAATTAGCTTTTAAGCTATATAATTTTAACTACCAACTTTAAATCAAAGAGTTAATAATTATAATGAATAAAATGTGCAGTGCCTGGGTCTTTGCTCTCGATGTGACCACACCTCGTGATTCCTTCACCTGGAATTACAGAGACTTGGTGATGCTCCACTCTCTAAGTGAACGTTTTGTCGTGGCAGGGGCTCGAATCACTGACCCTTTGATCTGTAATCCGCAACGTGGATCTCTAGTGTCTTGGGTACCTATATGGAATTGCTCTTTCAGTTACAGACCAGATAACAGTCATCTTAATGCCCAAAGAATTATTAGTTAATGATTGGCGAAGTATGACACATTGTCAATGGCAAATTCCATCAGTTTATTGCCGTCTTTAGATATCCCAATGATATTTTATTCTGGAGAAAAAAACTATTATTATTCTCAGGATAGTAATAATTTTTAGACTGTTTTTGAAAAATCTTTTTTGCTCAGCGAATGCTACTGTTGCTACTGAGAACCTATGACTCACGCCTTTGTTCAAGTTGGCCAATCAATAAACGTGTGGGCGGTATTACGCTGATTGATTGGCCAGTTTTGATTGACAGATGACATAAACCACTTGAGTATTTGTCGATTGCCTTTAAACTTTTAATTGTCTCTTCTTTGCAGCGATCTTCCGAATGACATTACATCATTTACGGTTAGTTTGTACAACAGAAACAGAAGAGATGTGGAAATCGGTATGTGGTACGCTTTTGTACGGCCATTTTCAACTGGACGAAGTTAACATACGTAATGCCTCGAACAAGCGCCCCCTCAAATAAGAGCCCCCCTCGAATAAGCGCCCACCCTAGAGGTAGAGTTATTGAATAAGCGCCCACCCCTCGAATAAGCGCCCACCCCTCGAATAAACGCCCATCCTTCAACCTTCAGAAAGGGGCGCTTATTCGAATTTCCAACGAAAACATAATTAGAAAGCAATTCATCACGAAAGATTAATAAAGAACACAATTTGCACCCAAATCTACTTTTTAAATAAGCGCCTCCCTTGCTTAAGCGCCTCCCTCGAATCAGCGCCTCCCTCAAATAAGCGCCTCCCTCGAATTAGCGCCCATCCTGGAGCCTCAAAAATTAAATAAGCGCCCGGGCGCTTACTCGAGGCATAACGGTATGTAGAAGCGGGGATATGCAATTTTAGGGGTACTTTTAAATGGAGATTCATTGTTGGTTTTTCTCTCAAAAGGGTAGGTACAGATGCGTAAACCATCTTGGGTTAACTAAAGTTGTAGAGATATCTGGCACTTTTTATAGCATCGCCCTTTTTGGAACATTTCAATGCGATGCCATAACAAACACGATTATATTTCGCATATATTGTGCTTTTTTCCATTTCTCTTTATTAAAGACCTTTAACCCACACTACCCAAAATTTGTTGTTCATTTCCTTGACCAAAATCTCTGCCTATTTTTTAAATCATTATCCAAAATAAATACTTTGAGAAATGTCGGAAAAGAAGGTGCTTTAGAATGCTATCTTTCTGTTTTTCTTTGCTTTCTTCATGAGCAGTGATTTGTAAAAGATGATCAGTTGAATTTTGAACTTGCTATGTGAATTGTAAATTGACCCCAATTTAGTTGCATCTTTTCGTCCTATCTTTGACTCAGTTTGGGTTAGTTTTAAGAATCACTCCCTATTCATGTTAGGTAAATAAATTTTTGTTACTCCTTTCCATTTGAATTGAGATTAAATGAAAATGTGAGTGCTTATTGATGTTAAGTTTTGTTAAATTTAGTTTCATCATATTTTTAGTACCCCTTTAGTTCAAGAAATCATTTCATATGCCCATCTTTGTAATTAAAACATTGTTTCATCTTGTTCATCGTTAATAGTTTGTCTTTTATGATGTGTTTGAAATGTCTTTTATATTCAAGAATAAATTGCCCGATAAAGGCTTTATCTTTCATAAAGAATTACAATTAATCTTAAAGTCATAAAGAATTACAATCAATGCCTTAAGATTGAAGAATTGACAGAAAGCACAAAATTTAATGTGACAGTGAAATTTTCGAATTCTCAAAGTGTGGAATTGTCAAAACCTGGTCTTAGCTCGATAGCTGCGATGGGATTTATTTCAAAATATTTAAAATTGAGAGTCTGTTTGTTAAGATTTTGCTGTAACTGCTCGGGTTTCTCAGAAATTATTTCCTGTTTTATCATTACTAATTTTAAAGTTTTGGCTTTTTTCATGCTTTAGGCCGTGTCACCGTCCAATTAGAGACATTAAAAAAGGGGGATATTCTTGATGAATGGTACAAACTCAATGCTGTGGCACACAAGCGAGAAATAAAGGGAAGCGAAATTGGTACCATTCGATTAAAAGCAAGATATACGGTGAGTCTAGAAAGATCCGTTTTTGGTTTGCGCTTTCATCAATAATATTTCACTGTCTTATAAGAAGGGTGATTGTTTCTTGTAAAAAAGGTTTTTCATCAGTAGTGAATAAGCAAATTTGACTTAAATCTCTTGCGCAACCGACATGCCTAGCGGCTACTGTCTTGATGAATTGATTGCGTTTTGTATTTTCATGCAGTTCGATATTAGGCCGGTTTTTGAAGTATAGTCGCAAAGCATGCCGGTTGCGCAAGGGCCTTTAAACTGGATGAGCTTCTCTAGTTACTGTGTTTTGATCCATTGCATTAGTTTAACGATATTGATAAGCAACACTTGTTAAAGGGGTAGGGTTGCTTATTAAGGCTTTGAAACCGGACGATGAGATTCTTTTTTAAGAAAACTGAATAAAATTTAAATAACTGAAGCGAAAGACTTCAAACAGATTCGAATTAGTCAATGTTTATTGCCTTGGTGCAACTACGCAAAAGTTAAGGTTGTATTGGAAAGGTCGCTTTATAATAACTGGTTGTGTACTGAGTTAGCACTTTTAGCCTTACACAATTAAGATACGCTTTTGTTATAGCCTCGTTTTAGTTAAAGAACACGTTTTTTGTGTTCTTTATGTTCGTTGAGTAGATCCAAAATGGCTGCGCATCTAAACTTCTAGTTTATTTCATCGTGAAATTCTGTTGCAACTGAAGTTCATAGATATTTCACGACAGTTGTCCTAATGTTTAGTTAAGTCTAAAATTGTGTGCGTGAGCAAATCGCTGCGAGTTTCTTTGGCTTTTTCTTTCATTATTAATGAATAGTTTGTTTTTTTGTAATGTTGCTGACGGCAAATTAAGTGTATATCTAAATTTCCTGCAAAGAACTTGCATTTCTTTAGTGAGAAAGTTTGCATAATCAGTGTATTGCATCATTTCAGCACGAGATCATAATGCCTGTTGAGGAATATAGCCAACTTAAAGAGGTATGTGTTTACATAAAGAGGACTTTGTTTGCATTAACACGCATTGATCTTCCTTCAAACGCAAGTCATTGCTTAATGCATACAGCTTATGTAAACATGTCTCGCATCATGAATCCAAAGTAGTGGTTCTTCCTTATTAATAATTGAGCAAGCCTCGAGCATCTGTCACTTGTTTTTCAATGATAACTGTTTTTTGCGTTTTGTTCATGTCTCTGCTAGGGTCCTCCATTCTCACCACTGCTTTAGAACACTCTCCAGTTCCTTCAATCGTGTTTATAACCCCGGGGGTAATGTTTCAGTTGCCTTCCGTTATAAACCTTCCTGTATTTTAAGTTTTGTCTCGAAATGCGAGGTGTTTCATTAATGTACTACAATCGTGGTCCTTGAGAAACAAGTTATCGTTAATTGGCCAAGAATATTGCTTTTTCATGGGTTATCCTAGCTATCAAAGAAGGGGAATCTGAAGCTTGATACATCCCTCCTCCTTTATAGTCAGAATATGTACGCATTAAATGCCTAGACGGGGGATTGCTCAATTTTTTAAAAAGCAGCAATTTCTTGAAGTGCTTAGCTTAATTGAATAGATTGAATCTTGAAAATTCTTCTCCAGTTTCAAAACGTTTCAGACCAGTATTGGCTTAATGATTTGATGGCTAAATTTGATAGGTTTGAGGGGAAAGTAATATCTAAGGAGTTTTATTGTAGCTTTTGCTTGAACAGCTTCAAAGAAAGAATTTGAAGGATATGTTTTCGTTAGAGCTTGTTGGGAAACTGAGAGTTTTTCCAAATTCGAGCTTGTTTCTTGATATGCTTCACTACGGCCTTAGAAGCATTTTCTGTAAATTTTCATTTTAGGCCCAAGCGAATTTTTTTGGACTGTCTAATTGCCTAAAAGTTTCTCAATTTATATCAATAAATGTGCGAGAAGAGTAAAATTCTGAACACAGAAGTTGGAAATAGTGGTTTTTCTTAGCGAGCACGAATCCTTTAGTGGTTTATCTTAGCGAGCAACTAATTTATGTTTTTTATTACGACATTCCAATTACGAGATTGCTTCATAACGGACGAACAGGCTGTGCTGGTCATGTGGCAGATTGATTCAGACAGGCTGCTGTGAGCGCAAATTGCTCAGCCAGACTGCAAACGCTATTAATTTATCGCTGAATATTGATTTCATCCATCGAATAATGCCATCTTGAAGATGATTAATTAAAATATTCTGATATTTCACGCCTTTCTACGGCTGTTTCAATCGGGTCTCTCTTTTTGAGATTGCAATTTAATTGAAACAACGTGGTTGAATCACATGACCGGTAATTTTGCATCACGTGACGTCTTTTTTATTCTTCGTTTTATGTTTTCGTAAATCACACTAATAACTGGTAAATGGCTCTCGACTGCAAACCTTTGTCGTCCATATTGTTAAATTTGTATTCAGGTGCAGAAATACCCTTTGTTTACATCAATGCTTCTCGAAAATGTCTCCTGGTGTCAAAGAAACGTTACATGATATTTAACCAGGCAATAGTGCTGCTTATGTCTATAATTTCTTGTATAAATTCTCAATTTGATGGCCGCCGATATTTTTGAGACGTTCCCTGGCGAATCTTGGCCTTAGGGAATTCTGACAATAAACTAAACAAAGGGAGAATTCCTACCGAGCAATGCTTGCTTCAATTTTTAAAATTATGCAAGATGAGCTGGACTCCATGGTTCAGTGTTATAGTTTACAATAAATTCAAATTCTGATAACTTGACTGCCTGATGATTCGAGTCTTGCATAAGTCAAACAAATTTCTTCCCTGCATAATGATTCCTATATCGACCATCTTTGTTAATTCGAATTCACTTTATTTCAAAGCAAATTTTCCCTTCCCTCGAGAGCTCAAAATATATGCCGTGGACTATATCTGCTTCAACATGAATCGGTCTGTTTTGTACAGGCAAACAAATCAATTTATTTTTGCTTTTTAGATATTGCTGACAAATTTCCAAATGATATCAGTTTTGGGTGACGTCAGTCGCGATTTACCAGCACTGGCAACTTCATTGTTGCGAATATTCAGGCAGGAGAAGAAGGAACTGCTGCTAATTAAGACCGTTGCAACTAAAGAAATGGAGCAAGAAGGCAAGTTACTGGCAGTTTCTATCATCAAGAGTTTAGATAAAACTGCAATCTCAATTCAATACATTTTCCAATATTGTGCTTTTTCTCCTCCTTCTTCCTCTCCTTCTTCCTCTCCTTCTTCCTCTCCTTCTTCCTCTCCTTCTTCCTCTCCTTCTTCCTCTCCTTCTTCCTCTCCTTCTTCCTCTCCTTCTTCCTCTCCTTCTTCCTCTCCTTCTTCCTCTCCTTCTTCTCTCCTTCTTCTCTCCTTTCCTCTCCTTCTCCTCTCCTTCTTCCTCTCCTTCTTCCTCTCCTCCTTCCTCTCCTTCTTCCTCTCCTTCTTCCTCTCCTTCTTCCTCTCCTTCTTCCTCTCCTTCTTCCTCTCCTTCTTCCTCTCCTTCTTCCTCTCCTTCTTCCTCTTCTCCTTCCTCTTCCTCCTCCTCTCCGTCTTCCTCTCTCTCTTCCTCTCCTTCTTCCTCTCCTTCTTTCTCTCCTTCTTCCTCTTCTTCTTCCTCTCCTTCTTCATTTCCTTCTTCCTCTCCTTCTTCCTCTCTTGTTATTTCCTTTCTTTTCCGCTCATTCTTCCTCTAAGTTTTCTGCTTCTTATTCTTTTTCTCCTTCCTTTCTACCTTCCGCTCCATCTTCCTCTACTTAATTTTCTCCTATTGGTTTTTTTATTAATCTTCTTTGTCTCGTCTTCCTTTTCTTCTTTTCCTATTCTTCCTCTCATTCCTTCTCTCCTTATTCCTCCTTTCTTTTCTTGTCTTCTTTTTCTTCTTTTACTTCCTCTTCCTATTTCTCTATTCTCTCTTTCATTCTTTCTCCTCTTCGTCCACTCCTTCCGCTCCTTCTGCCTCTCTTTCATCTTTTATTCTTCCGCTTTTCTTGTTTGTCTTTATTTTGTTATTTCTCTTATGCACCTTTTTCATTCTATTCTTTCCTCTTATTTATCTCCTTCCTCTTCTTCTTCTTTCTCTATCCTTCCCCTTTTTGATCTTTTCTTCTACAATTTCTCCTCCGTTTCTTACCTTCACATTAGTCTACCAAACAATTGTTGTTCACTTCTTGTGTACTGTTCTGTTCAATATTTGCTATTATCCTTCATTCTTCCTGTTTTTAAAGTTGAAGAGGATACATGGAATCGATGTGTTGCAGCACGATGATCCTTTCCTTTAAACATGTCGACTATGATTTTTTCAAACGAAATAACGAGTTGTAACAAAATAACCAACATTATAAGCAACACAAAGTATGTCAGTGCATTGATATATTCACATTTTAACTGCTTTAGAAAAGAAAGAGACACTGTTTCGAGGGAATACGTTGACAACAAAATTGATTGATCAATACATGAAAATGGTCGCCATTCCATATTTACGGCGGACAATTAAGGATGTAATTATGAAAATCATGGAATGTAAACAGTCTTGCGAAGTGAGTTTTGATTTTTATTTCTAATTTTACTCTCCATAATTTGAATCATAGTTATTCTCCATATTTTTTTCTATATTGGTTTCTCGAACATTTTATAAATCTTATTATACCTTGTAGCAAATTGAGCTTCGAGAAACAAGAATTTCAAATGTTTAGTTGCATGGATGTTTTTTGGTTCTTGAATAGAGTTCAATTGTTTTTTAAATCGCTTCTCGATATTCTTAATTTTTAGCTCAATCCTGTAAAACTGGAAAAGGGAACAAATGTGGTTGAAAACTTGCAGCAGCTTCTCAAATTTTTAGAGGAAGTAACGGAATCGATATTCAAATCGGCAGTCGATTGTCCAAAGTAAGTTCTTAGAAGTGCAGCAAAAATTATTCTCAGAAATTTTATGTCAAAAATTATCCGTTTTATGTCAGTACCCACTTGGACCAATTTTGTAAAAAGTAGAAGCCAGTAGTCCTTTAGATATATCAAAGCCTTTAAAAAGCGAAGGAAAAGTTTGATAGTTAAAATTCTTTTGACAAATTTTCGAAGAGCCTAAAGGCAAATGATAAACACAAAATAGCAGTCTCATATTTGTTCAGTATTGATGTGGCATATAGCTTGCTTTTAATGCCGAGGAGACCCTTCAGATATTTATAATTTGCCCTACAATTTGTTTATATTTATGCTTTGTAGTTAGATTTGTTCTTCATGTCTTATTTGGTTATTGTGATGTTTAGAATAATTAATTATAGCAACTCTATTACCGTGTCTTATTAAATTTAGCATTTCTACTAACTGAAGACATGATTGATTTGAAATTGATATCATTATAAGAAAGTCTTAAAAATTATGATGAATGATGATTAGTATTAAACAAATTACTCCAAAATAAGAATTAAACAAAGTAACGAATTAAGCCAAATTTCGCCCACCTTTTATTAGAACCTGCCAAATGATAACGTATTGCGATAACGGTTATACCCAGTATTTTTATTGAATTGAACCAATAAGAAAATGGTCACACAATTAACTTCCGGTGTCCCACAAGAATCCTTACGAGAACTCTTTCTACTTTCACACTGGGTCTTTATTTTCACATTTGTTCATGAGATTCTATAACATTTCAGTGGAATTGAAATCCCTTGATTCCACTGCTCGAAATTCATTCCATGTTATGATAATCATTGAATTTCAACACCTGACTAAAAATTGGCTTTACTTCCTTCTTTCAGATCCCTTCGATTTATTTTTCATTGTCTGCAAACGGCTGCTCACAAAGAGTGGCCTGAGGAGGAGTTCATTCGATGCAGAGTTGTTAGGTAAAACAACTCTCTAATATTATAAGCTGTTTTTCATACCCAATGCCGAATAGACAGAGCAGTACACGCTATTTGGTGTACAGAACAAGACGGTTCTAGGTTGCAACTCCGAGTTTGAAACTCACGCTTCTGTTTTATACAAGCCAATCTCATTGCCTAAATCTTTTCTCTTTAACTTTTTCTCAGATTTATTCCATGGAATCACTAAGTAGCCATTGTAGCATTATAACCTACAACAAAACCCTGTAAAGCAAAACTTGCGATATTGTGTAGTACAGTATGCTGATATTAAGACGAATATATTTCGCTAGATTTTTATGTACTTTAGAAGGTTTTCGGGCTGGGGCCTTTAAGGGAGTTTTGTGTGTGCAATTTAGCTTACTGTCCTCATTGCCGACGAACGTCTTTTTTACTTTTCGTTTAATACTGAACTTTTTATTCCAGTGCATTTCTCTTTCTGCGGTTGATTTGTCCTGCAGTTCTCAATCCTAAACTCTGTAATCTTCTCGATGGTGAGAAATTTTATTTGACTTACATTCGATAGAAATAATGTCATGAAAATGATATAATTATAATAATTTAAACATTTCATTGATATCTTTATTTCCTTTCCTGGAAAGTTTGATTCGCCTTTATGAGATGAATATTGTATTCAGGTGTTTAAAGCAAAAGGCTCGAGGACCGATCCTTGTAGAACTGCGTATTCTTAGTTGTGACGTCATTTTTTAAGGACATTGCGTCATACTGCAATATTCACTTATTGCACTGGTAAAAAGCACCTATAAGCTAAACATATCAGTCCTTCTTCAGTGTTATATAGTTTTTTGGGGTTTCGGGAGCCAGCACTGTATCACGGAGATATTTTGCATTTGAGTGTCGATTTTTTATTCATTGTTACCTACATTGGTCTGTGTGGATCCTTCAAAATTCTGCAATGGAGAACTTAGACTTTCATGTTTGTGTTAAAATCAAATGACAATTTCCTTTAAGCGGGTATATTCCCTTGACTTCTTATTCCTGGATATGGGATGATATAAGCATATTATCCAGCATGCCTCTGTACACAAAAGGGGTTCATTGCCCCCTTCCCCTTAGGGAAGGTGAAAAATGTAGATGGGTTTGAAGGCTTTTCATTCAACACAAGTTGCTTCTGTGTTTTCTTTCAAGCTTCTTTATGTGTAATACAATCCAGTTAAATTTCTGTGTAATCTTCTTTACAGAATATAAATAATTTCATCTTTTATTTCGTAGAAACTCCGTCGCCCATGGCTTCCAGATCCTTGACACTAGTTGCCATGTGTTTACAAAAACTAGCGAATCTCACAGAATTTGGCCAAAGGGTACGCATTCTACAATGTTGTTATCTTGCTTTGCTTTATACTGGCTTAGCTTAATCTCGCCAATTCGTGGCACTTCTTCGTTTCTATGTTCGTCTAGAGTTAATAGAAAGAAGGCTCTTGGCTGTTTTTAGTTATCAATGACCTTTCTTCTTTTGAGTCGCAACCCTTCCCTGTTATTGTCTCTGGGCATTTGGGAAAACCCTCCCCTCAAAACCCTCCCCCCACCAGGGAGGTCAATGCCTTGCAACGCTAGGCCGAGCAGGGGTAGGGAGGGAAGCCAGTTCCTAGAGGAGGGGGTCAGTGCCGGATTAAGGCCAAATTTGGAACTGATACTGCCGCACGAAGGGTCTATTGTTAGGTTTATTCAGCTTATCTGGGCCTATTTCAGGAACGAGCATTATGCTGCAGCATCTATAAAACCAACCTTATTCCAGTCATGGGAGGTCTTCCCTTCAAGGTCTACAGTGGAATCAAAGAGCACCTCTAAAACAAGAGTACCGAAAAACTACAAAAATAATAGAGACACGGTAAACCTCTATGTTGTTAGGTTCGTCTACAGTGAATGCTCTTCAATTGTCTCAGAGCGCGGGTGTAAGCCTCCACGAGGGATGTCGAAGCCTTGCAATGCAAAGTTAGGCGGGCAGAGATGGGGGAAAAACTTTATCGAAGTCAGAAATTTTTCGATTTTTGCCAAGAATCCATTTAAGAAAAAAAATTTATAATTTCAAGTACGATTTTAGACAGCATTTTCACAGTAGAATGTTTAATCTTCGATGTTCATTCAACTGATAATTCAGGAACCGTTTCGTCTTTTTGTTGTATTCACGTTTCTTCTTCTCACTAGGATCCGTATCTCACGGCCGTTAATCCATTTCTGCAACGATACAAACCAAGAATGATCCAGTTTTTAGATGACATTTCGGTAGGTTCCTCTATTGTCTATCTTCTTCCATTTTCCCTCTTACAATGCGCTTTGATGTTAAGAATAGGACGGTCCTAAGTTGCTACTCTGAGTCTCACGTTTAATGCATCTAACACTAGTAGTTCGTGTTCGAGAATAGTTGGTTGAACCGAAACTTTTATATTTTGATGGTCTTGCTTCTCCCTTAATGCGCTCTTTTTTATAAAAACAATTAAATAAGAACACGCGCCTCAAAATTGGTCAAAAGTTGAGATTAGATTTGAAACAAGCTGAGGCTGAGCTACTGTAAAATATAATTTCGAACAATGTTATTAAACCCCCATTATTTGACCAAGTGTCCGCCACTGGTTGAAAGGGTCTGTTTTCTTGAACAAGTACAATCGTTTATTGCAGAAATGTAATCAACTATAAAACATATGTTAAACTTAGCTATTTTTCTCATATTCCAGTTTAAAAGTTTCCCAGCCAACAATTTTGTCAATAGAGATACATTTATGCTTTCATTGTTTAAACTTTTTTATCATATTTCAGTTACATTTGAAGAGACATTTTAATTCATTTCTTGTTAAGCGCAATTCGATTTTGCTCTGTCTGTTAAACTAGGCTGTTTTTGACTAGACTTTTCAGTAGCGCTGCCATTTTTGTCAAGGTTGAGTTGAATTTTTATCATTGAATTGAATTTTAGGACGTGACGGAATACTCAAGTGGTAGTGAAGGCTTACCATCTGACCAGGCCAGGGAACTTGCAGCCATCCATGATATTTGTATACAACATGAAGATAAATTACAGCAATTATGCTCAGCGCAGGTAAAGTCACTTTTTATCGGCTAATGTGACACAATTATTGCATACTATTTCAACATTTAACATACACTATACTATTAGCTAGTAGTAGTGAACACTATTAGCTAGATGTCATATTTGCCGCGGAGCTTATCCAGAACCTAGGTCGCTGATGATTCCCGTATCCACTCAAATTTTTAATATCTTTTTTACGAAAGCCCATACGTGCCATACAAAGTTCGTTTAAATGCATACAAGGTTTCTTTCACTTTATACATAGTTCATTCAGTGAAGTATGTGAATGCATACAGTGAACTAAACTTTGTATGCTTTCAAAGGAACTTTGTAAAATGGGTTTCCGTATTTTGAACTTAGCACCATAATGCTAACAAACAGCCAAAGTTTCAAATGTTCAAAACAGTTGTATCTCTTGATGTGTTCACGTCACATACCAAAGTTAAGAATCTTATCTGACCCTGCTGCTCCTAATGTCAGCGGTATATTACTGAATATATGCGTGGTCAGTGGATCATAAAACTCCTGAACCTAATGATGATATACTTCGCTCCTTCTTCGTTTTGTAAGAAGACATTTTCGACCAATCATTTTAGATTTTCTTTTGTTATTTGTAAGGGTTGATTTCCAGTGTGTATGTCCTTCCTACATTTAGCATGCTTTTGGTCCTTTTCTGTTGCAGCCGCACGCCCGCATTCTGGTTGCAATCACGGAAGGTATCAAAAAGCAAAAAGAGAAATACCTAAACGATGCAGGTATTAAAGCTTAGATTAAAGATGAAAGAATAATAAAAGGCTATAGTATGCAAGACATGGGTTGAATCAGAGGCAGGATAGATCTGGAAAGTACATCGGAAAGAAGTTTGCTGTACCACAGGGCCAAATCACTGTTTGTTTTTTATTCGAAAACAATGGCGTAACGGCGGGAAGTCACTTTGGTATAAGGTCCCCACCCTTCTTACTAAGCATAGACTATGGCAAACTGCTCAACAATTCCAAAGGGGCTGTTTGCAGCCTGCAAAGGGCTGCGAACATGTAATTCTTGGTTTTCCTATAAACCATTTTTCGAAAGCAGTAAGGCTTAAAATTACTCAGTACGGAGTAAGCCGAAAATTTCCATAATTGTCATTTTTATTATGTTCAATTTGTTGGGGAGAGGAGCAAGAAAGAATTGTTAAATGAGTGGGACAACCCCCGTCTTGGAGTCAAGGAGTATGCGTAGTAATGATCAAGCTCAATGCGCATGCCCTTGACTTCAAAGCGGAGAGCTTCCTCACTAATTGAAACAATTTTCTTTTTCATTTCCAAAACTGTAACGGAATTTTTTGGCTTTTTATTGGTAACGATTGTAGCCATGAACACGTTGTGAACATAGATATCCATAGGGCTTTACCAGCTACCGTTACGCCACTCCGTTCTTAATACAAAATTTTCATTTGATTATTTGCATTTTTTTAGTTTTTAAGCGCCGTGATATTTTCAAATTGATGAAATAGTGTTACGTATAAGTTTGTAATGACGCTCAGTTTTATGAGATTTGTTTACTTCTGGATTCATTGTTTAATTGGTCCTCTCTTTGTTGCGGTATTTGAAGAAATCTAACAGAAAATACACAACTTCACTGCTGTTTCACCTTTTTAGGGTCGACCAGTTTAGAAAAATGTTTTAATATCTTTAAAAATGCAAGTTAACGTTTAATATGCTGAAATGAAAGGCTCCACCACTTTAACTAAGTTCAAATTTTCTAAACTGGTTGTCTATTTGTTATCTTTAAATACTGCATCACTTGTTACAATTGTCGTTTAAAGTGGTTGGGAAACCCAGATTGTTCTGCTAATAAATGCATGTTTCCTTTTTACCTATCTCAAGCGGACATACCCCCCCCCCTTTCCCCCCTTAAACAACCTTGGGAAGGAAAATAATTATTTCCTAAAAAATCTTATTCCCGGTTTCCGTTCCAGCCTACATTTGTTGTCATTTTCAAATCGGAATCCAACATTTATAAGAGTGGGGGAGGAGAGATGTTGAGTATGGAAGACGACGAGGTCGTTCCAACACTCTGGACTGGCTTTGTAGAATCTCTATATATTTTTTTTTAATTTTTGTATTTGAAGGCTAGGGGTTTGTTATCAGTGATAGGGAGGGACGTTGTGGAAGTGGCATTGGTAAACTGGGACACCATCGCCCAGGCATTTACCCTTTCCATTTGAAAAAAGGGTGGCGCTAAGAGGGATACCTAATTCGAAATTAGGCCTCTTTTTAAGAGAATCACAATTGTTTGTCAGTATGTTATCTGGAAATGCACCCACGTGATTGGTGTTAAGATTTTATCAGTGTAATATTTGATATTTGTAAAGTAATCGCCATTTACAAATGAAAAGATGACTAGTTGACGTGAACAGGGAATACCACGTGACCTGATTCATAGGAAGTAAACTTTGTTGCTATCATGTGACAGTTTATAAAACCTTAAACAGTTCATGATTTGAAAAAGTGTAGTTCAGGCTGCGTGCCTATTAATTTTTTTTGCTATAATTTTTCTATATTCCCATGTCCATATGTAGATGTTTTCTGTTTCATAAATCGATTTTTAAAGGGTGATGGTAATTCTTATAATGATAATTATATTTAGTTTATGTGCGGGGATAAAGCCAGTAGATTTATCGACCGTTGGCCGATTGGGCCCTGGTATAGTAATTATGCGTGCTTTGTTTACTGGCAGTTGACTGCTACGGTAGATGGTCATTTTACGGCCTAAGCAGTGAAAGCAAAATACTATTGGGTTAATGTCTGCATTAACAGAAGGGATCGGGAGGCTGGCCGCGTAGATTTTGCTTTTAATGCATATTAAATGTTAAAAGAACGTTTAGGGTATCACCGAAAATGTGGTTATAACCAGTTTCATTTTGTACTGTAATAAAGAATTATTAAAGTTTATAAACATAATCTATAGCTGGAAACTTGATGGCATTATCTTATATCCTTTTAGCACCTTGAGGAGAGGTGACTTTTCGCACCTGGGGGGAGGTGAATTTTCGCACCTAGGGGGGAGGTGATTGCAAAAGTAAAATCCACTATTTTTACCAGTATTAAGATGTGTTACTGACCAAGTAATAATTTTACCCTTATCCCTGCAGCCTTCTTTGCCAGATAATAAATAACAGTACCCTCCAACTTCCCATTTATCGAAATGCAGGGTCCCAGTATATCACATAATCACAATCCAGCTTTAGAAGTTTGTAGACAAAGTTGAATGTGATGCTCTGTTAATAAAATACGTGGATCTATTTGCCTTAGTTTCAAGTATAGAATTTGTAATATTGGATAGAGATGTTATATGAAAAATTATATATGTGATTTTGTTCTTGAATCGTGTTTTTTTCTTGTACGTTAGAAACTAGTTAAAAATAGCTTAGTTAAGAATCTGATAATGTAATACGTTCATGAGAATATCAAAGACAGACCTTAGGGCTCTTAAAAAACCGTTGTCTTCACAATCCTGACTGAAATTTGTTAATTGCACAACGCCATGAGTTAACGTTAGATCGCTAAGAATAGTTGAGTGACCATAACTCGTGATTCCTACTCCTGGAATAACAGAGAGCTGGTGACTCTTCATGCCCTACGCGAATGCTTGGTCACACAGGAACTCAAATATCAGACCTTTGGATTAGCTTCGTTAAGTTTTTGCTATACCTGATATTGCAGCTTATATTGCAGAACTAGCATCAACTCAATAAAGCTTTTCTGTGACGGAATGTCTTATAAATTAGTACTACTGCAGTAGCTTTTATTTGAATTCATATGTGGTACCTAGCAAATCAAACGTTAGGCCAGTGCTCCTCGCTCGTGTTGCACACACTGATTCTTAAACACATATATTGATAGAGACCTACGGTACTCTGTAACATCTGAATTGTTGCAGAGAGACAATTTAATGTACAGGACTCATTTTCAACTTTCCTTGTTTGAGCCAGGGGACTGAGCTTAACTCTGCTAGATACAGTATTGTCAGCATAACAGCGAATTGTAATGGCAAGTGCAGATAGAGCAGTAACATCTTGCAATATGAACTGAAAATCATTCAAGTAGATGATAAATAGAACGGGACCTAGCACCGAACCTTGAGGAGCACCACGAAACCGTGGTGTGGAGGGGCGTGGGCAAGGAAGACTGCTTTCGATTGAATGTGCATCAAAGTCATACCGCACAAGTTCTGATAGTTGAGTGCATGGTCCATAGTGATAAATGCATTGCTAGGATTCATCATTAGAAATATAATGATTAGTTTGACATCCATATTCTTTACGATATCATCAATAAACTTCAAGAAAGCAACCCCTGTCTAATGTCGTTTTCTGAACCGCCGAAAAATGTACTTAAGATTTTATTCATTCCAAGACGTCTGTCTGCAAGTGGCCTTTTTACAAAACTTTTTGATAGCAACGAAAGTAGTAAGAGATCCAAAACAAGCTGTTATCGAGTACCAGCATTTAGCACTATCCGGGAATGTACACGATGGTGGCGATAGTTGCTACTGTCGACAGGGGTTCCAGCTGGTCTCTCCCTTTAGCACCCTTGCTTACAACACCTGAATGCTACGTTAAAAAACCCCGGTAAAAAACTGTGGAGTTCCTTTTCGAAAATCGAATGTCCCGGAAAATTCCACTTCCCCGCGTCCCCCGCAAGCTGAGAATTTTCGGCTCCTCTTGTTGGCACGAGATCCTGTCCCCTGGCAGTCCAAGATAAATTTTGCTGCCCCCAGTGGCGGATTTAGAGGGGGCAACTAGGGGCAGTTGCCCCTCCCTCAACGAGTTGAGGCAAGTCTGGCGCCCTTTTTTAGAAATTGTGCGCCCCTTTTGAAGAATGAGAATCAGATGAAAAAGGTTCTTGGACTGATAGGTTAATTTGCTTCAAGGATAACCTCAAAGTTATGTTGTTTATTCTGAAAAGGTATCTGAAACTGTTGTATACAGCGTACTCTCGCAACCAATTTTTGAAAATTTTTTAGCGCCCCCACTACCAACTGCCCCTCCTCCAAATTTGCCAAATCATATTGACGCCCCCTCTGTTGCCTGATGACCCCTTCGGAAGCCTGGGGCGGAGCAAAGTATAAGTTGACTGACTGAGGATACTTGGAAGTGAATGTGGGAAGGTTAACCAACACGTTCAGCCGAAAAGTCCAAAAGTATCACACAGTCTAAAGATATTTAACCTGTTTTGATTATGAAGATATTTTCAAGAGCTTGGGTTGGCCAAACAGGGATTATTCGACGAAATTAGTTTATCAAGCCATAGGTCAAGGAACGATCTTTCGGCCCATTAGGCCGTGCCTCACGATCTCAGATCATTCGGAAAAAAGGAGCAATCTTGAATTGTCAATTTACTATTGATGCACAAAAGTCTAAAGACTTGAAAATGATTCCAAGTGAACCATCTGCAATTAGAGAGTCGCAAGAATATCAGAGTTTCAGGTGCACTGTACCACAGCAAAAGGTCAAACCTTTTTATTTAATTTTAACCTAAAATGTTATTATAATTATTATTAATTCATTGATTTGAAATCAACAAGTAAATTATAGCTTAAAATACTAATTACTATAAAAAACTACAATCAGAAAAATACAATTTTCAATAAAAATCTAAAATATGGATAAAAAACCCAATAATTACCCCCAATATTAAGTGTAAATGTAAATCTTACTTTATAGACAAATTTAAGGACCAATCTTTTCATAACTATGGTTTTATTGTATAATTATGTTTGTACTATAAAATTGTAAATACATTTTACTTTAAGATATTTTTCCACCTTTTATTTGTAAACCAGGCTGGAAACAAGTTTTACTTAGTCCTGTAATTTAAAAAAATTACAAACATACATATAAATCTCTTATTATTTCAAAAGACCCAATTCTTTATTACAGACATTCTCTTATAAATTCTTCGTTTGTCATTTGCATGAAACTAAGAATAGTAAAATGTAGGGGCATAAAGATATCAGAAAACAAGTAAAGATGAATTATTGAAACTATTTAATTTCATTTTTTCACATTCCTTGGCACTTGGCAGTTGCCCATCCAGTACATTAAATTGCATTAGTTTTCACCTAGCTGGGTACTTATAAAGCACTTCCTTATAAGATTGCGTATTTTCCTCCAAAGTTTAAACTCAATACAGTTTGAAGTAGGGAATTCCTTTTTTAGAGGAAACTATCACTTTTTTTAAAATAATAATCATATGATATTTGAGCCAAAATTTGTTTTTTAAATGGGCATATTTTTAGGCCAAACAACTTTAGCTTTAGGGTCATTCACATACATACGTACACAAACAAATCAATATTCTTTGGCTCCTTCCCCCCTTGAAAAATATCTGATCATATTTTACTCTGTTACCGAATGCTCCCAAAAAGACATTTAAAATACAACACTTGATAGAGCCCTATCATCTTGCAACTCCTCTCTTTTTAATTTTAGGTAGTTGTTGAGAGCAATGAAGAGGAAGACAAAATTTGGATTGTTTTTGATGCTGGTCCAAAATCTGTCCGTTGTCCACTAATTTTCCTACCACCTGCTAGCGGAACTGGCGATATTTTCTTCAAACAGATCTTGGCATTGTCAAGCCTCGGTTACAGAGTAATGGCTGTGAGTTGCAAATTTTGATTTACAAAAGGGCTTCATCTTCACCCTTAGATATTGATACCTTGAATCACTAAAAGCTTTTTCTGATGGAATAAGATAATAAATATGGCCTGTACCTGAGGAAGGATATAATTATTCAGATGAAAACAATATGAACATATAGACTATTTGTTGGAAACAAAAGATTTTCATAATGAAGAATACAACCTCTGGCCTAAAAGCATCTTTGGTATGCTTTGTTTTAGCTTTTCCAGGCTATCATCAAACAAATTATATGGGTTTTTATTACAGGTGATGCTGGTTTAACTTGATATGTGTAGCTAATGAAAGGTTATTCTTCTTCAAAGTATCTGATAAATATGGGAGATTTCCTAATTTTATTCCTAATTTGATCTTACTCCCTTTTTAAACAAACACTTACCATAAATCCTTGAATTAGCCCCCTAGGGGCTTATTTATTTTTGATATTTTTAGATGGGGGCTTATTCGAGGGGGGGGGGGCTTATATGAGTGGGAGGGCTTAAAAAATTATTGTAGACATTAAGAATATATTATTAAAATATCTTGTTTATTTTAGTAGAAATTTCTTTATGAGCACTTGATTAATTCTTACCAAAAGTATGAGTTTGTTGTGGTAATTCAATAAAATGCCATAGGCAACCTCAGATGGCAAAAATCATCAATTGCAGTGGGGGCTTATTCGAAGTGGGGGGGGGCTTATTGACAATTTGTAGTTCTAGGGTGGGGGCTTATTCGAGAGAGGGGCTTTTTCAAGGGGGGGAGTCAATTCAAGGATTTACGGTATTCCAAATTTGATTTGTCTTTTTATCTCAGCTTGAATACCCAGTTTACTGGACACACAAAGAATGGGCTGAAGGATTCCGCAAGCTTCTTGATCATTTTGATTTGGACAAGGTAGATATGTTGCTTTTCATCCACTTTTTGCATCCTTTAGAAAGGTCAGGGGAGAGGATTTTTCAACTTTGTTCATTGGTATAACTTCTTTTTTAACCATGTATTAAATTATTTGTTTGCTTAGTGTTAGGAATATTCGAAACATTAGTGTGCTTCACGGTCTAGGATTTAAGTTCCCCATCTTGATAAACCAATGCTTAGTGTGCTCCATAATTCCTGTTAATGGCTAAACATATACAGGATGAAAGCTGCATGAAAAGTGGTAAAAAAATTGGTATTTTCTGTTATTGATAATTTGGTAATTATGAAACTGTTCTGTTTCTCTAATATTGGATGAAGAGGCTTGCATTTTATTGCTAAGGTTACTCAAGTCATTTTTATATATTTCTTTCTTATTTTTTTTGAAAATTCATTTTTGCAAGGTTCATATTTTTGGTGCATCCCTTGGTGGCTTCTTGGCACAAAAATTCGCAGAATTCACCTTCAAAAGTCCACGGGTCCAGTCAATTATTCTTTGCAACTCATTTGTTGATACTACAGTATTCCAACAGACTGTGTCATCCAATTTGTAAGTGAAATTCTAACTGATTATTTTTATAAGTTTCAAAACACAAATGGCACAAATGCTCACTATTCCTTGTTTAATTTGTTGATCATATGCAGTTTTTCAAATTAAATAGATTTTTTTTGGGTTAAAAAGATGTGTACAACCGATAGTCAAAAGCTAGTTGCTTTAATCATCTGGAACATTAAAAAATAGGTCAGACAATTGTAGATTCATCTCAGAAAATTGTAGATTTAAAAACAATTTATTTTGCCATATATCTTTTTCCAAAATTCCCAATATGACTTCGGGGAATATTTTTAAAGCAGATATAATCAAGGGAGGGGAGGTTGGCTCCATTAATATGCAATCTTACTTGCTCTAAGTTTTCTTATTTTGCAGTCCTCCAATCAATTTCCATTTTGACAGTAAACCAATCTTCTTTTAAAGATGGAAAATTTCTTATCTGTGTTATGCCAGCAAATTGAGAGGGACAGAACTTCTCACACATCTATGAGTGTACATTGATGAAGCGCAAAGATGTATTTCATTTTTCCTCCTTTTTGTAGGTACTGGCTGCTTCCAGGCTTTGTTTTGAAAAAAATGATAATGGATAACTTTTCAAGTGAAGAAGTCGACCCTGATATTGCAGATTCAACTGATTTTCTTGTTGAAAGGGTTCGTATAAGAAATCATTTGCATTATTTGTTTTTTATTCAAGTTTTTTTTTAATTATAGAGTTCAGTGTATATAATAAGTTCTTAAAGGAATGAATGAATGAATGAATGATTGAATGAATGATTGAATGAATGAATGAATGAATGAATGAATGAATGAATGAACGAATTAATGAATGAACGAATTAATGAATGAATGAACAAATTTATGAATGAATGAATGAATGAATGAATGAATGAATGAATGAATGAATGAATGAATGAATGAATGAATGAATGATCAAAGTCCTTTTGTGTTTTATTTTAATCTTATTCTTTGGCTCATCTTTGTGTGTTTTGCATGTTATTATTGTTCAATTTTGCAATATAAGCAATTCCTCATAAACATAGGCCTAAAGACTGGAACTTACACTAGGGACTTACCTCCCAGTGCACAGAGTTTTCAGGCACAATTTAGAAACATAATGGTTTTGGGAACATCAAATTTGTTTGCCTATTATGCTTATCAAATAATTTCATGTTTCAGCTTGACAGTCTGGGACGAAATGAAATAGCATCAAGGCTTACACTTAACTGCATGGATGCTTATGTGGAGCCACAAAAACTCAGAGATGTTACTGTAACCATCCTTGATGTAAGTACTCCAACACATTTATTATTTCTTTCAAGCATTTTTGCTAGGGTTAAGCATGACACGGGCAATATTAGCATTTGTTCAGGTGAAAGCTAGTGTGTTTGAGTTGTATCCAGCATGTTATTTCAAACAATTGATAAAAAGTTGTGATGTAATTTTTCAGTAATGTGAAACTGTGTATAAGCTTCACCATTTCCTCTTATTTTACTTATTGATATTAGAGTCTAGCCTGTCTGGTATGTGTCTATTCAAAAGGAATTTTAAGTGTGCTTGAACTTGAAAGTGAATTGTTCTATTGCTCTCAGCAAGAAAAATTCCTTTCCTCTGATATAAAGATGCATTATATGGATGTATGTTGCATGTATCAACTCTCTTGTGATTTTTCGTAAAAATGTGCTGCTCCCTTGTTTCTTGTCTTCGTTACATAAACTTAATTAAATAAAACCAAAAATATTATTTCTGATTTAGTAAGACTCCTGATAGTGTAGTGGGCTATATGTACAGGCTGGGGAATATGCAAGTCAAATTTTCTGTTTTCCCCTTCCTAGAATATCTGCTTTTAGATTTTGGACTAATTGATTTGACTTGAAGAAGCAATAACCTAAAGTATAAAGGATTCGCAAATTGTTTTAAGGTCTTTTAATCCTTGATTTACTTTTTCTTGAGTTCATTTTTAACAGGTGTTTGATCAATGTGCTATATCTGACCAAGTCAAAGATGAAGTGTACAAGTTTTACCCAAATGCTAAAAGAGCTCATCTGAAAACAGGTGGAAATTTCCCTTACCTCTGCAGAAGTGCAGAAGTAAATTTACATATCCAGGTATGCTGTTACTATATTTCACATTGACATTTTAACATGTAATGATTTAAATTGTGTAAAACAGGTCATGTTCTTACTCCTTCAACCAGTGGGAGCACCAAGGGGGTATAGGGGTGATTACCCCTATAGGGATCACATGTTTCTTCTAGAAATCGATTAAAAATGCTAGGTAGGGGCACAGTAGATCATATTTCCTAGGGAAAATTAACTTGGTACAAAGCATTGAAATGAGGCATAAGGAGAGTGTGATCTCACTGCCCATTACCCTCACACTCTGCAGTAGTTGGCCCTGCCACTGCCTTCATTGACCATGCCATCGCCATGACATCCCCTTACGTCATTCACCACATTGCATACCACAGGACCTTCCCTTTACCATTGTCTTCAACTCCTCTCATCTAAGTCATGCGGACCGAGCTTCTCCTGTTCTATGCCTAGATCTCTCTTTATCACATTGCATCATCATCTGAATCATCCTTTGTCAGCTGTTTTCTAATTTTTGTACATAAGTATGTTAATTTGTAAGTGAGTTTAGTACAGATCACAGTTCTAAAGGAAACATACACTAGGGTATCAAAAGTACTGCACCATCTTGTTCAAATTGGCAGCACTTTTTGTCAATTTTTTGACAATACAAAACATTTGTATTGGGTGAAATAGATTTATTTTATAGCATATTTTCATAGGAAAGGTTTGCAAATTTTGCTGATGCTATAGAAAATCATGTTAGAAATGTATGAATTACACCAAAAAATTTTTGTTTGTAAAAATGTAGACCATGCCTAAGGGAAAAAAATTGTCAAATGAGAGGCGAGTTGCTACAAAAATCTTTCAGGGAAGTGATATTGGTCAAAATGTTGACCAAGTTAGATGAAGCCACACAACAGCTGTGAGGAAGCAACAAAGATATCTCAAGAGTGTACCATTAGTAAAGAAACCAAAATTAAGCCACCAAAAAAAATTGATTTCAGAGTGGAGAGAATTTGTCTGTTTTTAATCTCACTGCGTTTTTTACCAAGGGACAGTAAAAAACATGAAACTCAGGGTTGAGCAAGGTTTTGCAGCACAAAATCCACCCAGAGAAAATATAATTAGTGTTTTGCACAAATACAGAAGAAAAATGACCTAAGTAAATGGAAACCATTTTTTACAAAGATTTATTTCCATACATAAAAAATTAAAGCTTTGACATAAATTAAAGCTAGAATCAAGTCCAATTTTTAACATCACTAAAAAAGTTTAACTTCAAAAGAAAAGCGTTACAAACCATGATCCAAATGGTCGTCCAAAAAACCAGAGAATCATTGATCATAAGAATTTTCCAGGCCTAATACGAAATTCCACAAGAATACGTTTCCCAAATATATGGATCCATTTCAAGGAGGCTTTTTGTGGTTTCAAAAGTTTGCAGCTACCTATCAAAATATTGAAATATGAAACTGTCAAAAGATGTTATTGCTACTGTTATTTTTCAAACAAATGCTCTAAATAGATTGAAGTTTTGATTGTTGGTTGTTTTGCTTTTGACCAATTGCCATTCGCCAATTAAAAGCAGAATTAATTTGCATAACAAAAGCTTTCGATCATGCGCCATTTCTCCTCCTTTGAGATGGTGCAATACTTTTGATACCCTAGTTTACTGTCTCTCCCAGTGGATAATTTTTTTCCTTCTATATGTTTCATTTAGAAAAATAAAGAGATTTTTCAATTGAAAAATTAGATGTTAGTTTTTCTTGTAACATATGTTTTATTTTGTTGTAACAGATTCATTTACGCCAATTCAACAAAACAAAATATAGTGCCATTGATCCAAGCTATTTGCCTGAAACAGAAGAAATTGTTGCACCTGAGCCAGCCCTTGCACCGTCACAGTTCATCGCATCTTCTTTAGATTCAGAGGGTGAAATTGAAGCAACTGGGTATTAATTGATCGTAGTGATAAATGCTTCTGTAATTTTTCTTTTGTACTTTCATTGATCAAAGTGTTAATATTTTGAAATTAAATGCACAGCTTACAGTAGTCAGTCAAAGTCTTTGCCAAAATCTGGGTTTTTTTGCAAACATTTTGAAATATGATGCTGGCAGAAACTTTGTGAGTATAATTTAGAAGTAGTTTGTATTTGCAACTCAGAATTATAGCCAACATCTTCTTTAATTTGTCTTTGTGCTGCATTTTTTCTGCTATCATTGAAGTATTTAAATGTTCAACCAGTTATTTGATTTTGACATATATTTTTAGCTAAATGATCAGAGTATTTTGTTAATGATTGCCAAGTAGAGAAATTGTTTAGGGGGAGTGGTTGAGATACTCGTAGCTTAGATATTATAATACCTTTCTCCAGTGAAAAATGTTTTGATATTGTGTGTTATATTGTACAGTATTATCACAGCGAGCTGAAATCTAAGATCTAAATTCAATGCAAAAGCAATATTACTTCGCCCTGTTTCAAAGATTTTGAATTCAAGGGGAAGCTTAAGGTTGTATGTTGAGCAAGGTTCTAATCCTATTAGTAGAGCATGTCCTTGAAAGATGATAATCAGTCTTTAAAATAACCATTCTACTAATATAGGCATTCTACTGTCTTTTTCCTGTTAGATACTTTGTTGAATGTTATAATTAGTCATTAGATGTTATTTTATTTGCCTTTAGTAGATGTTATTTTATTTGCCTCAAGTTTTTGTAGTAACTTTAGATCAAGAAAACATCAAAATTGGATTGCTATAAAAATTAAATGTCAGCCACTTATATTTCTTGTGATTTCAAGTAGCTTTTGTAATGATTTTCTAACATTTCCTGGAAAATTTTCATTGCTATGAAGAGTATTGTTTGTCACTTGATGCATTTTTCTTTCTTGTGATTTGTAACTTTAAACAAAATCTAATTTAGTTGTCAATTGGTCTTATGGTTGCAAGTCTGCTTACAGTATTGTTTGGGGTCAACACACTACCCTTTGCTTTCTACAGCCCTCCAAGTTCTATGAACCCCCTTCCCATTATGGAGTTTTGTTTTGTAACTGTTTCAGTTGTCAGAAGTCTCTGTGCTTACAGTTTTGAGACATATCTTAATGCTTATAGTTCCCGCAAAAGAAATCAGATACAAAATCGAGTATAAAATGCCATCAAAGGATTAGTGGTGTAAACTCTTGTAAAAATCTCATAAATCATTCGCAGTCATTTGATAATATAGTTTGAGTTCAAAGTTATTTTGAAACATTGTTTTGCTTTGTGGCTATATCGTTTTACTTTTTCAGCTGTTCGATAGACTATTTTCCACAACAATTTCGGTGCAATTTAGGTGCTCACGCGCAACATGTGTGCAAATTACATTCAGGTGCAGATTACAAATTGACAACTTCGAGGCATTATGTGCTCTTTCTTGTAGGTGATGCCAACTCACTATTTCCAAATTTTATACAATCAAAAATCCACAGTATAATTGAATATCAAATTGTTCCCTTTCCATGATTTCAACGATTTCGCAACCAACTGATTTTTTTCTTCCTCAAATTACTGAAACAATCAACAGGCACATCTTTATCGTCAAATAATTAATCATTGCCTTTGAGGATGCTGTAAGCCCTCAAAACAAAAATGGTTGAGGTTTGTTAGCTTTAAATACGAAAGAGTTCCCTTTGATCATTTAGGTGATTATCAGTCAAGTGTGATTCAGAAATACTGCACATCTATGTTTTTCAAACGTTCTCTTTAATAAAAAGCCAACATGGAGCAATGAGTTGTCTTTGATCAATTTGTTTGAATGTCCTCTGTTGCATATTCAGAAGATATAAATTCAAGTGGTGCTTAATTTCTGTTAATAACGGCACAATGCCTTGTACACTGAATCCACTTCACAATTTCTATTGGTATCCTTTAGAGTGTATGGAAAGATAAAAAATTTGTATGGAAAGCTTGCTGTATGCCCTTTTAAACTGAATGGAGGTAGAGTTGTCTAAAATTTAACCCTGCTGTCTGATGGATCCAAAATGTTTCAAATTAATCTTGATTTAACTGCCTAGTTACTAAGAAAGTTGTGGTGAAAAACAATTTTCCACAAAGACCAGTAATTAAATTGAGTTGAATCGACCATCCATTCCATAACTTCAATTTACTTGTTTGTTGTCTTCCTTTGTTGATTTGTCTCTTAGAAAGCTTGATTCCATTGTTCGCTACCCTTAGATGTGACGAGATGCTTGGGTAAAATGTGTTTGCTTTTTCCATATTTCAAACTTTATGAGATACAGCTGTCAAAAATCTTATCAATTCTTTCCAGAAATTCAGCTGTATCAGTTGCGCTACCAGAAAGGCAACCAATACTTACATATAAAGTAATGCCGCAAGCAACAAGATGGCAAAATATTTGAGCAGCAAGGTGAACTCTCATTGCATAAAGGCAAAGCCATTTGGATTAATGCGCCTTTCTGGTAGCTCTGAGGCATAGACAGGGAAATAGCTGCGAAAAACTAACAAATTGCCTAATCTCAATTTTTTCTTCGGATTTCTACATTTCAATGGCTAAAGATCGATTTTCCGAGATGGGCCATCGCGAATTATTTTTAGATTGCACGTGATTCGTGACGTCATAAATCAAAAATAATTCAACAAGAAAGCTAATATCTCTTGTAATAAAAGTCTTATAACAATAATAATTGGATATTCGGATAGCTGTAAGAAGGAGCTTTCATTTGATGCATAACAAATTCTATTTTGCTGATATCAGCAAATTGTCTTTTGACGTCATCAAACCAAAATAGGCCTTTTACCACCACTGTTTCGCAGAATTCTCATTCTTGGACTGTTAATTGTCCTTTCTCAAGATATTCTATCACACTCTGATAGAGAAACACGTCCATTGAGTAGGTATATACAAAAATTTCTTTCTATATCTCATTGATTGACGTTTCTTTTATGACGTCATATACATCAATTTCTAAAAATGATATAGATAAGGTACTTGATGGTGAAGTTGAAGATGTTCGTGGGTAGGTTGCTCTGCACAACAGACCAAAGACCATTGAGCTTTTTAAGAGAGTGGTCCAACAGAAATGAAATAATAGCACCCTGGGATAGTAATTGGTGTGCCAAGCGCTCTCTACTGTCTGATTTTGCTGCTTTCAGTACATCTTTGGTGTTACGATAAATGTCGAATTGCAGATTCATCCCACTACTGGTGTTTTTCCATAAAGCTTGAATGTTTGTGTTAGGAGAAGTTCGGAGGGCATTGTGTGAAACAGTTTGACATTGAGTGAATTTGACAGAAGGTAGCTGAAGATCGAGACCAAATTGATTTTTAGAAAGAACTTTACTAGTTAAAGTAGCACTTATGGGAAGATCTAGCCGCTGGCGAATGTATTTAGAGACAATTGTTGTGCTTTTTAAGGCTGGTCGGTGTATGGTAGCAAAATCCACAATGAAATAAACACGATATATATATATATAGACTATTTACAAGTTATTATTATAATAAATTCCATTCTTGACAACGAACGATCTTGACAACTTTAAACAACTTGAAAACTTCACTTCAAACTACTCGATCACAAACTACTCTCCAACTTGAGCACGCCTCTCCCAACTCCAACTGAGCTAAACAATAGATCCATCAATCAATTACTTTAACACAACAATATGCAGCTAAGCGTGCTTCAAAACCAATATCGACTACGGACAGCATAATAATATCAAGAACAAAAGAGCAACGATATTTATTCTAAAAATATATTACAACACAAGATTATCGAGGTTCTCAATGACCCAGGTCTTCGATAGGTCTGCAACAGTGAAGTGCCAAGAAACTTTGGACAATACATATCTGTGGTACAATAGAAGTTTATTTTTGGGATGCAGAGGCAAGTCATTAATTTCTTGCAGAAGGCTGGGAAACATTGATAGCAGTTTTTCTTTATGACTGCCATTGGTCATTTCGAAGTCAAAGAAGCGGCCAAGGTATTTGAAAGATTCTCCATTTTTAACAACAGGCACGCTTTGGTTATTCACGAAAAGCTTTGGCTGGAACTGAAGAGATCTTGTTGAGTATTTCTAAATGCCAAAGGTGACACATTTATCAACCCTTATTACAAAGTTTGCCCACTGACACCATCTTGTAAAGCAGTTTAACAGGAGCTTGTTCTCCTTTTCACCACTAGTAACAACCGCAGCATCATCAGCAAATTGGAACCAATGCACTGGCTGGAACATGCGGTCATTTTCATCGTGGGGAGAGAAGCCAAGCTGTTTATATTTCTCTGCTTTCATGTATTGTATAAACGTATTGAAGCATAGATTAAAGATAAGAGGGCTGAGGCAGTCACCTTGAAGAACACCACGACAAACGGGAATGGCAGGGGTTTGGAATGTATCTGTGAGGATAGAGGTCTTAAAGCCCGAATAATAGCAATTTTTTTTAAACATCTCATTTTCATTGAATATATTTTAAGTTTACAATTATACGACTCGCTTTTACAGGCATCATATAATTGGCTTATCTGCATTACAATTTTCAGAAGTCAATCAGTTCGGGGCTTAGCCATGGTTTGTTTCGACGACAGAAGATATAGTAGGTGCAGCGGATAGAAATGTTCATGAGTTTCATCAAGATGGATTTAGTTTGATTTGAGTCAAAATTGAGTTGATGTAGCATGTCGGAGAGAGAGGTAGACGAGGTTCCCAGAATGCCAAGGGCACTCATAGAAAGGTTAACAAAGGTAACACGTTTATAGGCAGGGCTCAGTTCCTTGATATAATCGCTATATTTCTTAGCTTTTCGAGTACTGTTTTCGTCGATGTTGCTTTCGAACCCAACAGTAAGCTCTAGCATGTATAGGATTCGATCTTCAGTTACAAAGACAAGATTTGGTCGATAGGAGTCGCCTGTGATTAAAGAAGGTGATAGAAATGAAGGCAGGTCGGCGTAAAGTGAGCTGTTTCTAGGTGTTGAAAGGATTTTAGCCAAATATAGAAGTATAGAATCATGTCTCCAGGTATACCTACCATGTTCAAGATAATTCTTGCAGCTAGAGACTATGTGCTGTAATAATAATAATAATTTTTTTTTTTTTAAACATCTCATTTTCATTGAATACATTTTAAATTTACAATTATACGACTCGCTTTTACAGGCATCATATAATTGGCTTATCTGCATTACAACATTTAAAAGTCAATTAGTTCGGGGCTTAGCCATGGTTTGTTTCGACGACAGAAGATATAGTAGGTGCAGCGGATAGAAATATTCATGAGTTTCATCAAGATGGATTTAGTTTGATTTGAGTCAAAATTAAGTTGGTGTAGCATGTCAGAGAGAGAGGTAGATGAGGTTCCCAGAATGCCAAGGGCACTCATAGAAAGGTTAACAAAGGTAACACGTTTATAGGCAGGGCTCAGTTCCTTGATAAGGTCGCTATATTTCCTAGCTTTTCGAGTACTGTTTTCGTCGATGTTGCTTTCGAACCCAACAGTAAGCTCTAGCATGTAGAGGATTCGATCTTCAGTTACGAAGACAAGATCTGGTCGATAGGAGTCGCCTGTGATTAAAGAAGGTGATAGAAATGAAGGCAGGTCGGCGTAAAGTGAGCTGTTTCTAGGTGTTGAAAGGATTTTAGCCAAATATAGAAGTACAGAATCATGTCTCCAGGTATACCTACCATGTTCAAGATAATTCTTGCAGCTAGAGACTATGTGCTGTAATGATTCTGATTGGAGACAGAAAGAGCAGGCAGATGACTGAGTAATTGACCA